TGATATGCCAGCTTCCATTCAGTCTCTGCCTGTGTTTTTCGTGCTGCGATTCTATCGTTTGCTCTGCGCTCTTCTTTTCTTTTGCCATTTCTTCTTGACGCTTGGCTTTCGTCTCACTCGCACCATCTTGCGGCAGGTCAAGGGTCTTCGGTGAGATTGGAGGTAAGATCAGATACTCTGTCTGCCTTCGTTTTCCCGCGCTTTTGGAAGACCCGGGGAAGGGCGGGTCCCACGGCTTGCGAGTGAACTTCTAGTTACTTGGACGTGGAGGCGTGGTCGTGCCGTCGGTCATCGGTCGTGGCGTCGCTGCATCCTCGTACTCGAATTTCTGCCGTTCGAGATGTTCAATGTAGCGCGGGACCTGGACGCTTAGGATTGAGATGATGACGGCGAAGACGGAGATTAGGATAATTAAGGCCGTGTTCATTCGGTTTTGTGAGTCTTGAATATCAGTAGAAATGGTTTAATTGGGAGCGATAGGTAGTAGGATGAGATTGACGTCTTGGACACGCAGTTGTCTTGAGAAAGCGTCGAATTCTATATCGGTGTTTGTCTCCGTTGAGTTCGAAGGGAAGCAGCAACACTCCATTTACTCTTGCCCTATGGCGAATTTGCAACCCGTCGCAACCTCTAACTCCTATCATCCAACACCGCCGCCTAGTCCAATACCAATCTATACACGTACAATACACCAATAGGTCCTCGATCCTCAACACCTTATCCGCCCACTCTTTTCCTATTCCAGTAACACGCCTCATCGCATCATTAAATGCACGGCGTTTCGCGTATTCCTTTTGGTGCATAGCGCTGCTCATAAGGCTGATGGCTTGGCGCGTGGAGACTAAGATCGACAGGATGAAGCTGAGCAAAAGGTCTGGTATAGATCCCAACAGAGTCGACACGGAGGAGCTCATATTCTCCGACCATATCAACTAAAACAGGTATCTTCAATACAGTTTACTCTCTTTCGTGCAGCTTCAAGATTAACTAACGCGGTAGTGCGCACCAACATATGTACAGGTATTATATTTCTAAGCTACACTTGTGATGCTGTGGTATGAGTAACACGCAACCATGATCGATCTACGTGTTCCACCATACCTTACGAAATGGCACGCAACTGGTCTGTTGTTGAGAACAAGAATTCGAGTATAGCGTAAATCTGGTTCACGACAAAGCATGGTTCGCACAAAGGGAAAAAAATTACTGATTCCGCACTTGCCATCTGGTGACCTATTGTAATATGGAGTTTTTCCGCATACCCTATGGAGATGCAACGCTTGGTGATAAACTCGGAAAAGGCGGATATACCTCCATGTTCCGCCACAGACTTGTGTTGCGCGAGCTTGCGGTGTGGAGCCGAAGCTTTCCCAGATTCGATGTTTCTTTAGCATTCCAGTCAGCCGACGGACACGGTGATAGCACCCTCTGATATCTGTCCACTTTTTACTGCTCATATTCTGCAACCCCTACGAGTTAATCTGCGCGACAATCTTAGCTTGGAGAGCCGCAGCCGGGTGCGTGATCCGTAGTCGAAGAACGGGAACTAGTTACCCGGCCCCGACGATTGATCCGCAAATCTTAAGAGCAGGGCTTCTCAACGAGAATATTCAAGATTCAAAGAGACTGTTGGGCTGGTGTGGAGGGGGAGTATGTGTGAGGTAGGGTACGCTTGGAGCCTCCTCAGGACGGGCGCACGTCACATTTTGCTGCGAGCTCTTCGATGTAACGGATCAAGAAACAAAGATATCCATATTGGACTATAAATTACATTTCTTGTTCCTGTTGCTCACTATAGCCGGGAAATACTTTCATCATGATGGTTGTTACTTCGACAGTGGTGGCAACTTCTACGCGGGGTTGAGGCGCTCATATCGGCAAAGCAAACGAAGTCAAAGTACGGTGATATCAAGTGTGGGTGCTTGCCTGTTATATTGGGATTGTAGTAATGTATTTTGGACGTGAAGCAGGTCGGGATGTATTGTAGTTCCACGCAACATTGACAGAATCGATACTGGATTAGGTTGCTATAACACATCTCACTATGCACTGTCAACATTTTAAGCACTCTTTTCCATGTCCCTCTTCCTATCTTTGTTCCGCCGTCCAACATCATCCAACGCAGGATCATGCGACCACACGGTACAGTCAGCATTGGCACCGATAAAAGAACCAAGTACCAAAGCGCACTCAGAACCCAGACATTCGGGTCATGCTATCCTCCTCCCCCATATTTGGGAGATTATCGATGCTCACAGGATCAGACAGACGTCGCGGGTTGTGTTTGCGCCTGCGGGCGGGTAAATGCTATGACATTGGAGGTGGTGTTTCAGGTTGTGGGAGCAGAGCGAAGACGTTGCAGGGTGGGCATGCATGTAAGGCGGGATAATGTGAGAGAGCGAAGCTGATGCATGCGTTATCATAACGGAGGATATGTGCATGTTGTGTGAGGAAGTTGCCATCAGCTGCAAGCAATATGATGGTCTTGGCGAGAGTAGGAAGGCAGGCATCAACATGATGTTTAGGGTATTATATCTAGATGTGTGCAATGATATAGCAAAATGTTCAGCGATTATGGCCTATTCTTCCATCTCATCGTCGTCAGCTTCCACCTCATCGCCATCACCCTCGTCATAGCCGCCCCCGCCATCCTCGTCTTCGCTGTCAGACCCTGAGCCTTCGCTCTCGCCCTCGCTGCCCGGATCGTAGTCCTCCTCTTCCTCGTCCTCCTGATCTTGTAGCTCTCGCTCGGCCTTTTGTAGCTCGCCCTCTTCCTCCTCGGCGTCGTCTGCATCGGGAGGTGCAGTGCCGTTGCTCTTGTCCTTGGGCTTGTTGACGTTGAGCTTCTTGGCGCGGCGTGCAGCTGCTAAGCTGGCGTCTTGCAGGCCATGCTTCTGTACGTAGTCGTTGATGCCTGCATAGTCGGCCTGGTCGAGCATGCCAAACTCGATCTCCTGTGTCTGTGTGGTGATGACGAGATTGAAGGTATTGCGCAGGACGGCAGCGTATGCTATGCTGTTTACGGAGGCGAAGTCGAAGTAGGCGAGCGGCTTCTTGTAGCCATACAGGATGCCGACAGAAGTGAAGAACAAGTAGCCTGTAGAAGTTAGTGGATGCTAGAATAGGGCAATGTGGAATAACGCACCCTCTTTGCTCCCTCTGTGTGCCTTGACGTGGTATGCCTTGTCGCCCTTGCGATGGCTCTCAGGCGTGGCGCTGGCGAACTCTTCGGCGTCGGGAAAGATGACCTGCTTGCCCGTACCTGCTTGTATAAGGCAATGGTGTATGGCCTCAGCCATCGGCCCTGGTCCAGGGTCTTCGCCCTCGACGATGTTCTTGCCCGTTGCCTCCTCGAAGGTCCAAATGATAGGCTCTGGTGCGGCGCCTTGCAGGTGTTCTGGGAGAGGGTTGATGCCGTCGCCATGCACAGGTATGACAACAAAGTTATGCTGCTTCTTCGCCTTCTCGGGTATTGGCAGGCAGAAGACCTGGTCGACGTCTTTCCAGGCTATGCTGAACTCGACATTGCCGCTGGCGCCTATGGCTCGAATGCCACCGTCCTTCTTGTCCAGGAGCTCCAGGGTGAACTTCTTGCGCTGCGGAATCGAGAAGCTGACTCCTGGATATGTCCGCCATGCTTTCGTTGCGCTACTGACTAAGCTGCCTCCCGGCGCTGCTGGGGCGCTTTGCGATGTGGTCTTCTCTTCGAGCTTGCGCTTCTTCGCTGCTGGCTCGGCGGATGGCTGTGAGGCTTGGCCCAGGATGAAGGTCGATATGTCGCGGAAGAGTGACGTCTGGGTCGGGTGCTCGTCTTTGCACGATCAGCATTGTCACGTGGCATTTGCGTCAATCTCCATACCAATCGCAGCATGTACGCGCTTTCGTAGCTCGTGACTGCTAGCAAAAGCCTCGTCTATCTCCTCGGGATGTGGCCCAGCAGGAGTCACTACCGTGGGGTTTACGACGGCTGCTGGCACTGGCGGTGGCTGCGGCACGCGCACCTGTGTGTTCATGGACGTAAACACCATTTTGGGCGGTGATGCAATCTTCTGGTGTGGAGTGGTGAAGACGCGCCGCGCTATCGCGACTTGCCCAAACTCTAGCGTCTCTCAAGCACACATCTGACATCACCGACAGCAAACAACTTTGTCTCCCAACCACAGCCACACACTTTCTCAACGCCACTTCACCACTTGCGAATCCCCATGATTTCGCCTCACTCATCAAAATCTTGACATCCACAATGGCGCTACGTCGACCACCTCTGCGATCGTCCATTGTCTCAAGAAAGAGCGCCGGCGTCTTGCACTCACCATCGCCATTCATGACATGCACAAACAATGTGCTGTCTAGCATATCCTCACATGGATCTGGCTGTAATTCGGCCAATTACCATGAAACCAACATTAACGGCGTCTTCCAGAAGGTGGTTCTTCGTGCCATTGACTCGATTGAAACGAGGTGACTTGACGTGACTTGACGTGACGTGACATGACAGCATAATCGCCGCGAGGTCTACCTGGGAAGACTGGTGGTGGCGTACGACCACATTGTTCCGAATGCCAGAACAGTTGTTTCCCCCGACAAATGCTTTTTGTTTGGACTCGTGAGCTACACAAAAGTCACCGCTGAAGTCTGATTTGCGGCAATGGCACATCAACTTGCGACTCCTCGGCGATAGTCCTCCACCTGCGACTCTTCTCTGATATGCCGGTATGCCACTGAAGGTTCAAATCGTCCTTGGACTCAGGGCTGTCTGCGACGACCTATACACTAAGCGCACGTGACAGCACTGGGCGCCTCCGTACTGATCTGACGATCTGTCGATATGCACTGCCGTTATCGAGTCCGCGCGCTTCACAACGCCTCCAAATATCCTCGCGCGCATCCCAAGCATTATTTCTCTGCTTAGCAAGGCATTTTATTGCGACGCAACGAGGACTGATAGGTGCATCGTGTGGGTCGTGCACGTCGCGCATCTCAAACCTCACACGTCTCGCGTCATCCCGTCACCCACTCTTTCATAGAAGCCACCGTTTGATACCCAGTAAGAGCATTGATTATTTACCAAAAGCGTCGGTATACGACAGAACCGTTCAAGCATTGCAGGGTCAAACCCGAACCCACAGCCCTACACCGTGAAAACAGCATTGACAGCTGAGACTTGGATCAGCCATGATGCGCCTATGGGCGATCACGAAACCAGTGGACATCCTGGCCCGCAAAATCTATGCGGTACTTTCAGGCGAGTGACACGGCAATATGTACTGTATTGTGTCGCGGGAACTCAGCCCTGATTTCCGATTCCAACACTTTACTCTCATTGCCCCAGGGCAGCAACTTTGCTACCGATTTCGATCACACCTCAACATACCTTCGCAGAGCAAAGTGACATACACTCGTTTGACTGACAGAGGTCTGTCACTTCTATACTTGGCATAATTATTGGAAAATTAAGAGGAGGATCACCATCATGAAGAAGGTCGACTTCAAGCTGCCGCCGGTTGCCGTCAAGGTGAAATCGATTCTAAAGCCACACAAAAAGCCTGCACCTGTACCAATGTTCAATCAACCACTTCCAAGTGGCTGTCCACACCACCGAAGGTCCCGCATACTGTTCGCTATCTCCCTCTCGCTTCTTGTTGCAATCACGATACCCGTTATCTCTCTCAAGGCTGTTACCTACACCTTTCTTGATACGAATATTGAAACAGGGTTCATGTTCGAGACCACGGAAGACGATGGAAGTCCTGGACCTAAGATTGTTATGGCTGCTCTACCTAGGATGTTGTTCCTAACACCTGCTAAAATTGCGCTTGTTGCTGCTCTGATGAGTATCTTCTCAGCCGTCGCGCATCTGGGCTTCGTTGCTGTGGACTGGAAAGAAGGAAAACGGGTATGCAAGAACCACTCCGCTCCGCGCCTTGAGCCACAGTTTACAGTACGGCTAACTATCCTTTAGACGCAAGCGTGGGCATTCCGACGCAACATCATGTTCCTTCACATCCTCAACAGTGTTCTCGTTCTCTTTGCTCTTGTTTCCATCTTTGTCACCCACAAGTCATCCTCGCGCTTCCGCGACGGCTACGTCAAATTCCGAACATCTATCATGAACGACCCTACTCCCAACAATCCGAACGACAACTACTTCCGGTACAACATCGGCACTTTCGATCTCGAGTCCTGGTCTTGTGAGCTCAAGGACGAGCCCGGCGTCGGTATGGCACGGACTGACTACGCCAGGCAGTGTTCTGTCGAGGTTGCCGGACGCGCCATCATGATTCCCTTCCTCATCTTTGCATGGACTGTTGCTGGCATCAGCATATGGGGTCTTGTAGGTGGTGGTCGACGAGGTCCAGATGGCGAGCGTGTCAAGACCGAAGATGTCGGGCTTGAGATGGGTAAGATGAACGCTATTTGAGCGTGTCTACCAACTTCTCCATTTCTCTTCTTTCCCTTTTTTTTCTGCTGGTGGTTTGTTGATCACGTTTGGGAGCGATGTTGCATTGTCTGGCGTCCATTTCGGTTTCATTCTCTTTACTTCTCATGGCAATCTCGCGAGCGTTGTACGCTTTCAGTTCTTGCTTTATACCATATCGATAGACTTGCTTGCTGGCCGAGAGTCTCGGGAGGCTACATCTGACGTTGCCAAGTGCTGGACCGTCATTACTTACAACTTTTTGTTTGGAATTTAATGGAACTTATTTCTCTGGAAATTGGTATCAAAACTACTTGCGCGCAGCCATCTCGAGACTTCGAATTGAGCATGGGCGCATCTCGAGATCTTTTGCAGACCCACTCAATAACAACTTCCAACGTGTCGCCTTACAATGACACTCGCGACCATCTCCGCTTACAGGCTTTTTCCTCTTTTCCTCCTGCTCTATTATAGCACCATCTGACTTCGCCCATTTCTGCCATCCGGGCCTCGCATCGTCCAACAGCGCCTCGTCGCTCCATTCTCGATCCGCTACTTCGACCCAGTCTGATTGGCTGCCTTCGCTTGGGCTAGGTTCGACGCGCGATGTGTCTAGCTCTTCGGGGCATTGTGAGGTTAGTGGTGGTGCCATATGGAAGATTTTGGATTGCATGGTTGCGTGTGAGTTGTGGTTGTGGATGTAGTAAGGGACAGAGGTGTGACGAGCGTGAAGATTATGGGTGGCGAAGGTGAAATATGCTGTGGCTCTGTGAAGGAATGCGCAGAACTTGGGAGTAACTTGTAGATGGCATTATTCTAGGTAGTGAATTATGAAAAGTATTGGTAATTAATGAATCAAGTAAATTATACGTTCTTCTCACACACATACTGGCATTGTGAGACTTCATTTCTGTCACTTAACAAACAACCATACGGTTCGCCAAGTTTGCTTAGTATTCGTCACGCGGAAATGCCTTCAAAGTCGACTACTACCGTCCTTTTCTGCGCCCTTTGAAGCACTGTCACGGCTCTTAAACCAACCAACAGCCTTCACTCCATCCGCAGGCACATGATACCAAGACTTCACAACATGCAACCTGCCGTCTTCGTTATCCTCCGCCTCATCGAGCGGATGGGGAAGATACTCACCCTCGTCCACGTCCTTCTCCTTGGCCTTTGTTGGCGCCGAGTACTTCCAACGCTGATCATCTGTATTACCTCGTCGGCCTGGCCGCGCATCATCCATCAGTTCGGTATCCGTCCACATCTTCTCTTCGGCTTCGGTAGAGTCGGAGGGGCGGACGGAAGATGTGTCTTCGGTGTCGAGGTTGGACAGTTTAAAAAAGGGGAATGAGGAGGTGAGGGGGGGCATCGCGAAAGAACTCGAAAAGCCAGTTCGCTAATTGAGTTGTAGGGCTGGAAGGGCGGAGTTGTCGTCGGATCCTGGGCGAATGTTGTGGACGGCTATGCTTGAAGTATTGATACCCTATACGAGGGGGAGATTACAGGAGAAGTTTATTCGACGCCAGAGGGTTGTCGTTGCTGCTTCACAATGGATGGTGTGAGTGATCTATCTCACAATGCATTTCCTTGACTGCCCTGTGAAGCGATACGCATCGCTTTCATGCGTCCAATCTCAGTCGCGTTCATGGACAATGTTCAATTCAGCAGATGTTTCGATTTTGCGCGCCGTAACAACATGGTACAGCTACTACTACTACGACGAAACAGTCCAAAAATATGGAATTCATTACCGCCGTTCCATCGGCTTCGGAAAGCCGTTGTACAAATCCTTCTGACTATCATCACTCAGCCTCCTCTCATTCACGCTTCTTTGTTCAAAGTCCCTCGTAACGTGAATCTCTTTCCACGCTTCACCGTGTCTGTACGCATTTGGTAGCGCGGCAATCGCAATCTCCTCATTCATCGTTGATTGGCTATTTTTGCCCTTCAGGCGCTGGAAGCCATTGCTTCGCGAATTCTGCGTCGAGTGCGACGGGTCGTGTGATCTCTTGGATGTTCCAAAGCGCGTGCCGAATATTGGCATGATCTTTACAACTAGTGGTTTTAAAGCGGGTGTTGAGGCGCAGACAATTGCGAGATTGACTTCAAGGGCGGACCAGTATGCTGCTGGGCCGCTGTACCATGTCTGATCGGTAGGATGTTTGGCGACGAGGATGAGGAAGTAGAGGCGGATGATGGAGATGATGACGACGCTGTACACTGATTAGCTGCTTTGTTGCGATGAGTTCTTGGGGATGTGAACGTACAACCAGCCAAGCGTCAGAATGATCAGAAGAGCGATCTTCTGTCTCATGGCGATCTGGAGCCTCCACAATTGACGCACAGGAAGTGCAGCGACCAGCAAGTCGGTGGTGATGTTTAGTGCAGCGTTAGCATGGTACATGCTATAATTGTGAGTGAGCGCACATCGGCTTGCAATATGATCAAGCAAACTTACGCGTCCTGGTTAACACACTTCGCAAAAGGCTTCAAGCCCATATTCCAGTAAGCATTCACCGGCACACAAGTAAAGACTGCTGTCAAGACAGCAGTCGTCCCGGTGGCTGCGCATATGCCCATGACAATGTAGATAGGCTTTCTCGAGCCCTTCAGAGTGAAAATGCGCCTGTACTGTAGCAAAATTGAGAACTTGGTCAAAGTCAAAGCAACATGGTAAGCGATGATGCTGAAGAATAGGTACTGTATACGTGAGCTTAAGACTTGTTAGAATTCCTCTTGAAGACGTACTTTGAGGATATAAAACGCGTTCTCCATGGGGACGTTGATCAGATGTCTTCCGTTGCCATATCTTGCACCTTGGATCAAGCACGCAGATGAGCAAATACCGAAGACCTTGACCAGGCGTAAGTAATGTCTCCTGACTTCCGCTCAAGTCTTCTTCATACCATGGAAAGCGCAATAAAGTAATCTTCCAGCCCGACAATGCCAACAAGCTTGATGCGCGAGAAGAAGCGAAGCACCACGCAAATGAACCCAAGACCAGTCGAACCGGCAACGAGACCAATGATGAGAGGAGACTTGTTATCCTTCGCCAAGGAAGCGATCACTTCAGGAGGAACCTGGGGAAAGGCAGACATCTTTGTCGATACTGCAAGATCTGATGCGAGCGGATCGTGAGAACAAGACTTGGAATTCTTAGGGGTCGCGTGATGCTAATAAGTGTATCGAGCAGCGGGAAATGCTTGATACATGCTAAACTAGACTTGGGATGATCTGGGTGATGGATTCAAGGGATGCATGTCTTTTACCGGATGAGCTGTTCGTTCGCGAGAGTGGTATATTGCGGGGTGCATGCATTGAACGAGTTCCCGGTTTCTGGCTGGGAGTCAGTCGTTCAGGCGGGCCAGTCTCGAGGTCCAGATCGCCGTGAGCCAAGGACATGTTTTGCCTATATTCGTATTAAGGTCGATTTGACATCTGGGATCGACGGCTCGGGGCGCACGGGAATGTCTACTACACCGCAGTGTATGACACGTCAACATCGCGCTTTGTCTTCGCCCATCGCAACGTGTGCGACTCAAAAACTCAATCCGACGTGCTAACACTTGATCAGGGTTTGATACCACTCAACCTCTTTATTGCAATCAAAATATATGTTGAACAATGCCATCTCGGCTAAAGCCGTGCCCTAATGCAGGCTCGTATATCGAGAGGCGCTTGACACGCCACTGGTCTGGCTGAAGCCGACTTCTGGGATGCAGAAAAATAAGGTTCTTTTGAACCAACCTATATGGACAGAATGTGGTCAAGAGGTTTCTGGGCAACCAGGTGTAGTGTTGCGCAGATCATGTGTCTTGCATTAAGATGTGGTAATAGTGTCGTGCAGGAGGAAAGCGCAATCTTTGGAAGGAGATGGCGTGCAGGTCGCTTAGAGAAACTTGGCAACGGCAGCCTGTTGAAACGTTCAGCCCGCTTCTCTCATCGACATGCCCATAAAATTTTAATCGCGATCGAATCACAGCTATTTATGGCGTTTGCCGAGACGGAGGTTCGCGTGCAGTTGTTGGTTTCTGTGCAGTGCGGCATACGAGGATCAGTGGCTGTGTTGACGCGACGAGAACGCTTCTGATCTTGCATCAAACTGAGCTTGTCACATCTTTCATGCAAGCCATGCTTCGTGGTCGCTCAAACCTTGCCGAAATCGACGAGAAGCAGCCGATCAAGCTTTGCAACTGACATTCAGTGTCATCGCCTGAAGCTCACAGCGCAGGGCTGGAGAACTACCAAGGATTTTAAAATGCAGCTAAAGGTTTTGCATGAAGACCATCATAACTGTGTCTCATGCGTTATACCATCAAGTCCTGGTCTTCTCCCTTTTTCGTATACTGATAAAGGTTAGCCACAACTCGTAGACATGTAGCCAATTTCTTTCACATTCCAATCCTCTAACAGTGCTATTCAAACTATTTTACGCTCTATACCTAGAACTTCCATGAAATCTGCCATTTGTAGCCGAACCCTTCGTCACTTGATCTCATCGGACATGTTATTTAACACATCAAGTACGAAGATTCGTACGACAACGCACTAGAACAACTAACGGCGGAAGCTGGGTCTATGCACGATTGATGCAAGGACGGGATGGTGTGTAGTTTGCTTTCTGAGTGATCAGATACATAGACGGGGCACGGGAGTATGAGTTTCTTCGCCAGTACCAGTGCCTGAAAGTCGACATCGATATATCTGATCTTGTTATGTCAATTGATCTTTCAAACTTTCAAATCTAGTGTCAGATTGCCGAAGGTTCCATCTGTTGCACTTTCGCAGGAAAATATTAACTTATGTACGGTGTGGTTGATGTACGACGTGCGTGGATGTATCGTGGGGCTGGTGGTGCGGCCCGGCTTTTGTGGGGGGAGGTTGGCGAGTCAAAGACCCGATTTTGTGCCGCTAGACTCTCATAGGCTGTCTGTGGTACCTGCTTGTTAGCCCACCTGTAGCAAAGATGAGTAGAAGGCGCTCACGTATTGTTGTACGAAGTAGGATGACACGGGCCATATCTGGTGTCGACGCCAGTTCCTGGCTATGTGGGGAGACGAAGTTATAAATCTTCTCTGTCCACACCACGGCTTGCTTGACTTAGTTCACTTAGGTCCAAAAGTCGATATGTCAGCCTCAAAGACACATCCTGTCGTTATAGTCGGAGGAGGTCCAGTCGGACTTTCAGCTTCGATCTTGTTATCTCTTCGCAACATCCCACATGTCCTCTTCGAACGACATCCCGGCACCTCGATTCACCCAAAAGCATGTGGCATAAACCAAAGGACCGGCGAAATCTTTCGCCAGATGGGAGTGGAAGAGGAGGTTAACGCCAACTCAGCTCCTCAAAACACATGTTCCAAGACCGCTTGGTTTACGTCACTGGGACCAACTGGTCGGAAGATTGTGTCTCGCGACGCCTGGGGTGGGGGAGCGTACGCCGACGAATACGAGGCAGCAAGCCCAAGTAGATATGCTATGTTGCCGCAAATACGTCTCGAGCCTATTCTCGCTCGACGAGCAAAAGAGCTAAACCCTGATGGTGTCAAGTTTGGTGCCGAAGTCACCGACCTCGTGGAAAAGGAGAACCACGTGGAATTAAGAGTCGAGTATAAAGATTGCTCAAGAGCTATTGATACTGTCAAAGCTTCCTATGTTATCGCAGCCGATGGCGGGAGATTGGTGAGCGACAAACTTGGGATTGAATTACACGGAGAGAAGGACATTGTCGACATGGTAACCGCACACATCCGAGCGCCAATTGCCGCGCAGCACCCCGAACCACAAGCATTCATAACCTGGTTCATCAATCCAGAGATGGGTGGCAGTATCGGGACTGGCTACATGTACCATCTTGGTCCATATCCCAACAAGCCAGAGACGGAAGAATGGATGTTTGCCTGTGGCATCCTCCCCGACGACCCTAAAAAGTTCGACGATGCAGCAATGATTGCACGCCTGAAGAGAAGCATCAACATCCCAGATTTGCAAGTCGAAGTTCTGAGTTTGAGCCATTGGTTCGTGAACGCCATCTCGGCGGAACGGTATCGGAGTAAGCAAGGCCGTATCTTTTTAGTCGGAGATGCCGCGCACCGTGTACCGCCTTGGGGTGCACTTGGTTTGAACACCGGGGTCCAGGATGCCAACAATCTAGTGTGGAAGCTGGCCCTGATGCTCGAAGGTAAACTTGGGACTGGTGACCTACTCAATACCTACGATGATGAACGCCGTCCAATCGGAGAAAGAGCGGCAAAATCGAGTCTCGTAAACTTGCAAAGTCACAATATGATAATAGATAAGGTGTTGGGCATTAGCAAAAACACATCGGTGGCGGAGAACATAAAGGCGGTCGAGGTCCTTTTTGATAAGAGTCACCCAGGCCATAACCAGATGCATTCGGATGTTCAGAAGGCGCAATCGATTCTCGACACCGAGTTCAAGGCACCAGGTGCGGAGGTTGGCTGGTTTTATCCTACCGCTGATATCTACAACGAGGGTCAGGACAATCTGCATGATGGTCAATTGGACGAGCATGGGAATCTGAATACCGGAAAGTACTGCCCTTCGACTATACCCGGACATCATCTTCCTCATATGTGGCTACGCAAAGGCGACCGTATTGTCTCTACGCGCGATCTTCTAGCGCTAAACAATTTCGTCCTCTTCACGGCAAACCCTACGGCGTGGAAAGATGTAAAGAGCGCCATGGTTGATATTGTCGCAATTGACAATGATGATTGGGAAGATTTGGATAGCAAATGGAGACATCTATCAGGAGTAGGAGACGAGGGAGCTGTTCTCGTGAGGCCAGATGGCATCGTTGCGTGGAGAAGCAAATCGACTGAAGGGAACAGCGCAGAAGAGATGGCTACAGTTCTTGCGAAGGTACTTCGACTTCCGTCCATATCAGAACATTAAGCTACCGTATATAAAATGGAGTCTACTGCTTCGCTTGCGGCACCTTGACTTCCACCTTGTACGTCTTTCCGCTTCTAACACTGTTGATGACGTTGCCGTCAATCCTTTTTCCATCAAGAATGACCTCCACGTTTTGAACATTATGACGCTTGATTTCAACCTCGAACGTTGCGCCTCTAAATAACCTCGTTGCCTTCATCTCGTTCCAGTGACTTGGTAACTTTGGGTCTATTTTCAATCCTTCTTTGACACCTCTCAAACCACACAGTCCTTCTATGAAGCACCTGTACACCCACGAAATAGTACCCGTGTTGAAAAGCTGACTTGAGCGTCCAGCTGTGCGATCGAGGTTCTTGATACCATGACCTCCACGGTAGTAGTTAGGGATGAAGATTGGAAGTTGACCACGGCGAAGCAGATCTTCTTCGTCAGGTCCCGCAATCATCTTGCGAAGAGTGGAGTATGCGCGATCAACTTCGTCTATACCGTACAATGCCCATGCGTAGAACGCGGCAGCATGGTTGTACACGGATCCGTTTTCGCCTTGGCCAGGATACTTTTGCGTTACGCGACCTACGTCTTCGCGCATACCCGTGAATGGAGGCGCGAACATGACAACACCATATGGAGTGTCAAGTTGCTGGTCAACTTGCGGTAGCAGTGTCTGGATCTTTTCTGTCGATGCAGCGCCGCCCAGGATACTCCACGATTGCGGGTTCAGCCAGATTCGTCCCTCCGTATCTTCTTTGATGCCAAATTTCACACCATCGTCGGTGATACCACGAGAGTACCATTCGCCATCCCAGAGGTGCTCGTTTGCGGACTGGTTGACAGCGTCGGCACCAGATCGGTAGTTGCTTGCAATTATAGTTTTGCCGACTTGCTCGCAAACATCGGCCCACAGATTTACAGCATATGCGGTTGCGACGGTCAACCATCCGGATACACCCACACCCTTTGGGCCCACCATATTCATTGGGTCACACCAGTCACCCTGTGCAATGTAGCTCAGACCACGATCATCTCGTGCGTTGCTCGACAGAAGCCAGTCCATGGCGCGGCTGAATCGTTCGAAAACGGTGAATGTGTCACCGTACATGCTCGTCACGGTTTCGTCCAGAAGTGCGTAGTCGCCGGTCTCGCCCAGGTATATTTCCAGAGCAATAGGAAGCCAAACGCAATGGTCTGTATGCGGGATCTGGTTGATGTACTTTAGTACCGCGCCTTCGGCCAAGAGGATACCATCTGGCATTGATCCATTTCTTTCTTGCTGCCCGACTGATGTTAGGATAGCCTTGCGGCAAATCTCGGGATTGATGAAGCTCATTCCCATGTTGTCTTGGAGATAATTCCTCGTCTGAGGATCTGTCGTTAGACGGTTCACATCGCCATGGTAGAATAGCTGTCGTGGTAACCAGTCATTGATCATATTATCGAGTGCCTGGTCCGGGGTTTCGATTTTCAGACACCCGCTTCCGCCTTGGATATACGCCTCGTACTCTTTCGTCGCTTGTGCGAAGGCCGCTTTGTTGAGATACTTCTTACGCATTTCCAGAATCTCTGCTTCGTCATAGGCTGGTCCGAACAGGAAGCGATACTCTTTGCTCTCGTCCTGCTCGAGGTCTACCTTATATTGAACAGCAGCCGTTGGCGTTTCGTAGCGTGCATCGCTGTTCGTCAATCGTGGCCCCTGAATTGATGATGGGTTGTGCAACCCTCCCTCGCCTTCGAAACGCTTTTGCCTAGCTTCCCAGGCAAGCGGACTCGTTTCACATAGGAAGTATGTTTTGTCCTTCAAATATTTCATCTTCGGATAATCTTCCGCTTTTTGGTAGGGGGTGACACAGCTGCCGACAACGCCGCCTGCTTTCTCGTTCCACTCAGCTTCTTGGTTCATCCACGACATGTAGCCAATGGGAAAGTAAGGGTATACGCTTAGCTTGCGTCTCCGGTCCGTCAAATTTGTGACTTTGATGGTCCATAGTTCAGCAACGTCGTGCATGGGTAGCGAAAAGCCCATCTCGACACGAACACCGAGCTTCTCTACTGTCCATTTGATGTCGCTCTTACCAGCGGAGAACTCGTAGCGATCTAGCTTGGCTCTTACTGGCTCATATGGCGCCGAGAAGAGTTCGTTTGTCTCCTCGTCTTTGACATACACGAAACGTCCAGGATGGTGCGCATAGTAATTTTGTTCTGGCTGCATGAAGGTCTTCGCCTCAATGGTGGGAGCATATGCATACTTTGCTGGCTCTGGTTGCATGAAGGACGCTGTGGCGTATCCACGGCAAGTGACTTGTATCATCATCTTCGTGTTCCACAAAAAGGCACCCGCTTTGGGCATCGCAGTTGGATCGGTGAGCTCGTATCGCTCGCCATTTTCTGTAGGGCGCACAACGCCAAGCTTCGATCTTGAAGGAATAGACATAGTGAACTATGATACCGTAGAAGGCTGGTTGGTTATGCGGTGATGTATGTGCCGCCTTGGCAGAGATGAACTATGCTTACTGTGTTTTAGTGCCGAGAGACAGCTAAAATAGAGACAGCGATCGACTTCGAAGCACACACTGAATGGAGTAATGCCCCTTACAACTCCGCTCTCAAGTGCCAAAGTAATTGTTGAGAGATTCGAAGACACTACAGCGTGGACAACTGAGCGTTGAATATGGCCGCTTTTGACTTGTTCGAGGGCAAGCTGGCCCTTTTCGATTCGTAAATGGCAAATATAAAGGCGTGATAGTAAAGAAAGATAATGTCAAACAGTTGACGCGGCACAGCCATGCGTACTCCATGGTTCATATATGTTTCGAGTCACAATAAGCCGCACAGCGTGGGGCTAAGCGACTGGCGGTGTGGGGTTCAGCCTGATCGGGGAACAGAGACAGCTCGGAGTCGGTTTGCCGGACCGAATCGCCATCGCGCAGACCAGGAGGATCATGTTTGTCTGGCTCAACACTTATGATCCAATTCCAAACTCCCGTTCATCGGATGACGATACTTACTGATTCGCGTCATCTTGCTCCGGTAAGGTGGCTGTAGCGTTTGACACTTTGCATGCCGCGAAGAAAACCCCGTACCGCAGCATGCGCTCTTCTCTACATTAGCCTAAATGAAGTCGATGTGTATGTGGACGCAGACCCCAGTGGGTAAAAATCACATAGTGTGGAAATTGTACATGATGGTTCTCATCTCAAGCACATTGTATGAGATGAATGGAGTTGAGCAGTTCTTGCGCGTCTATGCTACCACAATCCAGCTTGCACTCCAGGGCCGAATGCCGCGCAAAAGGCCTGGGTGTAGCCTGCTCGTTCGCAGATACACACGTCTTGAGAAATTCAGCAAACCCAGAGGCTACCGCGCGTTGCTATCGCAAAAGATGGTACCAGAACCATTATTACTCAGCAGTCCAAATCGCCGCACCCTCGTCCACCCAAGAAACGCCTTCATCGTCGTTCTTTGGAGCGTCTTTGCGCGACACCTTCGTAACTTTGACGTATTTCCCGGTCTCTGGATACATTTTCTTCGCACTCTCCACAAGCTTCTTCTTTCCCGGCTCTTTCTCCCACCAAGAAGGGCCTGCAGGAACACTGGTGGGACAATACCTGACCTTGCCATCGCCATCCACAGTGAGGTAGAAGTCTGGGTGCTCTGGACCACCACCCAATATGCCATACAGTCCTTGATCAACCCAAGCAGTGTTCATTCCTTGGGGCTTGACAAATAGTTCCTTGGAGTTGGTTTGCGTGTTATAAATGAGCTTAGTACCGTCAGAGAACTCCAGAGCCAATATCTCGCCGTCCTTCATCCAACCGATTGATGAAATGGACGATAATCGCCAATCCTTATCTTCTTCAAGCACGAAGTGCTGATCTATCGTGCCATGAGGACTATCGAAGGGACACCAGACGTAAGCATGCTTCCTTCCTGCAAAAGCAACCTTATCGCCTGTAGTATTCCATGCGAAATGACGGCACCAATCATCTGGCTCTTCTGCTAAAGCACACACTTCGCGGCCATCTGAAACGTCGTGAACCTTGATTGTGCGGCCGCTCTTGGAACTCCAAATAACGTGTTTGGAGTCTGGCGTGAAGGCACCCGCCCAACTCTGTGAGCCCGAATCCTCTGTGACCCATTGAAGGTACCCAGTATCTGTTGAGTACATGCGCATGGTTCCGTCCCAAGAAACAGATGCCACAAGCTGGTGGTCCGGGCTCATGGCTGACCACATGATTGCATCGGTATGTCCGTACAAGCGATGAACTTCCTTCCCAGCATCGACATCGTACACAACCACGTGAGGGAGCTTGTCACCGTCCCTCATACCGCGTTGAGTTGAGCCATTCTCGCCATGGTACAGGAGGAATCGACCGTCGTCGCTGAATGGAGAGGAACTGAAGCTTCCGATTTGGGCATTGCTAAGAATTGTGTGGTGTCTTCGACGATGATCGGCGGCAGCGCGGCTCAGCGCCTTTTCGAAGTCTGCGTGTAGGCTCGAAGCTTGAGCGAAGTCTTTCGACCATTCGTGGTCTGAGGTGAGCTTCGGCAGGATAGCATTGATTGCTAGGCTAGCAAAGTCTGCGGTGTCGATAGGTTCTTCTTCGTCGAGCAGCCGCCCATGTTGATCGAGGTCCCAGAGAATCAGCCTGTTGTTAGAGACTGCCCCACGCGCTTCGAGATCGGAAATACTGCTTATCAATGTGTAACCATTACCTTGTGCGGGGCTTTGTACAGGCTTGAATGCGACTCGGTCTGACCCTTCAAGTACCGCTCGCAATTCCTTTGTTGCAACGTCATAGATCACGATGCGTTCGCAATTAGAGCTAATCGCCAGAAGCTTTTGATCGGAGCTAAGCGCGCTGTGATAACTTCTGTGTAGACATTGGCCGTCCTGCTTCATGGATTGGTCATAATCAAAGGCTTCATTGGTGCTGAACCAGTTCTCAGGCCTAGGGTGGCCGGATGCAAATGCTGCTGGTATCCCATTGCGCTCAAAATCTCGCGCGGGGGCTGTTGGGAAGCTGTAGTCTTTTAGAAAGTCTTTCCTTGTGTGAAGCACTGGTCTCGACATGATGGGTAGAAACGGTTGTAGGGACCCGACCGGCAAGTCGTCGCATTGCCAATTTATACGGTAATGGTTGCCTGTTTGTGAGTAAGTGCTGCCTTGGCTGATCAAAGAGGCATGGATTGGCGCATGACGTTGTGTGCGATACCTGTGTAGTGGGCAGAGGTTTGATTGGTACCTGCTGTGAGGATAGCGCAAAGTTGGACGCCACGCAACACATCTTTGGATAAACACATCTGGTTCTGAAGCTGCAGAAATAGAGCATTTGCTAGGAATGTTTGAGTTGAAACGAAACGTCAGTCCCATTGCTTGCCGTGCGCCCGTCGATACTCAACTGCCAGAGGACAGGAACAAAGAGGATACAGCGGCAGGGTAAGAACGCCAGATAGGCTCATCGTCCTTAGACTTGGCAAATTGCAGTTGCAGAGCAACTGAAGTTCACCATATCAAAAAAACGTCAATCTGGGGCATTGCCTTTGTCCAGCAACCATACATCGAAAGATGAAGGAGAAAGATCCGATTGCTGAACCCACAGACGAAGTCCGAAGACAACGAATGTGATATGCCCGTAACGAAGCGATCAAAAATGGGAGAATTTTACATGATATCAATCAAGGTATGCGGTCGTTGCACCTGACCAGAGATGCAGAAGATAACACACTGCGATTGTTAGTGGTAGTGTCGAGAACTTTAGAAGGCGGAGGCTTACGATGCGGCCAACATCAATCTTATGGTAAAGGAGACGCCTATCAGAGCCTTAGTGTAAAAACTTCTACGACTGATAAAGCATTGCCGTCGGGTCTGCGTCCCGCAGTGATGTTGTCGCTGCAGGAGTACACAGATGAAGGAGGAATGGAGTGCAAGGCTAAGGAAGATGATCCTGAGCCGACGGGGAACAACCGAGCGCCGCGCTACGTACCAAAGAAGACTAGTTCTGAATCTCGTGACGGATCCACAACCCCTCATTCAGCAGCATCGTCTTTCACGAATTAGGCTCGAGAAACATCGCTACGCGTTGTAATGGAATTGGCCATGTGTAGCGCGTGTCACCGCCGTTTGAGAGCTAGTAGTGACGTCAAAGGGCTACCTACTGCAGCCAAGACAAACAGGGCATCCCCAAACGAAAACCGGGAACCGCAATCATTCAATGTCGAATGATATTTGACTGTTCGATTCCAGTACATAACCATAGCTATCGGTGCCTCTACGACATCCAGCCCATACACACACGTCGGCCAAAAACTTGACTTAGATAAAAAATCATCATGGCATCATCACTCGTCGACCACTTGACCGCGTCTGGAGGCGGCGAGCAAGCCGGTAAGATTAATATACCAGCTTGCAGCAAATCTTACTTACAGAAAATACCTCTAGGTTGGTTGAATGATCTTGTCGAGCAGCTATGGCCCAACATCTGCGTCGCCGGCGCGAAGATGATCAAGGAAATCGTGGAACCAATTCTCGACTCAACACTTCCGGGACCCTTGAAGAACCTAAAGTTTGTCAAGCTAGATCTCGGTCATGTCCCGCTTACTTTCACAAATGTGGATGTGCACAAGACTACTGCCCAGGGCATCAAATTAGACATGGACGTGAACTGGGAGGGTGTCTGTGACATCGAGCTTGACGGTAGCAGCGTGCCTAAGATTGGTATCGAAAAGGTACACCTCAAAGGCAGACTTTCCATTCTGCTCTGTCCCTTGACAAACATCATTCCCTTGATCGGCGCCGCGCAGGTATCATTCATCAATCCACCATATCTTGAGCTTGACTTCACCGATGCCGCCAACATTGCCGACAGTTTCTTGATCAAGAAGACCGTCCGCAAGACCATTCTCGGCATAATCTCCGGCATGGCTGTACTTCCCAACCGTTTCCTTGTCAAACTCGATTCCAACAACGACTACTTCAAGACCTACCAACCTCACCTCGGTACTCTTCGCCTGACAATTGAGAAAGCGACTGGCATTGCAGCGCCAAAGAAAAAGAGCGGCGTCTCGCGCCTCATCTCTAAGGTCATTAAAGATGTCCCAGATTGCTACGTTAAGGTCAACGTGGGCGCGTCCGAGGAATGGCGTACTTCAGTGCAAAAGAACAACCACGAGCCTGTCTGGAACGAGACGCACGACTTCCTTGTCTCAGACTTTGAACAGGCCATCTCACTCGACATCCAAGATGATGATCTCGCCGGCGACGATGACATTGGTCTTGGTCACACCTCTGTCAAAGAAGTTTTGTTGAACGGCGGCTCCAAGGAAATCACACTAACACACCAGGGCGATCCCACCGACGCACGCTTGATCGTGCACGCCCGATTCTCCCACTTCGTCGCTGAAGCATCAGCTCTATCCGCACAGAACTCCCCAGAGAAAGACCAAATCGTCGGTCTCGTCACCATTCTCGTCGCCAGCGCCCTGAACCTTCAAGGCGAGCGCGACGCCCTCAACCCTAGCGTTGTGATTACTTGGGGCGCAAGTAAATTCCAGACTATGACCAAGACATATACACCTGGTATGGATATCTTCAACCCAGCTTTCGACCAGGCGTTCCAAGTCCCGGTGACAGCAGACATACTGGCCAGCCAAGCAAGTTTCAGGATCGCGTTGATGGACAAGAAGAATGAGGCGGGGAGCGTAGAAGTGCCGTTCGGTGATGTTGTGGGTGCACCAGGCATGGTAAAGGAGGACAGCTTCGATGTTGGCGGTGGAGCAAGGGTGAGGGCGCAGATTAGTGTGCATGGAGTTGAGCTGGCTGAGTGATGTGGACACCTTCGGTAAACGAGCCGAGGACTCTAGCGCTCGATACACAAGAGGCCTCAGTACTGTATAGCATATTGGACGAGCAGTACGGTGTTACGAATTGGAGCTAGCAGATATCAATGCAGAATTTCCCGACAAAAAGAAATTCTTTCATTTTTGATGATCCGTCTCTATGGCTCCCCCCATCTGTTTTATCCAACAACCTCTGAGAAGTGACTCGAGTCCCATGGCCTTTCTAGCATCCTTATCCAATCCACGGATACATTGCTCTGATGCCTTCAAGATCGCCGTCCGACGGTCCACGTCCCCATCTAAAGTCAATTATCTCGGCATTCTCGTCATTGACTACCGATGGTGGTGTGAAATCCTTTCCGCCATTCTTCCATTTGATGAGTGGGGAGTTGTGTATGGTCACGGCCTCGCCTTGCCTCCAGTTGCCAGCTTGTCTTGAATAGTAATGCATGATAGAACTAACGTCATAATCTTTGCCGAGGACGAGGGTGTCTTTGTACTGTGCAGTGGCGTAGTCAGAGGCGCAATTTATGCCAATCGTAGACCAGGGGTCTTCTCGGCAAGTCGTTCCGTCGTTACAAAGCATGTCCATGGTAACGCCGGGTTGGCTTGGAAGCTGGCTCTTCGCTATTTGGTAGCCGTATAGATTCTCGCATTGGTATTTGACGTAAAGATCACCTATGATTGGTTTTAGTAACCCAGTCAGGCCAAGCCCGTAATTTGAAAGCTCACGATCGGCACGTTGGTGTTCGTGGGCAAGGCCAAAAATATGTCCCATCTCATGGGCAATGGTTGGAACTACTTTGAAACGTTCATAGTGTGGAGTGTATTCCCAACCAATTACCATTTGGTGTCTACCACGCTTATCAAGCCTGTGGAAGTTTCAGTATGCTATGTACGTACATCCACATTCTTTATCAATGTGCCAGATTAATACTCACATATTCTTGGGCGTATAACCGCAAAATGACCAACTTGTGGCACTCAAGATGTCCCAATCGATGACGAGTGCGTCCTCTGGGACATCAGGGTTCCAGACATCATTTTCAAAGCTCGAGTAACAGAACCTAGAATTTCCATTGGCGTCTTTCATCTCCTCAAACCCGGCGAGGCGGTGACCAGCCACTTTGCTGGCTTTGCCAATTTTTCGAAACCACAGATCCCAAGCTCTTTCGAAGACTGGGGCATTCTTCTGCTTAACATAATCGAAAAGGTAGCAGAAGGGAATGTACACTAGATTGTCTTTATTTGTAGGCCATGCTTGAATCGCGTGATTGGGTCCTCCGATAGGAGTAGCCCAGCCTAGCTGAGGATCGGCCTTATAATCAGCGATAGCTACCGAAAGACGTGTCGCATTGTGGAGGTTGCGGAAGTCGTTGAAAGGGGGAACGCAGCCATAAGCAAGTGCACAGAAGACACTTAGGAAGAACAGATTGATGTTCATGGTTGATGATTTTGAGTTCCTCCTGTCGGAGGAGTCGGGACATTGGTGAGAGACGACGATGGATTTGATCACTAGCTATATATATAGCTAGGCTGGCACCGTTTGTTCCCCGCTTTCCTGCTGGCGGGCACTAGTGGTAACATAAAAAAATGTGGCAGCAGTGAATGCTGCTTACTTGCCCCTCGCTTGAGAGAAGGACTGAGACTCTCACTATGCAAAGCGGGGCTTCAGTAGTTTTCAAGAGTAAGACAAGTAATAGCGCGCACACAATAAGTGAGTTTGCTACGACAAGGTGGTTTCAAGATTGATTTTTCTGACCTCCAACAAGGTAGGCCTTCATGTGGACAAAGCAATTGCGTGCTCATGGAATGATTAGACCTGAATATGAGCGAATTTCTGCTAATAAATCGATGTATGTTAAGCCTGGTACGTATACCGCACAGCTGTCCGGACGAAAATGTAACAGGGGTTACGACGCAGATCATTGTGCGCGGCGTTGATTTAGATGTCTAAACCTGGATTCAAAAACAAAACAGGAGAATGGTAGTATGAAATCACATTGTTGGGCTAATATCTGGCTGAGAAACTAGAGTTCAGAGCATCACAGCGCAGAAATGCTTTATGGGAAATAATTGCTGTGCCACCGCTTCAACCCAAGAAAGCTGCAACTCACATTCTGTCGAATGGACCTTTGTCTATTCCCCGTCTTCGTGAGGAAAATCACGCTTGAGACTACTTCCTGAGCCCGCCCCCGGTTTGACGTCTACGCCTCTCCCCTCCAGGGATACAACCTTTTGACACCGTCGAAGTCTCCATCCGACGGCCCTCTCTTGTACGGAATCTCGCCGATCAGTACAGCATTCCCCTCAGTTACTGCTGTAGGTAGAGTATAGTCCGGACCTCCGTGGACCCATCTGACGAGCGGCGCATTGAAGACAGTAAGAGGCCGTTTTTCGGACGCCAAGATCGAGGAATAATACATTGTAGAGTCAGAGTCGTAGTTGTAGTTGTCGCTGTATTCCAACCCGTATGGATGTTTCATGCCATCGTAATTACCATCCTCGTCTTTGTGCCAGCAGTCCCACGTGGTCTCCGTGGAGAAACTGGGAGGTGCCCAGAAGCCGAGATCGCGCCAGGGGTTTTGGTAAACGGCGTAGAAAGAGCGACATAGTTCTTCCATGGTTATGGAAGGATGGTTTTTGAGTTCCTCAAGCGCCTCTTCATAGAGCGCCAGATTCTTGCACTGGAAGAGAACATAGTGATCACCTAGTCATGATGAGTGATACCGCTGTATGAAGGCTGAGAGGGTTTCTAGATTACAATCAGGACGCTGATGCTCGTGTTTGAGTCCAAAGACGTGTCCCATTTCATGGGTAACGAGATTACCATGACACGGCGCTTGTAATCCGGGCTATTCATGTAGCCAATTCTCATTTTGTTTGCTCCATTTTATGATTACTGGAAGGCGTTAGTTTCAAGTCAGGCGTTTCCACCATGACTGTGCAGCGAAAGATGTATAACCTACCAGTCCGGATGCGTAAACCCAGCAGTGGCTGTGGCGTGCATGGCATCTATGAAAAGACCAATGGCAAGCGTAGTGGGCTTTACAGAAGGGTTCCACATCTCTCTTGTATAATCAGTGTAGCAGAACATAGCAGCGCCTGTGGCATCCTTGACCTCTTAGAATCCTTAGAGGCTGTGGCCGGATTTGGCACCAGGATCGACGATTTTCCTGTATCACACCTTCCAGGCCTGTGACCAAATACGGCCAGTCCTGTTCTTTGCGAATTTGTTGACATAGCAAAACGGAACGACCGTGAACTTGTTGTCGTTTACTGGCCAAACGTCCATTGGGCTAAGTCCGTGATCCGCATGGCTCCACCTTCTGTCTTGATGGCCGTGGATCGACCCTAGTCGAGGATGAACAGGTCTATGCTGCGCGATCGCCTCATGGAGAAGTGTCACGTTATCGAGATAACGAAATTCGTTGAATGGAGGGGGGTAGCTGTAAGCAGAAACGCCGAAGACGACGATAAGGAGGATCAATGTACTGAGCTTCATGACTGTCACTAAGTGTATTGTAACTGCAATGTTGGTACGCCCTGACAGAACATTAGATAATAGGGCAAGAGGACTGGCCAAGAGGCTTTCTGTATATCTTGATTCGCCACGTAACGGCACACGCGGGCACTAGAGATAATAAGTAGGTGAAAGAGAGATCTTTGCGCGACTGAGGCGCCGCTTTTGACCTGCCTGTGAACGCAAGTGAACAGTTTCAGACTACACGTTCGATCCTCGATTCCTACTGACAGCAAACCTTTCGCCCAGATAATTCCTACTTCGTTCCTACAAAGACCAATTGTTGCGCAGCTCATCAGAACATACATGAAGGTATACTAAACCTCATTTCGATGTGCCGGACGCTCCAGGGAAATTTCTCAGTGACCGATCAAAAGTTATTTTATGCATTTAAATCAACTTTGATTCATCTGCTCTTGACCATTCGCTCGCTAGACAGTGCTTGTTCGTACTGGTAAATGTATTCTGTTGAGCAAAGAACGTCAATAAGAAGCTGGAGGAACGTACTATGACTGAATCGTCGCCAGTTGTCGGGCATTTTCAATTGACTGTGAGTATCATTGGTGGCTCTATCGCAATGCATATGCGAACAGAAACTGCTATTTTGCAGAATGCAGAGTAAGTAACAAGGATAAATCGAGACCGATGGCTCCCAAGAAAGTATAATGAATGGTGAAGTTTTAGGAGCGGTTGGAGCTGAGTAGTGGTGGAGAAGTGTCCTGACACCAACACAACGCTCGTGCAGGAAGGAAGAGAAGACATAATGTGTCGATAGAAGTAAGGAAGCTAGTAATGGGTGTCGGAAGGCATATGTATGCCGGCCAGACGACTGTGTCTCAATTAAGAACGATATCACTCTACATCCCTTTTCTGTTTGGAACTATTCACAGTTTTCGGTCTGCAGAATGGTAAGTCAAAGTCGACTCCAACTGCTACGTATGTCCAGTTATTCAGCCAATCAGATGTTCAACCTTTAAAGCTTTCCTTGGAATTTCCAGCCTTTCCGCACCGTTCGGGTGCCGGGTGCACTTTGCATCGGTTTTACCGGCTCCGCTGTCGCTTCACGCTGTCGTTTGGTGTTGTATGAGTATTGACCTCTAAACCGCGTACTCCTTATATGTGATATTTGCTAGGCTGCTTTTGCCTCGTTTTGTCGTGCTGTCTTGCCATGTCACTGCCTGGACCCTTCTAAGGGCCTGATGACGACTTGTCGCAAAAACAATGTCATCCGCCATGACAGGGACAACTCATGGGAGGCTGAATCAAACTAGAGCCGTGCCTACTTGCTTGCCGCATGCTTGCCGGAGAGCTCACCGATCTTCAAGTGTTCCGCGTCTCAAGGCAGCACCCGGCCTTCTAGATGATCTGACACTAGTCTTGTCCTGTGGAAACCGAAAAGGAGGGCAATATGAATCGGCCAGAAATCGGCCGATATTTCACTGGTTGTGGAGCAATGTGGCGCAATGTGGCTTTTATACGTTACGCAGCTAGGCCAACGGTAGACCGGAATATGGCTTTACAGACCGGGGTGTGCAGCAATGTCACCGGTCAAGATCGTGCGGTCATAAACGTGGAGGTGCAAAGGGGGGTATGCCTATTGGATCCCCTGGCCTCGCTGCGCCTTCTTCACCGACCGACCAACATGCCGCATACTGCCTACCGATGAACCATAGGCCGTTTACATATCACACGAACACACTGAACTCGCTGAGACGCGAGATATGGCATCTCAGAAAGCCGTATTGCCAGTATTAAAGAGAGCGCTTCCCACTTTACAAGATTTCATTCCTCAGCGCAGTTCCTGCATAAGCAAGTTTCCCGTATAGTTATATGTCTGCTTCCTGAGAGCGCGTGTCACCAGGAAACCCTGCCGCAGTACTTGTACACGTGACCACTTGACGATGCCGCGCCTACCTTTCAGCTTTATCCTCATCCCCCTCTTCTCAATCATCACCACAGCTCAAGCGGCTCCAGCTCCACCTTCTTCCACAAACGCAACCTCTTCCACCTCTTTCACGTCCAACCCAAGCTCTCCTTCTTGGTCAAAAGAAGCCATATTTACTCTCGCCGGGGTGGTCATTGCAGTTGCCGGGGTCCTCACCACCCTGACTCTATCATCTACAAGGATACGAGAGAACCTCTGTCAACCCTTCAAGTGTTAGCATCTGTCAACCATGGTGCACATCAATCGACCTCGGAAACTGACATAGCACAGACTGCGCGAAAAGAAACAAGGAACGTTCAGACAGACGGCTGCAGAACAAGTACGACGAGTGGTTAGCGTTCCAGGAGTGGTTGGAATTGAGCAATGCCCGGGGTGGAGCTTGAGAGGAGCGCCGCATAAAGGAAAAGATGAAAGCTAGGAGAAAATCGAGTAAGGGTGCTCGCCCATGAACCAAGGACGTGAGGGAAGAAAAGCTCGATGAAGATCAACTTTTATCATTTGTCGCATCGCTATGATCGCCTAGAACGCCCAGCTTCGATGACGCAGATGAAGTGCTCGAAGAAGAACTAAGATATGGGGTATATAGATACGAACTCGAATGGAGAAGAGGAAACTGCGTCTGATTTACAGCTTCGCCTTGGGCTCGGGTGCTGCTGCGCTTGCCTCCTGGTTCAAAGTGACACTTCCGTTCGCGCTTCCTTCGCCGAAGAAGATGACTTCAACAGTCAAATCGTCCCTGCATCATGTTAGTCAGGCTCGACAGCAACGACGAGAATACGAACCTGTATCTTCTTGAAAATGGACTCGGCAGGGTGAGCAACGCGCTCAGCTGATCCTGATCTTTACCACCTAGTGCATTGCGTACAAGATGTGTCGCCGCATTCTTGTCTTCCACAACGAACCTCTCGTTCATGCTGGTCTTGGTGCCCCATTGCTCTTGACGGATTGGTGCACGCTGGCCTTTGCCGCCCTCGCCAGTCTTCTGCTCCACTGGCAACTGCTTCTCGCTTGACCACCAACTCTTCAACCAAGACTGTGTTTGCGATCCTTGGCTACCTGGGTTGCCCTGCGCATCGAGCCATTGTCCGACAAGGCCAACGACTTCCTCGTTGGTAAGCATTTCCCAGAGACCATCGGTAGCCATGACGACAAAGTCACCCTTCTCAGGCTCGACCTTGGTGGTAGTAATTATAGGCTCGGCGGTGACATATGGAGGTGTCTTCAGTAGCGCTGATTGCGACCGGGCAAAGTACGACTCCTTCAACTCCTTGGTAATTTGTGCTGACCACTTGTACGATGCATCGCCGAAAGCGCGCGATGGCTCTAGTCCACCCAAGATGCGACCATTTCTAACCACATTAGGCTCTCCAGGGTGCTCTCTCCGCAAGCGTTCGGCTTCGCTGGTGGTGCCTCCGGTCTGATCTTCCGATAGAGGGGTAGCTGTCCATTTGCCATTGGCACCCATTCGCCCAAGCACGGCACGGGAATCGCCAGTGCATGCAACACGTAGTAGTTTTGATCGACTGTCGTAAAACGACAATAGCGCGCATGAACCAGACAGGGCCGGTGCAAGCAGCTCAGCAGCGGCAACCTTTGACTGCGCCTTCCTCAGCTTCTTGACGGACTCGTGAACAATCTCATTATCCAGGCGAACAAAACCAGTCTTGATAGCAGCATCGATTGATTCGGGCGTGGGAAAGCGGAGCGAGGGGTCCTCAACGGCGGACTTGTACGTTGTGTTCAGTTCACGTGCGACGAAAGAGATGAGCGTGTTGCGAAGTTTGGCCGAAGTAACCCAGCCACTTGAAGTGTTAGTAACCGGCTTCATTTGGTTCGAAACGCGCATACCTGTGTCCGTCAAACACTCCCCAGAACATCCAGTCACTTGCGTTGGCGCCATCTGTGGCTGCCATGTTCGATGGCACCTCGATGATCTTCTCGGCGTGGTCGTCTTCAATTGGGTCGTTGCTGGGAATCTGCACGACATCGTACCGCACCACGCCCTGCCCACGTCCCACCAGCCACGACTCCTCGTTCTTGCGGAGCTTCGCCGTCGTTTGTTCAGGGTCGAGCATCTCGAGCACCTTCCTCCCGTAGTCGTCCGTCTCTTTTGCTAGCGGGCCAGATCCCGTGATGGTGCCTGTGTAGAGCTCGCCGGGGCCCACTACAAGCGCTTTCCGTGTGGTCTCACTGTTGGTGATGTTTGTGCCGTTGGTGAGGTTCCTGGCCTGGTCTACGGGCGACGTCACGTTGGTGGACTGGTTGCCGTTGTAAGCGTAAAAGGCGCCTGAAGCGACAGCGGCAGCTACCAGTGCACCCGTCAATGCGCGGAACTGCATCGATGAGGAGAGGATAATTGGCGAGGCTCGCGGGCGGAGATGGTAGTGGGCGCGGAACACTAGGCCATTGCTCGGCGCGAAGACCGCAGTTCGGCTGCGAGCGAACTTGCGAGGCAGGCACGGGCGACGGGCAAGGCGAGTCACTTGAACAGCTGCCCGACGCATCTCCTGGAAGCTGAATGTGGGGTAAGGGGAAGAGTGGTAGACAGGTCAAGCTACCACGAGTGAAATCATGGTTCACGCGCAAGGGTAGTGCTGGTCTTGGCGGGGCAATCGATCACGATTCACCAATGACGGCTGCACAGAACAAAAGCGTTCGCCCACTAAATCTCTCGCTCTAACCACGAACACGACGTCATACCCGCAACTCTGAACTACGAAAATATCCATAGTAGAATCTCTCCCACATTCGCCCAACCGTAGATTTGAATCGACCTCAAGACGTCTGAATTCGTTCGTGGCGAGCGGACAATTGTGCCCCTCCTCAAACGACAACTAGGCTGCACATTCACTAGATCGGCGGAATGTCGTCACGTGCGCTCCGCCGCGTCCAGAGGGAGCTGGAAGAGAAACAGATCCAGGAAAAGCTAGCACAAGAGCAGGAAGATGGACAAGAAGAGTCAGAAGAAGAAATAGTGCCGAAGCCAAAGGCGAAGCCGAGTCTATTTGCCATGCTAGGGAACGACGATGGTCAGGAAGACGATGAGGACAGTGATGCAGAGGAACATGGGGTAGGATCGCAGTCCGAAGAGGTCGTTGCTGCACCTCCACCCTCGAGATCGAAAAAGAGCAAAAAGAAAAAGAAGAAGGGAAAATCAAAGGCCACTGCTGCAGAACATACTACAAGCACAGCGAATGCCGACGCCTCGTCTGGACTAGATGAGATCGACCGAGCGCTGATGACACTCAATATTGCAGCGAATGGGCGGGACGCCAGCGACAGCGACCAGCAGAATCCAGGTATCAGCGCGGAGGTGCAGCAATTGTGCGCGGTTCTGAGCGTAGATTCACAGCACTTACACGCAGCGAACGAGATGAAGAAGCTGTTCGGTCGAGCTGCTCTTCAGAACACCGACGATGAACCACGGCAACGTCAACGAGGCCAAGGACAGCAAGGCGGCGGCGTCGCTGCTGCAGTGGCAGGACGTAACGGACCCGGCGCTCGTGGCCTTGCATCTCTCGGACTCCGTCGCAACGTCTTCATCCAAGGCAAAGAAGAGTGGCCACGTGCAACATCCGGGGGACTAAGCATGGAGATTGTCGAGAGACGGCAAGACGGGACAGTCGAGTATAGGTTCGTCCACAACCGGACATATCAAGAGACACAGACGCAGTTTCAAGTATGCGTTGGGAGTATGGATCCTGAGCGCATGATCAAGCTACTTCACTACAACCGTCAGTATCAAATGCGTCTTCTTGCCTCCTCGTTGCTAATATGACCACAGCCTACCACATCTCTACACTCCTTCAAGTCTCTGAAATCGCCAAGCAACAGCGCGATAATGCAACTGCGTCCGAATTACTTGAGCGTGCCCTCTTCACTTTCGGCCGATCGGTCCATTCGACCTTTTCCAAAAACTTAGCAGCCGGCAAGGCACGCCTTGATTTCCGGCGTCCTGAGAACCGCGAATTCTGGCTCGCTATATGGAGATATATTGGCACACTCACAGTCCGGGCAACATTCCGAACAGCCTTTGAGTGGGCAAAACTAATGTTGGCTATGGCTCCAGAGCAAGATCCCTATTGCATCCGACTGCTATTCGACCAACTAGCACTACGTGGCCGCGAACCCCAGGCCGTGGTTGACCTGGTAGAGACAGATCACTTGCAGCGACTGTGGAAAGTCCCGCCCAACCTTGCTTTCAGCGTCGCACTCGCTCACGATCGCCTGAAACAACCACAAAAAGCAAGGTCAACACTGAAGAACGCCATCAGGGAATATCCATGGTTAGCAGCCCGATTATGCAAGGAGCTCGACATATCACCGATCCCGAAGCCAGTATGGGGCAAGGAACCCAATGGCGACTATCAAGAGCTCCTGTGCCAGCTCTACGTACCAAAAGCAAAGGACCTGTGGAACACAACCGAAGCCACAAGTCTGCTAGTTGAGGTGTGTTATTCGTTTGAGGAGGACTTGGGCGCAGGCGAAGATCCCTACTGGCTTGCGCAAATACCAGAAATCGATATTGCGCGACACGTCATTCTCTCCGACGACCGCAACCTGATGGCACTTCTCGACACACAGATCAAGGCCAAGTACACATCCGTCTCCGATCCTCTTCCCCCAGAAGATAGTATCGACTCGTTCGACTCGGCGGGCAACGTAGCGAGTACGAATCGCACTCAGTTACTCGCTAGCATCGAGGAGCTCAGACTGTACTTTCAAAGTGTCAGGATTGAGAACCTGGCTCATGAAGGGTTTACGGTGGAGGACTTCGCCGCGGCCCTGGAGGCAGCAGGGTCCAGCATGGATGAGTTTAGGAGGAATACGGACCGATTCGAGACGGTGCGTAGGCGACTGAGAGATGAGGGTGTGGACGTCATCTTCGATAACAACGGGCAGGGAGGACTGGAGGTGGAGTCTGATGAGAGCGATTGAGTGTAGCAACTTTGGAGTCAAGCGTCGACGACGACACGCTACGCATTGTTCGTGGGTTGTCGGAAAGGTCTTGCACGTAGGCATCTAGTAGATGAGCCAGCGAAACATGAGTTTTCAAGATTTCTGGCGACAGATCATGTTCCCCCACTACATACCAGGGTCTGCCAGATCATTGCACTATAGTTCACAGGGAGCCCCAAGCTAACCAACACCACATCTGTTTTTAGACACGACACACACCACAGATGATGGCGCATGACGACATTCGGCATGCAGAACAAGCAAAATACAAATAAGCAAGCGCTGAAGGCAAACTTCTGAAACCAAGTTGTTCTGGAAGTGGTGTCGTCTGAATGACAACGAGCCACAAGCAGGCGCTAAAGCGGGTTGATCCGCTGTCTCCAAGCAACGTCATTTGTTTATAGGCCCTGCACCGCCTCTGCCTCAGCCCCTCATCCACTGCACCCTCCTGTGTCCCGCTCTCACGTGCCAGATTTCCGCTTCCAAGGGTCCCCACAAACTTGACCGACAGACACGAAGAAGACACGGACATTGCGATAGCCGCCAGTCGCCATGAGCGGCATGCGCGCCAAAGTCGCCAGCCGGCTGCGGAGCTCGTCGCTCTCAGCTGTGCCTCCGCCGCGCCAGAGCTCCAACTATTCGACAGACATGGCCAAGGCGGCGACTTCGATTCTGTACCGCTCGCCCATTCCGTCCAGGGAAGGCAGGCCTGTGTTCATCCTGAACGCGGCTGCCATGCCCGACACCCACGAGACCGACTTCGACCTGCTCCTTCCCTACGTGCTCGCGCGCCTGCCTGAGGAGGACGACTTGCTGAAGGGATACGAATACGAGGTCGTCTTCTTTGCTGGCGACGGCGACAATGGGGCTACGACGAAGAAGCATAGGCCGGGCTGGGGCTGGTTCCTGCAGGCATACCATGTCCTGTCACGGGCGATGCGCAAGCGGCTCCAGAAACTGTACATTGTGCACGAAAAGGCATGGGTGCGCATCCTGACCGAGATCTTCTCGACCATTGTGAGCCCCAAGTTCAGGAGGAAGATTTACCATTGTGAGTGCTGGGTGCCGGGTGCTGCGTGCTGCGTGCTGCGTGCTGCGTGCTGCGACACGTCAGCTTGGTGTAACCGCTAACTTGGGCAGCCTCCAGCTTGACAGAACTCGCCCGCAGCATACAGGTCGAGAACCTCCTCATCCCCTCGTCGACGTACCTCACCGATCGCCGCATATCCGACGACATCTACGTAGAGCACGCCACCGGTCGTCGAGCGTTCGGCGCCCGCAACCCCTTTCCCACAAGCCGCAATGGCAAGACGCGCTTTCCTCGCGTCCTGCGAGAGGCCACAAGCTTTGTGCTGATCGAAGAGAACATCACCTGCGAGGGCCTGTTCCGAGTCCCACCACACGCGAAGCTGCGGGACTGCTTGAAAGAAGCCTACGACAGGGGCCAGAAGTACATCATATGGAAAGACAACGGCGTCACGCTGCCAGTCCCACCATACTCGAATGCTGAACACCAGGACGAGATTCTTGCCGAAGTCGACCCCAAGGATGCATACTCCGTCTTCATGGCTGCCGCACTGATCAAAGCGTGGTATGCTTCTCTCCGACAACCAATATTCCCAACCACTTCATATGGCGACCTGAGGAGGCTATGGGGGGATTCACAAGACATTCCCGACCTTGACCGATTGAGAGATCTTTTCTCGCCAAATTCGGAATGGTCGCTTCTGCCCGGTATTTCACGAGAAATAATCGTCAGGCATCTTCTTCCTCTGCTTGACGCTGTGGCCTCACGGCATGAGCAGAACAAGATGACGGCAGAAAACTTGGCCGTGTGCTTTGCGCCGGCATTGCTGTGTGGACCCGACCAGATTGAAGACGCTAAGATGTCTTCAGTCATCAGACGCATCTTCAAACACGCAGTCGAAATGTGGCCAAACGGGCTGCGCGAGGCATGCGAACAGCCTGCTGATGCTTTCTATCAAGAGCTAGAGTTGCCCAAGGATGAGGCTGATTGGGACGACCCAGTGGAAGAAAAGCGCGTTTCCGGAGAAGGCAGAGCTTCGATGGAAGAACAGATGGGTGGCATCACACTTGAAGACAACGAGAAGTTATTCGAGGCACCATATCCCGAAGCATCGCAAGAAACCATGCCGCCACCCCTCCCTCCTCGAGCTCGCGTCCCCTCGGCGAGATCCTCTACCGACTCTGCGAAGAGGAAGCCCGCACCACCGCTGCAAGTGCCGCCACCCAGATACTCTACCGTGATTTCAGATGCACCAGAAGACGTCGCCGACTCGCCTCTGACTTACGCTGCAACAACAAACGGCTTCTCGCCACGAAGACCTGATGATGAGCAGGCACCACCACTGCCTCCACGATCGAAGGAACAAATCTCGGATGAGAAGGCTGGTACGCGCAATTCCACTTCTATTCCTACTTCTGCATCGGCTGTGCCAAACACGCACACCGAAAGCAGTCGTCCTTCAGGCTTTCCTCCCAAGTTGAACATTCCAAAGCGGAAGAACCTGACATCAGCGCAGGTTGACAACGTGGAAAGGTCCGCCTATGCGCAGACACCCACTTCAGCGTCTTCGGAGCGTTCCCCAAACACATACGAAACAGCCAGTCGAGGATCATACCAGCCACCACACGGCGGAATGGCGCTTCCGGGATTGACCAGGCAAAGCTCACACGAGGATTCATCTCCCACTTACGCGCCAAAGCGAGCACCACCCGCCATCCCCGCCATCACCCAAAGCGAGCAATCCTCCCCTGTCAACGCCCTCTCCTCCTCCCCATCAGACCCCAAACCCTCCTCCGCCACCGAATTCCGCCGCCCTTCAATCCCCGCCTCTGCGAACCGTATCCCCACCATCACCGGCCTTGCCCGCCCCGTCTATCCCAGCACCCCCAACACAAACCAAAATCGCCCCCCTTCGAAATCTACTTCCCTCCCCATCCCCGGCCCTAAGCCGCGCGCCATCAGCCCGGGCCTGCTGCACCGCATGCCGAGCTTCGAGGCACGCCAGGTGGACCGCAAGATGCTGACGCCGAACAAGCTGAATTTGAAAAAGCAGTCGGTCGAGGACTTGCGCAAACTATATGAGGAGCGCGCGGGGACGGCGAGTGTGCTGGTCGAGGCGGGGAAGTGGGGGAAAGATGCGAATGCGAACGCGAGGAAGTAGACGCAAGGGGGGTTTTTTTTTGAGATGCGAGAAGTGGGGATTTGTGGCTTGGGAAGGGGCTGCCGATGTTTAGTGTATGATTATTAGATATTTTAGCACAAGGTGTTGTTGTAATGCGTAATATGAGATTCTTTCTTCGTATCGAGGGCGACTTTTCTCATACTGGAATTTGAAGGTGCGGTCTGGGGGATTTAGAGAAGTTGATCTAGCCTGCGTGTTGGTATGACAGACGCATTCATATTCTCCTCGTGGTCTTCGTAACAAGGTGTATCCGCTATTGAAAAAAAACCATCATTCACTTCGTGGGTACACAACCTGCAGTGAGCAAAGACGAGGATGCACACATCACCTTGCCCCTCGAGAGATGCCAATCATGTCTTCTGCATAAACTAACTCCATCCAGCCGTATATAGGGTATGTGTATTCTTCACTCCGCCTCTCCGCTCCTCCTCACCCGTCAACTCATCTGCCCCTGATACCACCCGGGATCGTATTCCTCCTGGGGATGCCCATGCCCATGTCCCCCATGCTGCTGCCCATATCCAACGCCCCCCTCATACCTATACGCCGCGCTCGAACTCTGCGTAAACCCACTCGTCTGCCACTCCTCGCTCATCTTAAACCCATCCCGCACCAACCGGTCGCCCATATCTGGCGCCTGGAGCATTGTGTCTAGTCCCATGGGGCTGATCTGCGGATACGTGTTGCGCGGCAGGATCGGGCCTGGCATGCCGGGGATGGGGTTCCAGAAGAGCGTTTCGGCTGTTTCGGCGTTGGGGGACGTCACTGGGGCGGAGACGTTGGGCGGGACGGATATTGACTGGGTGTATTGGGCGTAAGGGTTGTATGAGTGTGGAGGTGGGTGGGCGACGGCGGGGGAGGGGTGTTGAGATACAGAGACGCTGCCGGGTCGGGCGATGGCTGGATGGGTGGCGAGTTGCAAGCTTTGGTTGCTGAACATGGAGAGAGATTCGCGGCGGTTGGCGTTCGTGGTGGGCCACTCTGAGAGGTTTTGGCCTACGCGGAGACCAGTTGTGGGTACTGTGTTAGGAACGATGAGCAGTGGTTCATCCGGGGGGCTGGTAGCTCCGTGGGAATTCTCCAGACTCGATCTGGGCATGAGCTTGGAGTCGTGCAGCTCCTCTGGCCATGGAAGGTTCCATGTCGTCGCTAATGTGTGCAGGATGCGGAAACTTCTGGCGCCAAAGTAGTGGCATTCGTGAAGATCTTCGAGGCCCTGGAGACCGTCGACGAGGTTCTTGTACGAAGTTTTGTTGTCTTTCGAATAGAGCAAATGCACTATGCATACGGACAAGAGAATGTGTGGGATGGCAAGATGCGCGACACGGAAGTCGTAGAATTTTCGGTATGTTCGAACTAATTCCGATACCTTGTTAGCTGCTTCAACGCATATATCGCGCGGACGCACGTCTGAGTGGATCAGATCGACCTTGAGCATCGGCCGGAAAAGGTGAACGATTATCGTATGGTATAACATGCTAGCAAGGATTAGCGTCATTATGACGAAGCTATGAGAACAACTTACTGCAGCACTAAAGTATGCGGCTCTGGCTGCTTCTGGCCACTTAGCCCTAAAGCCGGATTGAGATTCTTGTACCAGTCCTGGTATCTGTGGTAGCAATCGAGCAATTTCGTGCTCGTCAACCGCTCCTTTGGTGCAAAAAACATGTAGTTGTTGTCGTTGATCAGCTCGGACAGGGAGGTGAATTCCTGCAAAAGCATGTGTGTCGTCACGATCGGTGCCTGCATTCGGGGCGCACCCGGATATGCTTCAGGAAGAGCGACCTCATCGAGGATCGGTTTGTGCAGTGTGATAGCCGCGCGAGGCAGCTGTGATATACGTCCTGTGACAATCGACCATACGCTGCAGTGCGTTAGTGGCTAGTAAATCCAATACACGTCAATTTCCTTACGTGTCAACTGTAAAGCAGCCCCAGAATGTAACCTTCCTGACCTCGATTTCACTCGGAGTTAGGCGGAGCGCGGGACTGGCACTGTTATTGAGGTGTAGACCAAGCTCAACGCACATGCGTATGCATCTACCGATGTAATTGAATCCAGAGGTATCGCGCCCCGTGCTAGGCTCTCGCATAGACATAATACAGAGCGCTTGGGTGGTGGTCAGACTCGGACTCTCGTCCTCAAAGAGCAGTCGCTTGGCTTCAGCAAAGAAGTGGTCGCCCGCAGTGCGAAAATTGGAAGGATCCGTCCGCCCTGCAGGATCGTCTGTGAAATGGCAGGCGTAGGCGCAGATGGCGTTTACCAGAAGAGACGAGCAGTATTTGTCTCTGCCACCCCTGAAGTCTTTATAGAAGCATTCGCGACTGAATAGTACGTAGAATGGGTGGCTCCATGTGAAGTACAATGCGAGCAGATTTTCGACAAAGCGCACATCTTTGGTGACATCTGTCCATGTCGTCCCCTGGCGCTCGAGGTGCACAGTATTAATCCTCGATTGGCCACTCCCGAAGTTCTCGTCCTCAGGGACCAGACCAAGGCCGGCAGAGTGTCCAAAGTGCCTGCTCTGGCCGTTGATAGTGATAGCGGGCCTCCCTACTAGGACACTCAGGTCGTTCTCCAGACTGCGGGTTTCGGAATGCGTAATAGGTGGTAAGGTGACAGTCTTCCGCCACGATTCAGCGATGATTGCAATGTCGGTTGCAGGATCCTTGCGAATGAGTGAGATGAGTTCTGCCAGATGCTCCTCTGGTCCTCTTTGAAGTGAAATAAGGATGAATTTGGCGCTCGAGTCAAGATCGGTGGTGGAAGAGACAGTAGCTGAAGCATGGCGTTTTGTGCCCGCGTTTGCATCCGGTGCGGGACCTGGTTTGGAGCGTCGGCTTTCGCTCTCAGCATCGTAGAAGCATGGCGTCTTGTAAACGGCAGTGCAAGTTGCACACACTGGTGTACCTCCATCGCACTGGTGGTGGACTGTCAGCAAGGGATTCTGGGGCGGTGGATTGAGGAAATTCTCCAGCACCAGCCCACAGTGTGCATAGGACTGACTAGGTAACAAGATACGAATGGCACTGACCTTGGATTTGCGTTTTCGACAGGGAACGCATGCTGATTGAACGCACCGTCGCTTACTCGTCTTAGACTCCCCTCGAGCTGGGGTGTCTTGGTCGTCTCTGTGCGAGGAGGCTACAGAGGCGCCAGCCATTTCTTGAAGTTGCAGAAAAGCAGGACAATTGCAAATGCACACGCTCCGTGGAGGCAACTTAGGTTAGGTGCATGGCCGGGCAAGTCTGGCAAAATTGCAGGCGAGATATTGTGTGTCAGCGGCCTGCGAGACGCGGCAATTGACGAGATACGTGGGCAGCTGTGACGTTTGAGGCCAGACGCTTCCCTCAAAGGAAGCAGTTTGGCAGCTTGGAACTAACTCTCGCACCGAGCGGCACGAGTCGAGTGGCAACGAATATAGTTTCTGCTGCAGGAAAGAGAGCAGCAATGAAAACAGAAGCCTGGGGTCTAGACACACGCTGAGAGCCCCCGGCAGCTCCCATGTGACGTTGTGTGGCCGGAGGGGGCGATTCGATAGACCATCATAGCGTCTGGAATGGGTAATTCGAATCGAGATCGCAGACCCTGTCCATTACTGCAAGAATGCCGCGCCGCCATGTCCGTCAACCCCAGCGCCCCACTGCGTGCGCTTTTCCCCTGCCGGCACGCGACGCGAGCCGTTTCTTCGCCCACAAGTCGATGCTGGTCGACACGGCGTTTATTCCCTGACGCTGCGGTTTGGAAGAGGCAATTCCCAAATGCCATGACCCCCGTGTGCATGTGCGTGTTGGGGCACGTTCAGCGTCATCGTGCTGGCGACATTGGGCCGATCAACGGGGGTGATCTTCTGCTGCTCTGCGGCACGTAGTTAGCTCGGTTGTCACGACTGTTGTCGGACAGCATCTGCAAGTACCGAAGGCGGCGGATCTAGTTCTGCAGCAGGAGATCTCGATGTGGGCAGATGGGTCGAGGGAAGGAGATGAGCGGCGAATGCAGCATCTCTCTCAATGAGTGCACGCTTTTCGCCTCGCGCCTGAACGATCTTCAGGGCCTGTTCTCCATCACGCCCAAAAGGCCCGATATCCAACGCTCCCGAGTCCACGTCTTCCCGCGCTGCTTTGGTTCGCGTATTCGGTTGACTTGGCCGGTAGCCTTCACGCCTCGTCTGGCTAACGGTTTGCCACCGCTGCCTGCCTTGCGATCCTGGGTGTACATGATCAAAGACGACCCGCTAGCGCCATCGTTCCGAGCAGACAGGCCTCAGGAATGGGTCGGCCATGTATACCGAGCATCGCATCACACAATGGCCTGACTTGAATGCCGTGGAACACTACTGCACATGTGTCGTGGGCTTAGTGTACATTTACCATGGTGCTGTGGCTGGTCCATACAAATTCTAATTCATTGCGATACCGTCTAATCTTCGCGTACCACCCAATAAAGATGAGCAAGACGCATTCTCCCCATACTCACACACTTAGCTCCGCGCAGGTGTCACGCCCTTCAACGGAGGCAGCAGGCTTCTTGCTCCCGCCCTCGCCTGTTGCGCCAACACGGCATCGATGATTACCAACGCGGCCATGGTCTCCACGATAGGCACCGCGCGAGGTACAACGCAGGGGTCGTGCCGGCCCTTGGCTTCCAACACGCCATCGTTCTCGTCGTATGTTACCGTCGTCTGCGCCTGTCCAATCGTGGCAGGGGGCTTGAACGCAACATTGAAGTAGATTGGCGCGCCGTTGGTGATACCGCCCTGGATACCGCCCGAATTGTTGGTCTTGGTGGTGAGTCTTGGTCGCTGGACGTTTGCCGACGGGTTCTCGCCGGCGGGCACGGCAGGTGCCTTGATGAAGGCGTCGTTGTGAACCGAGCCCGGGAGTTGCGCGCCGCCGAAGCCTGATCCGATTTCAAAGCCCTTTGTTGCTGGGATGGAGAGCATGGCATGCGCCAGTTTCGCCTCGAGCTTGTCGAAGCAGGGCTCTCCGAGACCGGTTGGACAGTTCCTAATCACACACGTCACTGTGCCGCCTATGCTGTCCTGTGCATCTCGGTATTTGGCAATCAGATCCTCCATGCGTCTCGTGACCTCCTCGTCGGGACATCGGACGGGCAGGAACTCGTCGACCTTGTCGCGAGTGATGGTGTCGAGGAGCTTGAGGTACTCGGGGTTGGTGGTAGCGGTGGGGTGCTCGGGAGTAGGAGGGAAGAGGAACTCGTTTCCGATCGAGGCGGTGAAACAGACAATCTCGATTCCGTACGCTTCGCGGAGGTACTTCTCTGCGATTGCGCCAGCTGCGACTCGGCCTGCGTCGTGTTAGTCGTCGTCGTCGTCGTCGTCCTGGCGTGGCTGGTGCGCTTGACTCATCGACTCATCGACTCACCAATCGTCTCGCGCGCACTGCTCCTGCCGCCGCCTGAGCTAGCCTTGACACCGTACTTCTCCAAGTACGTCCAGTCGGCATGGCTTGGCCTGGGGTACATGTCCATTGTCTGGTTGCCATAGTCCTGCTTCCTCTGATTCTCATTCATGACTTTCAGGCCAATCGGCGTGCCCAGCGTGATGCCAAACTCGGTGCCCGACTGGATCTCTACACGGTCCTTCTCGTTTCTCGGCGTGGTTATGGCAGACTGGCCCGGTCTGCGGCGTGTCATCTGGGGCTGGATGTCGGCGTCTGTGAGAGCCATGCCTGGAGGGCACCCGTCGACAATGGCGCCAACGGAAAGACAGTGAGACTCGCCATAGCTGGTGCAAAATCAGCATTGACAAGTGTAATCTTGGTGATTGGCACATACGTCGTGACCCTGAAGTGCGTGCCGAATGTAGACATTATAGGGTGGTGTTGTGTGGTGTAAGCAAGGTCAGGTGGGATCCAGAATGAGGGTTTGTCTCAAAGAATGCGCGCAGTAGCTGAGAGACAGAAAGATCTCGACAAGTAATCGGCGCTTGCTTTTCGGCGCAATATCCTGGCGCGTGCTGTTGATTTTGGCGCAAGAGTCACCTTCGAATTTATTTGTTTAGGCGGGGCCGATGATGATGACGCTGATCTGCTGCTACAATTCCGAACTCGGCGATCGAACGCTAACGGCCTGGACTACTTCTGAAGATAGCCTATACACATGGCTTTACCGTCGCATTCGAAGTCCAGCGATATAATGTCTAGCTTCAGACTTTCAGTTTCAGCAGCAACAGAACAGTGCATCGTCTTTCAAATGGATTGGACGGAGGTTGATGCTCTTCCCGCCGAAAAAAAAGGATTCGGACAAGCTCCCGATGCGATGCACGGTCTTGTCACAGAACCATCAAACACACTCTTCAAAGGAATGTCCCAACCAAATTGATTCAGGCAGACATCAGCTGGCAACGAAGAATGAATCCAAGGTATGCATTGAAATCAATTGAGCGTACAAGCCTCCAGCATCGCGTGTCCTGCCTATTCAGGGTGCGGGGAGATGACGAGGAACGTGCAGGTATTGGCAGACGTCCGATGAGCTGTATATACAGATTTGATACACTAGAAAACCACACGAAGCGGCCATGTGGGACTATGGTGTGGTGGCCAGCAGTCACGGGTGCGTTGGCCATTGTGTGAAGAGGCGGTGTATGTCGACCAGACTTCCTGGTGTTGGGCTCGCCCTCAGTTTCCATGGTAGAGCGGGGTGACAAGTGACAGTTGCAGCAAACTGGGAGAGCCTCCAAGAGAGCGTGAAGGAGAAAACCACAGCCAAACTAAACACGGGAAACCAAGAGGAAGCTACAAAGACGCCTAAGACGATTGACGCAGGGGAAAAGGATGCACGTTGTCGGCTGTTTGGAGCCAGTCACCCAGTGCGATTCCGTAAGTGGCCGCTAGCGTGGATGCGAGCGACACCCTGCAGCCACCTCTGAGGTGTTTTTTCAAACGTTGGCTTTTATAACAACCACCGCAACACCCCTCACTCCAAACAAAACACTCCCGCTCCAACCACCGCCATCATGTCTGAATACGTCAGGGTTGAGAAGATCGTCCCCAAGTTCCCCCCGCCAGCCTTCAGCGACATCGCTAAGGCTTCCAACGACGTACGTTGTGGCTCCCATCGAGCTCCCAGCATTGCAATTGCCCACTAACGGCGCACAGCTTATCAACAAGGACTTCTACCACACTGCCGCAGGTCCGGGACTTCAATCGAGCTTCGCGCGCACCCACTTACTCTTGTGTAGCGGCCCTTGAGGTCAAGCTCAAGGCTCCCAATGGCGTGAACTTCACCGCCAAGGGCACCTCGGCGCACAATGGCCCGGTCACCTCTTCGGTAAGTCGACACCAGACGACCAGGCGCATGCAGTCGCTAACCGTATCCGCTGCAGCTTGAGGGCAAGAAGGCTCTTTCCAACGGTATTATACCCGCTTTCGCATCATTAGTCCTCCCAGTCCAGATCAACAAGTCGACTTCCTCGTATATATTTCACATAGTCCAGCCTCCGGGCAGGAAAGCAACTGCTGGCATAAATATCAGTCTACTGACGCCCCCGTTCGCAGGCATCAGCATCACTCAGTCGTGGAACACTGCCAACCTCCTGGCCACCAAGGTCGAGCTCAACGACACCTTCGCCAGCGGCTTGAAGGCCGAGATCCTCTCCAACTTTGCCCCCAACGCCGGCAACAAGGGCCAGAAGGTCAACCTGCACTTCAAGCAGCCCAACATCCACGGCCGCGCTTTCGTCGACTACTCGCCCCAGGGGCGCTATCGGCGCGACCGCTGACGCCGTTGTCGCCCACGACGGCTTCGTCGTTGGTGGTGAGGTTGGCTACGACGTCCAGAAGGCGGCTGTCACCAAGTACAGCGCTGCTCTCGGCTACACCACGCCGCTTTACAACGCCGCCGTTACCGCGACCAACTCCCTGAGCGTCTTCACTGCCTCGTACTACCAGCGCGTCAACACCGCAGTCGAGGCCGGTGCCAAGGCCACCTGGGACTCAAAGTCCGGTTCCAACGTCGGTCTTGAGCTTGCTGCCAAGTACAAGCTCGACCCCGCGTCGTTCGCCAAGGTGCGTATCATCACAGCCTCAAGTTTCCGCCTGATTTGATTTGATATGACGTGAGACTGACATTTTCGCGACACAGGCCAAGATCAACAACCTCGGCATTGCGTCCCTCGCCTACAACACCAAGGTCAACTCCGGTCTGACTTTCGGTATTGGCGGCTCTTTCGATACCCAGAAGCTCAACGAGGCCGGCCACAAGCTCGGCACCAGCTTCACCTTTGAGGGTTAAGCGCGCGATACCATGTAGAGAAGATTGAATGCGCGAGTTCGGTTTTAGATTCCATTAGCTGTATAGCGCGCGGTCCTCGTCGTCTTGGTCTGATGTAGCGAGCGAGTGCAGTATGGCTGTATCACAATACCATCTCATTACAATCGAGACTCTTTCGGTTCCCCTTTGTGACATGTTCGCGTCTAGCATATATACACAGCTCTACACAAGCGATCTAAAATTCGTTCCCACGCTTCTTTTCCCTCGCCTCATTCCGATCGCCAAAGATCTTAATCATCGCGCCAATAAACCCAATCACACCCGACACAACCACAAAATTCACCCACATGTCGCCCTTCATGTAATCCTCCTCGACCCTCACCGACGGATTGGCCCTCCTCCTGCGCCCCCAAATATGCTCATTCACACTATCATGCGTCTCTTTGTGTCTGCGATCATTAAAGTGCGGCACATGCCGCCCCTGCCTCTGCTGCCCGGGCCCAAACCCGCTTCCAAAATCCCCATAGCTCTCGTTCGGCGCCTCCTCCTTGCCGTCTGCATACGAATACGCGTATTGCTCGCGCTTCGCACCATGCTCCCCGTAACCACCGGCCTTGTAAAACGACGGCGGCGGGCCGCGGAATGTGCTGCGTTTCTTGTTCAGCCCGGACGCGGGGCGCGCGCCGTACGCTGCGGAGGAGTAGCTGCCCTGCGGATACCCCTGGCCGCCTGCGCGCCGCTCACTTTGGTGGAGTTGGGAGTCATACTGGCGCCGTTTTTCGGGGACGCTGAGGGTGTGGTACGCCTCGCTGATTGCGACAAAGCGCGTGGAGGCGGTGGGGTCGTCGCGGTTGTGGTCGGGGTGGTTTTTCTTGGAGAGTGTGTAGAATTGGCGTTTTATTTCGGCGGGGGTGGCAGATTGGGGGAGATCAAGGGTTGCGTAGTGGTTTGGGAGGGCGTCAGCGCGGCGGGGGGAGGTCGTGTGGAAAAGAGCTGTTTGTGGGAGGCGCAGTGGGAGGGTGCGGTGAGGATAGGTGTGGTAGGGCCATGGTGTTGGGCGGGCGATTGAGCGCAGGAGAAGTGGTGGGCGGGGTGGCATTGCCCATTACGAGTGGCAGGGAGTGGAGTGGAGAGGAAGAAAGTGAAAGTGAATGTTGCATGCGCCGCAGCATGCAGACGTCATGCACAGTTATCGATTGGCAGGGATTTTAGCGAGACGCCGTACCCCGATTGTCTCCAACGGCATTCAGTGAGGCTAGTGGGGCGAGTTTGGATGTTTGAGATGCCATAAATTTGCTGCTTCTTTTCTGCCCAGCCCGCACCTTGTGCTTTACTTAGTAGCAAATATGGCGGCCCAGGTAGCAGACGGAGTCGCCGACTTGAAGTGTACGTAGCCTTTATTTACGCGGTGTTGGAAACTTTGACTGACCGCTGTAGTGGACGACACGAAGAGCAAACCTACCAACGGCACCACACAAAACGGCGATGCAGAGCACGAAGACTCAGACGACGATAACGAGGGCGAGGAAGGCGCAGCAGAAGGCGGTGAGGGTGCAGCAAAGAAAAAGAAGAAGAGAAAGCCCAGAAAGAAGAAGAAGGCCGGCGCAGCTGGCGCATCAGGGCCAAAGACACAGACAAAACCACCGCGCGTGCCCGTCCACGAGATCTTCTTGAACGACTCCTATCCCGAAGGCGAGATCCACGAATACCTCAACGAGAACTCGTACCGAACCACGAGCGAAGAGAAGCGCCATCTCGACCGCATGAACAATGACTTCCTCACCGACTACCGCCGCGGCGCAGAGATCCACCGCACAGTACGACAATGGGCGCGGGACTGGATCAAGCCCGGCATGTCACTCACCGAGATTGCCGAGGGCATCGAAGACTCTGTACGCGCGTTGACGGGCCACCAGGGTCTGGAAGACGGCGACGCTCAAATAGCAGGCATGGGTTTCCCCACCGGTCTCAGCATCAACCACTGTGCAGCACACTACACGCCAAACGCTGGCAACAAAATGGTCGTCAACTACGAGGACGTTATGAAGGTCGATTTCGGCGTCCACATCAACGGCCGTATCGTCGACTCCGCATTCACCCTCACCTTCGACCCCGTTTACGACAACCTCGTCGAGGCCTGCAAGGCCGCTACAAACGCCGGTATCAAGGAGGCTGGTATTGATGTCCGGATGTCGGACATTGGCGCGGCGATTCAGGAGGTCATGGAGAGCTACGAGGTCGAAATCAAGGGCGAGACCTTCCCCGTCAAGTGCATTCGCAACTTGAACGGCCACAGCATCGGACACTATACTATCCACGGCGGCAAGACGGTGCCGATCGTCAAGGGCGGCGACCAGACGAAGATGGAGGAGGGCGAGACGTTCGCCATCGAGACTTTTGGAAGTACTGGAAAGGGATACGTGAGAGACGATGTATGTACTGCTTATCCCCTAATATATGCATCTGCTAATGATTCGAAAAGATGGAAACGTCTCACTACGCAAAACGCAGCGACGCACCCAAAGTCGCTCTCCGTGTATCCTCCGCGAAGACCCTGCTCAACAGCATCACAAAGAACTTCGGCACACTACCCTTCTGCCGGCGGTACCTCGACCGTCTCGGCCATGACAAATACCTGCTCGGCTTGAACAACCTGGTCTCAGCGGGTATTGTGGAAGCCTACCCGCCGCTGTGCGATATCAAGGGCAGTTACACTGCGCAGAGCGAACATGTGAGTTTCTTCCCCTCTGTGTAAGGGAGGATTGGGGCTAATAAGTGACAGACGTTTATCCTGAGACCGACGTGCAAGGAGATTGTAAGTAAAGGTGATGACTACTAGGGTGTGAAAAATGTGGAAGAGGAAGGGATAATGTTTTACATTGTGATAAGGACTAGGGCGGGGATAAAGCATATATCTTGGAGTCGGATGGGTGGATAGTTGTTTTCATGGGGAATACAAAATCTTAAACTCCAATAAATTGTTGGCTTTGTGAGTCATGTCTTCTCATATCCGTTTCTTCGTGAAGCGGTACCTACCAACAGTCAGCATCTCCAATCCAATATTTTTAGTGACTTACAGGAATAGATTCTCCCTCGAGTAAACCTCCTTATCCGGATCATCATCCACCTGCTTCACATCGAACATCTTCCTCGCAACTTTCATGAACTGCAAATCCGCTCTTCTGCGCTTCTTAAAGCAGAAGTAACAGACGGTATTATCGCCAATAAGATCGCTTAGTGTTTTTTGAAGCAGTGGAAACGCAGGTTCGAAGTACACGCAGTCAGCGGCAAGAATGATGTCCGGATGCGGTGGCAGCTTCGGTGATTTCGCCGCACCCCAGTCGTATATTGATGCAGTTACGCGTAAGTCGAGGTTGTTGAGTGTGATGTTACGTTTCATCAGATCGAACATGGGCTCTTGATCAGTGATGTGTAGGGGTTTGTCGGTTTTGCAGCCTAGCACTACGGCAAGGCTGGGGAGTATTAGAAAAGACAAAGAGGAGGAAGAACAAAACCGAGTTTGAAAGGAAATGTGACGAGAAAGTTAGAGAATTACTCACCCAACAAGCCCACCACCAGCACCCAACTCGACACTGTCTTCGTATTAGTACTTCGATATCCCTTCACTGCAAAGTTCTTGGCATACATGTCCTTGCCCACTAAATCACTCGCGTGCTTACGTAGCATATATTTGCTCAACACCATACCCGCTGGCCACAATTGCCCGCCGCACCCATTCTTCAGGTCCTCGTGCAGCTTCAGTGGTGGCGAGAGCAGCCCATCAAAGTCGATCTCGGATGCTCCAGCTGGCTTGATAGGCGCTGGCGGGACGAGATCCTGACTCACACCAAATACGTCGTACTCTTCACTGTCTGACATTGTGATATCTGAGTCAAAGTGTACGAACGGATTGGGAGGTTGACGTCGAATATTAACGCCGCTCGATGCGGTTTAGTGCTTCATTGTGGGGCGAATCTGATAGGCTAGATTGCCATAGACCGATCACCTCGGAGCGGACCGCGACGAATGTCTAGTCCTCTCATCTTCCAGAATGAAGTGCTTTTCGCCATGCATCAGATCCGCTGGTACTATGATTGAAGAATACCTTATATCGTATCGGCTACCGCACTCGTGCTGAAGAGCCGCCTACCGACCAGTGACGAAAGCTTATCTTATCGCGCCACTTTTCCCATCACCCATCAGACCAGCCCTTACCAAGTGCAGCAAATGCAATGCATATCAAGCGCCTCAAGTCTCGGCGTGCTCAAAGGAGGACCGGAGTCCTGGTCGCTCAGCCGAGGAGGCGCATGTTGTACCTGCGCGACATAATCCCGGCATCCCCTCGAATCTCGTCTGTCCATCTATCTCGAAGCCACTTGACAGCCTCGTCTAGATAGTATAATTCTTGGTGAATACTTCTGAGGAGTAAACATGGCTCTTCCGGTCGAAGTGTTGAAAGCATGGGAGGCTTGTGATCGCACCGACACGCTCTTCGTGCTTGTGTGTTGTGTCTTTTGTAGGTGTCCACCGTCCAGATGTCATCCATCAACTAATAGTTTCAGGCTGGGGCATTATACCAGCGGTAGGAATCGCCTACTCTGGCTACACGACGCGATCCAACTCTCTGGCGGCCGTGATGCCTGCCATCCTTGCCGTCATTGTCTGCTCAATTCAATGGTTCTTCATTGGATACACGTTGACGTATGGAGAAGGAGGTGCGGTTTTTGGTGATTTCAAGTACGCTTTCCACAGGGGTGTTTTGGCCGAACCTGTTGGTACTATTCCGGCAATACTATTTAGCTTCTTTCAGCTTGTCTTTCAGGCTACGGTGTGCGCTATTGCTGTTGGAGGTGCGTGTGAGCGAGGGCGGATACTTCCGCTTATCCCGTTCATATTTGTAAGTTGCCCTCGACATAAAGATTTGTATGTCTACTAATGACCACAGCTCTGGTCGACATTCATATACAACCCATTGGCGCACATGGTATGGGGCGGCGGATTCCTGATGGATCTAGGCGTCGTCGACTTCGCAGGAGGAACGCCGGTCCATATCAACTCTGGAGCAACTGCGACTGCAATGTCGGTCTACCTCTCATACCCTCTATTCCGATCGAAGAAGTCTTCAACACGAACTCCATCCCATCTGGTTATTCACAGACCTGTGAACTCTTTATGCCAGCTGCTCGCCATGGTTTCTATCTGGGGCTCTTGGCTCGCGTTCGACGCTGGCACAACTTTGGCCTTCAACTTCAAGTCAGTCATGGCTCTGTGCGTCACAAATCTTTGCGCTGCTAGTGGCGCACTGACTTGGATGATCTACACCTATGTCGAAGTTGGACGCTGGAGCTTGGATTCGTGTTTCATGGGTGCAATCTCCGGTCTCATCATGATAACACCGTCGGCCGGCTTCATCGACATGCCAACAGCCTTCTTCTTCGGCATAGTGGGCGCACTTTTCTGCCGACAAGCGCTTCGCATCAAGTTCACGGATTTCGCGAGGCGCTGGCGCTGGGTGGACCACGGCGATACATTCGCAACACATTGCCTAGGCGGCATATTGGCCACAATAGCTACTGGATGTTTCGCGCAAAAGGAAGTCGCCGGCTACGATGGAGTGACTGTGATACCCGGTGGAGTCTTCTTCGACGGAAACGTGCGTCAGCTCGGTATACAAATTGTCGAAGCCTCAATTGGGTTCTCTTGGTCTTTTATTGGGAGCTACCTTATATACGCTCTCATCGATTGCGTGCCTGGATTCGAAGTGCTGGCAGAAGACAAGTGAGCATACGTCTGTTTCAAATGAGCATTGCTGACATTTCAAAGGGACATTATTGCTGGTCTTGATGCGAGCCAGATGGACGAAGAAACGCTATGGACCGAGACGCAGAAATATTACCCGTATGCAGACCGAGAGGGCGAGCTTCACCTAGACTAGGCTTCCAAATTCCCCTGTTGTACGAGAATCCGTCTCGAAGGTACGCATGTACGTGTGGAACGAGACCAGGGTGACAAGCTATTACAATGCACAGGTGGTATTTTATTTTGCTAGGTGTCGTTGTTCGTGGCGGCGTGGTAATACCATTGGACGCCTAACGGCGCTAACGACAATCAACATTCACCGCGAATATGAGATAGTGACGTGCAGTCGCAAAATGAGCAGGCTCGCATGCAATTCGGCTTCACTCCATAGTTGAGCTATATATAAGACATCCGACAGACGGCAATCCTTACACCACACTTTCTCACGACCTCAACTTCATACTTGCCATCAGCCTCGCCCATAATGGCAACACACGACCTCGTGCAGCTCATGTACGATATCAGACTTTTTTACTATGCTGCGCATAGATACTAATGATTCCATAGCGCACTCCGTCCATCCGACGACATGGTCACGATCGAGATCGGTCCCAAGCCCAAGACCTTTCAAGTCAGCAGAGCGCTGCTCGCCCAGCATTCGCTCTTCCGCAACTTCCAGACCCACTCCACCAGCGGCTCAGAGCACAAATTCGTCTTCAAAGACCTCTCACCGCGTGCCTTCAACATCTTCCTCGGCTGGCTTCACACCGGCTCGCTGCCCGAGACCATGGAGGACTGGCTGGAGCATCTCCCCAACATATCGCTATTGGAGCTCGACCTCAAGGTGAACCTGCTGCGCCTCAAGACCTGGGTCGTCGCCGAGCGTCTCGGCGCCGAAGAGTTCCTCATGATCATCAACAACCAGTACGTTGAGAACAACTTCACCGCGCCGTGGTTGGCCGAGGTCATCTTCGCCTTCGCACACATCCCGCACGACCGCCGCATTCTCAACTTGCTCGTCGATTGCCACTGCAACGGTTCGATCAGCCGCAAGGAGCTCGCCTTCGACGAGGGCCCGGAGCTTCAGCACCAGCTGCCGATTGAGTTCTTCTTGCGCGTTATGGATCGGTATGCGTATTTGCGGCAGTATGACGATGGCATGGAGGAGCCGCTGTTCATCAAGTGTGACTATCATGAGCATGCTACAGAGGATGAGAGGGCGGTGTGTAGAGAGGCGGAGACGGATGAGATGTACATAAGTCGATGGCCGGGTCATGGTGCTTGATGCACAAAGGGACTGCTTGGAGGCATGGAGGGGGTGACAATATTGGGATGATCGTTATAGGTATTTCTTTCCCTTTGCGCGAGTCTATCATTTTGGATATCACTTTGCGTCCGGAGGAATGGCGTCTGGGTTGATTCACAGCCTAGCTTAATGAAAGTTGTACACTCAATGTACTTGCCCTTGGCCATTCACGCTCACCTGTCTAATTGTGACAACATGTGATGACGAGTTGTTTCACACTTGACAGATGCATCAGCTTTACTTGCTGTGTTTTGCGAAGAGTAAGAGCGTAAGGCCTTGTAACGACCCAAGGGACTACATAAGAGCCATCAAAGATATAAAAGCATCGTTGGGGAAAAACCTTCGACACAGCCCTTACATGCGTAAAGTCTATGTTCCGAGGTGATAATTGATGATGTTAGTGACGTAGACAGTAAATGCAGCCCGTCTCTTACCTGTAATTCCAGAGTCTCTCTCACCACCAGTCGGCAGGTCGGATTTGACTAGTAAGCGCAAAACCCAACCTGTAATCTACTATTTGACTCGGTCTCCTACGACATAACACCAACCGATCACCTCAAACGAAATTCTATCATAAGATGTCGAAGATCGATCCACCAAAGATGGGGTACGTAACAGCTACTCTCAGTGAGTAGCCATTTACTGACGGCCTGTTAAAATCTGTGTCGCTTGATGGAACTATCATACTCGAGATTGGCCCAGATCGCTTGAAGTACTATGTCCACAAAGCTCTGCTAGTCCACTATTCTGAGTACTTCCGCAATGCACTCAAAGGTCCTTGGAAGGAGGCAGAGGAGGGCGTTGTGAAGTTGGTAGATGTCCAGCCGGCTGCGGGTAAGTGTCTTTGCGAACTCCTAGCTGCTTTAGCTGATGTCCGATAGTGAACATCTTCATGCACTGGCTCTACATCCAAGATCTTCCGAGAGAACACGACTTCAGGGCGTGGGAAGACATCCTGGCGAGGGAGCGTCAGACCAATTTCGAAATAGCCATGATACGTGCATACGCGTTTGCAGACCGCTTCTTGATCCCTACCTTCCGACGTGCCATCAACAAGACAATCGTAGAATACTTCAAATGCGGTGATCCTGCGCTTGTCTGCAACATTCCAGATCTAGCCACCGAAGCATTCTCTAAGATTCCCGCGGATCGACCCATCCTACAATTCCTCGTCGATGAGTACTGTTATTGGTGGACCGTTGGTTGCGAAACCAGCGATCCGCCAATCAATCTGAAAGAGGCTCCTCCTGCATTTCTTGCACGTTCGGTGAGGAGCTACAGGACACTGCTCGAATATTCACGAGCCGGAAACGGAGTCAACCAGTGTTGCTACTATGAGCACACTGATGAGCAGGAAGCTTCGGCTTGCGGCAAGCTGCACATGTGATACGACGAAAAGAATGACATGGGCGTGTTTGACAAACCGATACCGTGTGCAAATCATGGAGGGGGTTCGCGGGACGTATCTCCCTCTTCGTCAGATGAAGAGTGAGGCTTGTACCTAGCGGCATGAAACAAGGCATGAGAAAAAATCACGAGAGGACGATGGAGATGCGGCAACGAAAATAGAAGGCTAGACAAGAAGCTTAGGTGCTAGCCGCAGGAGAGAAGGGGAAACTCTGAATCGACTTCAACGATGGCTGTAGAATTTCAGTCCCTCCCGCTGGCAAATCCTGGACTGGCATTCAGCAGGGTGAGGTACGCAACTGGCAATGTATAGTAGTGCATGAATATCGAATGCAGCCTGGAAGAATGAGACGAGAGATCAGTAGAGGACAAAGAGAGTACAACGGTAGCGTCAACAGATTTATCAATATGAATGATACGAGTCATACCCTTGAGTGTTCATATGCCTTTCCAATTTTCGTAACTCGACTAGATATCGTTAGAGGAAAATTGGCATGTTCAGTCATATGTGACCTTCATGTTGTCATCGACTCCCCATGGTCATGCTAGAATCGTGGCCTTGCCTTTACTTGTGGTTCCGGGGCTGCTCTCACCTTCGACTGATGATGCCGCTTCGGCGTCATCGTGATATAAGCTCACCTCTCCCTTCCTTCTCTCCAAACTGCCACTGCTCCCGGAAGCCACCCACAATCAACATCCAGCTTTCTGGACACTAGCAAGATGGCGGCTTCCGATCTTCAAAAACCTAAGTCTGAAGCACCAGGAATCGGGTAAGTCCGTCTGGCGAGCGGCGGAGACGACACTGACGCCGCGAATCAGCTCTGCGTTGCTTGCGGGTAGCGTCACACTCGAAATCGGCCCTTATCATCTGAAGTACAGCGTCCACAAGGCTTTGCTGGTATATCATTCTGAGTACTTCCACAATGCGCTTAGGGACTCCTGGAAAGAAGGAAAGGAGAACCTGATCGTACTCGAAGATGTGGAGCCAGAACCAGGTAATTCTTCGCTCTTAGCAGGTTTGAACCGTAAGAGCTGACATGTGGCAGTTAACATCTTCCTGCACTGGCTTTACACAGGGAGTCTTCCAAGCCTGGTAGATTATGCGGAGTGGGCGCGGATTGGCGGAATAGGCAGTGTTGAGACGCAGATCAAGGCGTACGCCTTCGCTGATCGATTTCTGGCACATGAGTTCCGACGCACCATCAACAACAATGTAGCGGAACAAATGAGGCTCAAAGACAACTTTCTAGTCTCTGACATCTTGGCCATGGCACGAATAGCATTTTCGAGTATCCCTTCTGACCGGCCTCTCTTGCAACTTATTGTGGACGAGCACTGCACGTTCTGGAAGAACTGCTGCGAGGAACCATCACGGCTGACGGACTTTCCCCCCGCGTTTCTGGCTCGCGTAACGAGGCGTCTGTGTGAGCTACTCGAAGATCAAATCTGCCTGCAGTCGAGTAGTGGAGAGTGGTGCTACTTTGAGCATGCCGACGAGGCGGAGATGGTTGCTTGTGGGAAACTCCACATGCAGTATGATGAGGAGAAAGACATGGGATTCTTTGGGAAGAAGATACTGTGTGAGAATTGTTGGATCAACGAGCCGTCCTTACTTTCATCTTCAGGCTCCGACTCCAGCTCAGATTCAGAATCGGGTTGAGAGCAACCAAGTCGAAACATGGGGGTGGTGCGCATGGAGAAGGCGTGACATAGAGATGGTTTCGTGCAAACGAAGAAACCATGATTTGAACAGGAGACTTATGTAAATGTGTACACAAACAATACGAAATTCCTATCGACAGAGCACACTGAGACACGAGACGACATGACAAGGAACGAGTGCTCTCCAGGTTAGGAGGGAGTGAAGCTTTTCGGCAGGACGGAAATACCAATCGGTAATACGTCGGCCCGGCAATCCACGCTAGCGCCTACCGCCATCTTTTTCTTCGCGCATCAAACCTGCAACTTGCACCTTCAACATCCGCGAATTATTCCACGACAACATCCAAACATGCATTGCAAACATACACGCAGCTTCATGTCAGCCAGCGGGCATTGCTTTGCATGTTTTGGAACAACAATTCCGTAGATGGCTCTTTCGAAGACTCGGTGATGCGCACATTCTCCACGATCACGAGTTCAATTTGTAGCCTAGAACAAGCCAAACGACCTGCCAAGGTCATCCCACTCGTGTTGCAGTGTCTGAGCGAAAGCCAAGACGACTTTGCGTCTATTTGTGGGAGACATACTCTCTTGATAAATTGTGTTATGCGTGATGTATGTGTACTTGGGATGCTATCAAAGCTCCTTCTTCTCGCCAGAAGATTTCTGGTCCGCCGCGAATGCCATGGCTTCCTTCTTCTCCGTCGCGATGGGTGTTGGGCGTTTCGTGGCGAGCACCCAGACGGCGGCGAGGCCTTCGGCGGCGAGCGCGATCATGCTGGCGCACGCGATGCCCCAGACGTTGATGCTCACGCTGCCGAGCGGTGCGCGGGGGAAGCTCAGTATCCATTCGACGTAGAATGGCAGCCAGCCCGCGGGCATCCAGAACATGGGTGACTTGGCGAACCAGAATTGTAGGACGAAGCGGAGGCCCTGGGTGCCCAGCCAGCGGAGGGTCGAGACGGCGGACGTGAAGGCGGTTTGGTGACCGCGGAGGGAGCCATCTGTTATTACTTAGTCAGCCACATTGCGAAATGATAGAAGAACTAGATGTGCAGTCATACCAATCTTCTGGAACTCGGCCATGGCCTTGTTGTGCTGCCTGTCGAGCTTCGCCCATTTTGAGAAGTTGTCTTGCGCCGACGTGGCCCCAAGCTCGCGCTTCAGCTGGACAATCTCCTTCTTGAGCTTCTGCGCCTTCTGTGCAGAGCTGGAGGTCGGTGTGGGAAGCTTGTTATACAATATCCATAGCTGCGTATGTCGTTAATATGCCAATTGGGTTACTCTCATATGGCGCGGGGCTTACCAGATCGTTGACAGTGCTCGCGCCGACCGTGTTGATAATGTGGAGCAGGAACTGCAAGATGAATACTACTAAAAGCAGCGACGGCATGTTGGGTGAGACGGGTTGAGAGTGCTTGTCCTCTGCATCAGGCTCACTGCACGGTGCTAGTGAAGTCGTAGGTAGGGAAGTTGTAGGGTGATCATCGCCAATGACCCGCGTCACCACCAAAACTCCGATCCAGAGACCATCCGATTTCCGAACATGGCAGTCCAAATCATGGATCGGTTGGTTTCACCGCACGGAAAGTTGATCCGCCATGCTCTCGAGTGGATCCTGTAAATCATCGTATGCCGCTGCTCATGGATCCCGCACTTTCATCACATCATGAGCCAAAAAGAGAATGCGACCGCGAAGTTGCAAGTGCGAGCGTACGAGGCATTGGGCGGCTACCTCGAAGACAATCATAAGAAGATTCTCGAAATTGAAATCCTGCCCCCAGGCCATCAAGGCCGCCAAATGGGCTCTTCCTGCAAGATGGACCCAACCTGGGAGTGCCCAAGAAGATCCTCGCCCTGGCCTTCGTCGAGGCTCGCAAAGTATTCATGGAGAACTTCGAAAATGAAGACAGGAAATCTCAGGCAACGGCACTAAAGGCCACCAGAGTCCTCTTGCTGTTCGAAACCGATCACCTCACAGCTGCAAATTTCCGCAAACGCAGACTCTTAGCACTCAAAACCGACACCACTCCAGCAGCCCAACTCGCCTATCGCAAAGCTTTGCAGTATGAATTTTGTTTCCTGGACAGCATTCTCACGTCTCCACTTCACCGCCAGTCAAAGTCGCCGACTCTCTGGCATCATCGCTCGTGGCTGTTCGATCTGTTCCGCCCCAGCATATTAGAGCTTGTGCCTGAGAACATCAGAGCAGACTTCTGGCGTACGGAGCTCAAGTCGATTTGCAAGTCAGGCGAACGGCATCCACACAACTACTATGCCTGGCAATACGTCCGAAGACTCGAAGAGCGGGTAGACGGCATGGAAGCCACTATCGAGTTCACAGAGACTGTCAAAACATGGTGTTGTAAGCATCCCGGCGACACATCAGGCTGGTCCTGCCTACTTTACCTTCTCCCGAAAGTTGAGCCACTGGCCAAACGAACGACTATGGTGCGGGAAATTCTCAGCTACGCGCTGAGGTTGCAATTCGAACACGAGTCTCTTTGGGTATTCATACGCACGATTGTCGCACATGAGACGTTGCAAGAGAATCGGGCTGAGCTGTTTACATCGCTTATGGAGTATGAGAAGGAAATCAAGGACGGGTCTCCGGTGTTAGTAGAACGCGTGCAGCGTACCTTAGACTGGATCAGGCAACATGGCGACATGGACCACGTAAGAAATGCTTCCGTGACTTGAATCGAGGAGTAGTAGTAAGAGGCTGGAAGTAGGAGTAAAGATTAGGGTTTCGGGGCAATGAAATTAAGAAAATTAAGATGTTTCTTTCCCCCGCGAAAGCGGGGTTTTCTTTTGCTAGATTTTGGCGCATTTATTTATGTTAGGAAAAGTTATGAGTGCTGCCATACACTATTTTTTGCACTAGACTAACTATGTTTATATATCTAAGTAGGTATATATATATATGCACTACCTTGGTATTGATTCTGCTATTTGGAACCTAAAGCTGGGAACTCTTCTTCGTATGTGCTGGGATTTAGCTGAGACACTGGTGCTTTTGAGTCTGGCTTTGGCCACTGCTCTCCAGGCTTATAGTCTCTCAGATGCTTGCAACGTGAGCGCATTTGATCCACAGACTGCGATCCCAGACGATACACTGTCTTCTCCTCATCTTTGACACGCCAATACGGGGCTAGCAGCGAAATTTCCATCTTATACACGTCGTAGATGTTAACCCATGAGTGTTTAGTCTTGAGTTCAAGATCATCTGCTAGAAAGAGTGTCGGTAATCTTTTAGCTGATTTCTTCTTCGATTCGTCACGATCTGGATGCGGGCCATTTGGATGAATTGGCAAATGACCACAGCGCAGTTTAGTCTTGGTCCAAGTTTTTGATCCTGTATAGACCGTGTCCAATGATGAATTGTTGTGATAAGAGGTGATCTAGCCGGTATCAGCGAGAAACATACAATTACTATGATAGAGCTTAGACTCGCAATATGGAAATGAATCATTCCTTCCTCGTCAGCTGGTCGCGATACTATAACGACAGGATGATTGTAGATACCACTCGCGGCAGATTCTTTCGAATGTTTAGTATTTGCCGGTGGTGTAACAAGTACTGGTAACACTGCATCAGGTGGTAGTTTATCCTTTGCAGGTAGGTAGAAGATTGCTCCAGGAACTACTTCGCTCTTGTTGACCCTCATGATGTCGCTTTGGCTCTGTTGAAGTGTGATAGGGACAATGAGTGTTGAAGTGTGATAGGGACAATGAGATCTGGCGAGATTAGCGGTATTTATACTTTCCTATCGCCGTGATGACAGTGTCGTCTCGAACTCATCATACTGTGAGTCTATACTATCTCTTGCTCATTGAGGTTTCTGACGCTTAAGAGATCGCGCAGTGCTGAAGACCCTTGCAATCTGGCTACCGCCAACCCAACACTACACCAGAGCAATGTGGGCCGTCGATTTGCATGGAAAATTCCGTCGCCGGCGGATCTTATCATCACTGAGCTTGATCAGGAATGCAACGTAATATTGGCATCCTTGAAAGACAAATGCAGGCCATACGTAACTCTCTCTGCACGCAACAGTAGAACAATTTTAGTTCAGCAACTACTCTTAAACTCTGCTACCTCAGAGCGACTAAAGAGAGTCATAAGTATTTCGTCAGATGCGCAAAAACGCTGGTCATTCGTCATAACAGTCATACAAGCACAGATCGTCTTCCAGTCAGACCCCAACACCAACACCAACACCAACACAGCTATCGCAACCAGCAAGCCACGACTCAAATCTTGCCAGAATCCCACTCATCCATTCTCACACCTACAATGAAGCAATAGCAATAGCCGTCACACCCTTCAAATCCCTCCACGCCCTCTCAACCGGCGCCTTGACTATCACAAGCTGGCTCTGATACACCGTCGCAAGCTTCTGCTGTGTCACACCTGCTATTGCCTGCACGTTGCCCGACACCTGCTGCTGCATCGAGCTAAGCACTGTAGTGAGCCCGCCATCGGGCGGCACTTTCGGCGGCGTACCAGGTATCCGAGCGGCTTCTGTACGGGAGATGTGAAAATCCGGCTGTCTGTTTGGGCTAGGATATGTGGACCAATTCTGAGATGAGCGTGTGGGTGGAGGTGGATATGCAGTTATGCTTGGCCACTGCGTATCCATTGGCATTGCAATATAGTAAGCATCATGTGTAGTGGGTGTCGGCTCTGATCTCGTCCTCTGTAATCCCGCACCGACAAACTGCGGCCCCGGTTCATAAAGCGTCAGTGACTTGCCTTTTGCAAGCATCCTGATTGTTGATTCGCGCTCAAAATGGTACACCTCAACGGTCGGTGTATCTGGATTCGAATACGCTCGTAGGAGCGAAATATCGATTTTGTATACGTGGCGGATGTTGACGTACGAATCCCATCGTAGTGTTGCTCCGTTTGCTAGTATGAGCGTTGGGAAGCGCTTTTTGGTCTTTTTGGAGACGGCGTCGGGGTGCGATGGGGTTGGGGCGACGGGGAGAAACCAGGAGCGCCGGCTCGCGTGAAACTCGTTGGATTTGCTGTATAGTTGTTCGAGGCGTCGGCCTTGGAGGGATGTTATCTGCATGGTCAGTACGAGGTCTTGTATCGACTGGTGGAAAAAGCTTACAAGGTGGAAGTGTATAATCTGGCTGTCTTCTTCTGGCCGAGATACTACCACTACAGGGTGGTTGAAGATACCCTCTTCAATAGCTCCTTTGCCGTGCGCTCTCCGTACTGCGCGCTCGGGTAAGTCTTCCCTTGCTGGCAGCCACAAGACCGTCCCTTGGACGACTTGACTCTCATCAACGCTTCTATCGACAGCCTCAGTTTGCGAGCGACCCGTCGTAAATTCCTGTCGCCCAACCTCGTAATCGTACTCGTAGTCGTTCATCTGTACACGAGTAGTACGCGCCATTTAGATGGTAGTCTAGCCAATACTGTAATGATGTCTTCACCATCACGGGCAGCACTAAGTTTTATACAAACCGCCACCCTTCAGTGTCTACGAATCCAACACGTATCCCATGCATTGCGACCTCGCAACGGCAAAGTTGGCCGCTGCTGCATTGACTCGTTCAAGCACCGCCCTTCGCCCAGCTTGGACGTTGCTGTATGAGCCACGGGCCACATCAAAGCATTCGAGTCCCATCGTATAGTGGGATTATCGAAGAGCAATCCTGATGCTGCGGAGCTGTTGATTACGGCTACGCCGTAAACCGCTACGTGGATCGAAGCGTAACCTCATGTCCTATTTTTGGCGTGGCGCAGCCATGACGCAAATGCTTCTGATTGGTCATCAGCGTGGCTATACAGGACAACTCACAGCAACGCGCGCTCAGAGCGAACGAATGACGGTGCTGCGAAAAACAGCCTTATTGATCGGCGAAGATGACGCATGATGAGTGGTCTGCGAGGAAAGACGAAGGTGAAGGATGCCCTCGCGTTTCGTAAGTGAGAATGCACGAATAGGACCTCGCGAGCAAGTACCATACGGATGTCCGGGCTGTTAGGATGCCGTACGCCACTTTACAGCCTACGTGGCAGAGCTTTTGTTTCTGATTTTCCAACATCGCTAAGGTGTGTGCTCCGGTTGGGATGACTGAAGAAAAGCCAAGAGGCGACGTTGTCGCGCACACCGACGAAAGTATGGGTTGCAAGACTTTCGCACACCGACAGTCGGGCAAAACTGCCTCAGCTGTTACTTGCATTCGTTATCTTCGTGAATCTAGACCCTGTCCATATATTACTTCCTTACGTATCATAGAGGAATGCATTCGCTATGACAACAAATCATCACCGCCAAAGCCCCGTGACCTTCTCGCTCAACCCCGACGCCATGATGCTCAGCCTCTTACTCCCACTCCTTACTCTACCGGTCGTGCATTCCTCAACGCACGCCTGCCTAGGCTCCACCGCCCTCAATTCCAACTTGTATGATCTCACCTTCGCCCCGAAGCCTTGCAGTTGCCTTACTGGATGCGCCACATGGGTGTCCCATAGATCTCGACGGACCTCTTGTCCGTTTTGTCCGTAGCTGGCTTGTGAAGGATGTTTGAAACGCGCGGCGTCAGTGTGGCTCGTCCATTGAAATATCATGATGAGCGTTTCGTCGTCCGTGGCTTGTGCTTCATCTTCTTCTAGGAAAGGAAGGGACATGTTCTTTTCGTCTGAGTTGAAACTTCTCAGCTGACTCGGCTCGGGCAAGCTTTCGTAACTTGAAGCAAATGATCCTCGTTGTGTTTGTGGCGTAAGAGGGTCTTGCCCCAGTTCAGCCCATGCCCAAAAGTCCTTAACTAAATCGCCTGGTCGATCGAAGCCCGCAGATGCGTAGCTCTGCATTTGTAAGGCTAGGGACGAGCGCTTCGGATCCCAGCCAAAATGCTTGCCAATGCTAGCAGCAATGCTGGGATTAGGGGCTTGCAATTGTATAATCTCTACTGGTACTCTGTGATCCGGTGCAGAGGCAGCAAGTGAAACAACTGAGAAATCCAGGTAGACATGTTGTACACTTGGCGGTGTTGCCAGGTGCTGCAGGAGGTCATCAAATATGGGCGATGTTCCGCTCGAACACGTCTCCTGTGCTGTTGATACTATTATCGCAACTTTCGGATCCGTCAGACACGGCGACCAGGATGTGAAAGTGGTAGGATGTGTTAGGGTTTCTTCGCTGTCGATGATGTTGTTCAAGACCGTGTTGAGTGCGGCGTATCCCTTTGTATTAGGTGAGATGTGCGCCTTAAACGTAAGTGTGACGAGGCAGACATCAAGCTGAGACGGTGCTGATGGAGATGCATGGAGGGCATCATTGCGATGGTCGCACGTCCGGCAGCAGGTCGACATGGTGAGTGTAAGAAATGACGGACGTAAAAATTTGCGCAGGTTATATAAGAAGTGAGTGCTGCAGCCTCGTATTCTTCTCCCTCTGTAGATTGCAACGTGACTGCCTGGGACTTTCAGTTAAAAGAACGTGGTCCGAGAGAGAAGGATGCCGATGACGACAGTAGAGGAAAAGAAGTGGATTTACGACAGAAGTGAAGCTGAGAGGATAGATTTATCGCGATAAGTGAATTGGCAGAACAGTCTGGTTTGTACCGCGTTCTCGTGCTGCGAGTGTGCTCCGTAGATTGTCCATCTAGCAGTAGTGCACAGCCTCGGCCGACCAACAGCCCCGCGGTTTCAATAATATTGCGGGTAGCCTTATGATATTTTTAGCAATGCAAGATAGTGTCGATGAATCGAGTTATCATGTGTTTTCAGCAGAAAGATGGATCATGAAGCGCCATTACGTGGTCCTGTGCAACGGCTCGTGTGATAGACCACGATTGCGCAGCACGTGCAGACGCGTGGACTGGCACGAAAGCTATCGTTTCAGAACGTCTCGTGACGATGCTATGTGCTGTGGAAGCGTGATCTATTTCCACCGTAATCCTCTCAGGTCTTTTTGATCAAATATGCATCTCGTATGTTGAGGATTGGAACACCGAAGCTCCGCCACTTTGCAGGGCTGCGCTAGGCTCCAACGGGTTAGATGCCACTGGAGACGCGACTCCGGTTGAGAGTCCACGACATGGCTGTAGTTTTCTTGAATTCGTCAGCAAGTAACTGATATTTGAGGAGGTTGAGGGCCAAGGAGAAGTCTCGAAAAGGGGTATTGTGTAGAGGCAGGGTTTCGATCCACTGATGATTGAAAGCAAGCGTAACTCCTCTACAATTGCCTGCACACCAGGAACGTTCGGTTCTCATGGATTGCCCACAGTCCTGCCAAATGGAAACTGTTTCCAATTTTATTCCAATTTGAAATAATCATCCGTGAATATGGACGAGGTTGGTGTCTCCTTAGAAGTCTGCTCGAGATGACGTCACGTGCCATATCCTGTCGCCACGGACACCTGGACATTTGATCCAGGAGGTTGAAACAGGATGAAGATCAGGAGGGTGGTTTGGCTTTAGGTAAAATCATACACCGTCCACTGAGGGCATTATTTGGTCTTTGGGATCCTGCCAATGTTGTGTTTCGACGAACGCTGGGATGGCACCCTTGACTGACTTTGAGGCATATTTCGAAATGCAGTATCCCGTATCCGAGTGTGACAACCCTCCCTGGCTCGGGCGATCGCAAAACTATGCGAATGAGCGGCGATCTTGTGTGAATCTTACGACTCGAAACTATGGGGCTTGTCTCGGCGATACTATGGTCTAATTCTGTCCAAAGCAGGTAGCGGCTCGCCGATGTCGTTGAGTCACGACTCAGTTACCAGCCGTGCCGCAGGCCTTGGCTGTGTTTTCGCGTGAGTGGTGTATGCAAGCGTGCCTGACTTGAGCTTCTGCCGCGTTAGTTTTCACATGACCTTTTTTGAGGGTTGAAGGTAACCACCGTCGCTACCTAGGTAGTTGACGTCGGCAATTGATACCAGTCAGTAGTGAGATGCGAAGGTCAGCTTTCCCCGCGCTCTGGGTTGGCCCTGTGAAGATCGCCTCGGCCTAAACCGTAGCGAGGTAGTGCAACCAACTGTTTCCATCTGAACTCTGTTGGGTCGCAGCATGGCGTCTGGGGGAATATGGGGTTGGCACTACCGATATGTACCCTTGACACTATGCAACAGCTGCCTGACAGCGAATAGAAGACTCAAAGTTCGGTTGTGGCTTGCAAAGAACTTTCGGGAGGATTCTTCGTGATCATGCCTCTGAGCATCCTCACGACCGTAGCCGCGGAGAAAAAATCGCGTTGCAACATGCCGTACTGAGACTGTCTCGAGACGTGAAAAGTCGAGAACGAATTCGCCAGAATGACCACGGGCTTCTCATATGTGCTCTCTGCAACCGGCCTGAGCGTGAGTGTCAAGAGTGCTAAGGGTGGCGGACTCTCGGTGTCGTCGAGCCGAAGGCGCCATGTCGTCACCGTTAGCTTCGCTTCTCCACACGCTTCAGTGCAAGGCAATAGCGCACCAACCAACTCCCTTAAACATGCCTGCTCCGACTCGCGTGCGCCATTTCTGGGGACGGCAGACCCTTCACCGCACCTCGCATGCTCGATCGCCCCGCGTGAATATTGACGCATCTCCCCCCTCTGCACAACACTTCGCATCTTCCACTCTTGCGAAACCTTCACCAACGACAAAAATTCTTACTACCGAGGCTGGCGCTGGAGAATGTTTTGGTCCGACTTCAATCCATTTTCTACAAGTCCGAGACCACGATAGGATTACACTTTTCCCTTGGGCCAAGTGTAATTACATCCGCCCTAACATGGTCGCAAGGGAACAGCATACGGTCAAACATACGCGATGGCGACGATTGATCCCAACGATGACTTCTCGACACGAGGGCCAGTGGTAATGGGTGTATCCGCTGCGACACTCGCCCTCTGCTCTCTATTTGTGGGCCTACGACTAATCTCCCGATTTATGGTGATACGAAAGCCAGGATGGGACGACTACACCATGATTCTGGCCTGGATCCTCGCTTTCGGTGCCTCGTTTGCAATCTGCTATGGAACGACCAAAGGACTTGGCCGGAGACAGGAAGACATACCGACAGGCTGGCAACAGCCACTGAAGAAGTCTTCTTTCGTGTTCTCGGTTCTATATGTACGCAACTGTCCCTACTGAAAGTCGATGCAAGTCTGATCTCCTGCAGAACCCTACTTTGATGGCAACAAAGACTTCTATACTCGTCTTCTATTTGTCCCTTTCCAAGACGCACAAGGTCTTTCGCTGGGCGACTATAGCGACTCTGGTTGTTGTCAATGTCGGCGGCCTGGCCTTGACTATACTCAACATTGCACAGTGTCGTCCCGTTGCTGCAGCACTGGGCATCAACTGTACCTGCATCGGCCTCTTGCACAAACGTTGTCACCATTTACCTCTCGTCCGCTCCCCTCAACATTATCACGGATCTTGCCATCTTTTTCCTTCCAATGCCCATTCTTACCAGTATGCGCCTTCCGAAGAAGCAAAAGATCATTCTAGTCATCACCTTTGGTTTTGGTGTTTTTGTTGCGGTAGTCGATGTTATTCGCATCGCCTATCTACAGAATGCGCAGCGGGCTACACTGCGCGCTGCGCATAGTAATCAATCCGGCACAGGCAACGATCATTTCGAAACCGGCAACGACCAGAGAAATACGGGCGACTTCGCGTGGTACTCTTCGCTCTCGTTCATGTGGAGCGCCGTGGAGATCAATGTGGGCATAATGTGTGGCTGCGTTCCTGCGCTGAAGCCCTTGGCCCGGAGATTCATGCCGACCTGGATCATTGACCACACATCGATGCGCGACCTCTCAGGCACACATACAAGTGATGAGCCGGTACTCCACCCCGATATCCTCGACTCTCGAAGACGCTCTGATCCCTTGACGCCTCCGCTGTCACCTTTAGGCAAACCACCGCCTGCACGTAGCAGTGGTGATGAGCCCATGGGGATGCTGGATTTCCTTACGACTCCAGAAATGAACGACCTGCCGCAGTTGAGACCGTCCAACACTGCTGTTACATATGCGACAACAACGCGTACCCGCGGCCACCAACAGATGGCGTTTTTTGACTTCGTAAACACTGGACGAACGAAAAATATCACCTTGCGAAGTGTGCGCGAGTCAGTCTATCCTGTACTGATGGTGACATTCTTGTTCTTCATATGGGGATTTGCCTATGGATTCCTGGACGTCCTCAATTCTCGCTTTCAGGAAGTGGCTCGCATGTCGGATTGGCAAACTGTAGGACAGCACAGTGCCTACTATGTTGGCTATATCGTTGGTCCACTGACGTTTGGGCGGCTGGTCTTCAAGGCGTGGGGCTTCAAAGCATGTTACATGGTCGGCCTGTCGGTATACGCCTGTGGTACGCTTGTCTTCTGGCCTTCTGCTGTCCTCGACTCCTTCCCCGCATTTCTGGTGTCGAACCTCATTGTGGGCGCTGGTCTTTCGACATTAGAATTAGCCGCCAACCCGTTCATCGCACTCTGTGGCCCCCCAGAGTACGCTGAAGCACGTTTGAGCCTATCGCAAGCTGTCCAAGCCATCGGCACCGTCGTCTCTCCATTGTTGGCAAAGAAGGTTCTCTTCACTGCCAACGCAGAGAGTCTCATTGATGTACAATGGACATACCTCGGCATAGCATTCTTCAACATCATACTGGCCATCATCTATTTTTACATACCTCTGCCAGAAGCCACTGACGAGGAACTTGAGATCGCAAGCGCACGTATGCCTATTCCGCGAGACGCCACAATCAACATCGGCCGAAGGCCTGTCAAGGTTCTTTGGATAGGGCTTGGGCTAGCTGTATTCTCACAATTCTGTTATGTTGGAGGCCAGGAATCTACGTCCACGTCATTTTCGGAGTATCTCCATCGTGTTAAGCCATCTCTCAACACCGATTCACATCAAGCTATCGGTCATACTGCATTCGCCGCATCGCGTTTCCTGGCGGCTGCTATCGACATATGGGTCAAACCTCGCTACAGTTTGTTGTTCTTCTACCTTGGAGCCGTTACCTTCGCTGCTGCTACCATGAACACGACGGGGTCAGCCGGCGCTGCCATGATAATCCTCCTCATGTTCTGTGAGGGACCTCTATTCCCACAAATTTTTGCTCAAGGCATTCGTGGCATGGGAAGGCACACCAAAGACGCCTCAGTACTGCTCACTTCAGCTATCGGAGGTGGGGCTGCCATCCCTCCTGTCATGTTTGCAGCATTGAAGACCCACAATCCACAATACGCGTTCTGCGTCATCATTGCCGCTTATGCCGCCCGGCATGCTGTACCCTATCTGGCTGAATTCTATACCCGCGGTCAAGATACTCTCCGATCCCGCTCGCGACGAACACACTCGGAGGGAGTCGGAAGCTGAAGTGAAGAGGAAAGACTCAATGGGTGAAAGCAAACCGAGGCGATTCAGCAGAATCAAGAATCGTTTCAGCTGGAATCGGGATGAACGCCTACCTCAGATCGAGCACAGAGAAAGAAGGAGTTGGCCTGAAGGACTCGCTCCTAGGACGGAGCATAATGCTAGCTTGGTCACCGACTTTGCTATGCCTATCCTGCGCACTCACTCCAATCATTAGAGGAGTGGGGTTTTGGCAGTAGGAGATGTTGGTTATGGTTTCGTTGCATTTCAGTTTGGCGTTCTGGAAGATACCACGGGTTTTGAGGGTTTGGCGCTCATTAGCATAGTGACTTTCAGAAAGAGTCACTACGGATTTCATGTCTACATTGCATAGCTAGCATCATGTGGGTCCGCCCAGCATTTTAATGTTAAACTTACCATCACCTGTATCTTGAAGATGATCTCCTCCACGGAGTTGCTCAGCTAGATTTGGTGGATATAGATTTTGTTTTGAAGAGGACAACAATTCCAGGGCTTCATTCGCCCATGCACAAACAACTGCCACAGTAACTGAACGTCCCCTTCGCGTGCTGTCACCAACACCTCTTTTCACAATCAAGTTATCACGAATAGACGTAAATCGCAATGTGAGTCGCAATGATGTATGCATTCTATTCGACTTCTAAAACCATGCTGAAGCCGCTCCCATACCTCAGCGAACAACTCGACTGACACATCCTCGCTTCACCAACATCGCCGTCGCATTCGTCTCAGCCATACATGCCATCCGTTCCTCACAACTCCGAAGTTTCATCTATGAGCAATGAGAGTTGTGTGGATCATCCAGATGCAGATGCATATTGCCCGACCATGCTCGCAAGCACCACGAACACGATGGGAGGCACGAACCGCCATCCAAGCACACGGATCCAGGATTTCCGCTGCGCATCATCGTCCTCCAAGATGATCTCTGCTACATCGTCATCGCCCACTTGTCGTTCTTGAATGAGAAAAACAACACTATTCCAGCCAGCATTGTGGCAATGTTGGAGCTGGGAAAGCCAAATACGTCGGTTCTTCATGTCCACCATCTGCTCTGGGCCGCCACATTCACCTGGCACGTATGCCAGCAGGCGATGAGTGGCGGGCTTTGCTCCGAATTCTCGACTAAGGAAGCGCCAGAAGTTGAGCAGTGACAGATGTTCAACTGTTAACGAGGCACGGTCAGTCCCCGGGACTAGATGGTGTGGCATTATCGAATCCTGCGACTTGCCGTATTTGATGATGAAAACACTAGGAAGGAACTGGTATTCTTGGGAAGAACGAGTAGGCATCGTTGTTGTGGCGGAACTGTCGGTGGCTGGTGCAGAGTATTCGGGTTCGGGAGTAGAGGCGGGTGTGGCTGTCATGTCGTTGTGGATGTGGGTGATTTTGAGATTGGTTGAAGTAATTGTTCTTGTGGAGTCGCGTTTGGAGGAGTGTGCGATATGGAGCTTGGGAAGAGGATGCGCTGGGAGGAATATATATGCAACGCGCTGTGAGACTTCTAGGCACACAAGCGAGCGACAAGTGAATCTGTAAACCGGAGAACAAAGAATAGGCTGATGTCGAAAGGCTGCCTAGTTCGATGTAGCAAATTTTTCAAACTTGTGGACATACTAAGCAAGCCATGGTCAGTCGAGGTACTTTTCCACTGTTCGCCGTGTTCAGTTTACCTGACTCAGACACGATTTGATGATGTCTCTACACAGCTTTGCTCACTTTGCGGCTCCCACACGACCTGGTTTGACAATGTAGCACTTCATGGCCTCCATGAATTTCTACAGAGCTGCGTGTGAAACGTGTTTGTCTTACTATCTGTTGCCTAGTCTTTGTCCTGCGACCAGTGATTTGAGACACAGGTGTTTGCTCGGACCAGAGCCTTCCATCCTAAGTTTATAAATTCCTTCCTACGCCTCATTCTTACCTATCTTTCCATAACAACTCCTCTACACAATATCAACCACAGACAAAATGCAACAAAACAAGAATTCAACTGCTGGCCCAGGCCCTTCACCCAGCACAATGGTCTTCACCTTAACTCATGGCACCTCAAAATACTCTATCATGGCGTCCCCCTTCAGCGTGTATGATCGTGTGCCATACACTGTCGAAACAATCTGCCTACTCAAGTTCTGGAACTTCATCACCTACAAGACCGGAGCCACGACTACCACCCATGATCTGATCGCGCACGTTCCCAATTCACTTGGAGGCAGAGGCGAGACAGTGCACATGGTGAGTGCAATCACTTGGGTCGCTCATCTTCGGCGCTGTCAGAACGCTGGCTGGTACGACGTCTATTTCGACATCCAGGAGCGAGAAGCAGGTGCCGCTGAGCCGGAGGCTATATTGGAGTACCTCATTGACATCCATGAGATGGAATGTGCGCAGCAGCGCCGTAACACCAAGGAGATACGGGGTTCTGTAGAGGATTCGAACGGAACGGTGCGTGATTGGGTCTTCATGTTCCTTATGCTAGTCGCTGTCTGTGCTGGAATGATCTTGGAGAATCATGCAGCGGGATCAAAGGGCCCGCTTGGTAACGGACCTGGTCAAAAATTGGCCTGAATGGGGTAACGAGTCTGTCGGATGGGGTGGCGAGTCTGTTGGAGCAAGTGGCTCGTCGTTGAGTGTTTCCTGGGGCGTGGAGGTCTCTGTGCTGAGAACGCTCGTAGATTTCCTAAATGTCAAACAGATTGAATACCTGATTACAGATCGTTCTGTGCTTCATCCATCTCTGTCGTGATGAATTGATATGCAGAATAAGAAGTGAAGCATCCGAAAACGTGTGAACAGAACCTGCATCGCTCTTGATATACCCGATTCGGAAGGTGTCGATTGCGGTAAGCAATTGTACCAATTCTTAGCAAAGTAGTCTGCCATGTACGAGTGCAGCCGCGCACCAAATCGTACGAAAGCCGCGAACTTCACACTCAGCAATATTCAATTACTGCGACGGATGTTCCATAGTTATCAAATGATAATAGATGAAATAAGATGTATATCGAATGGAATTTATGGTTGATGGCGAATAAGCTGTTCGTGATATCAGCAGTTGTAGCTCGGCCTTGGCATATCTGAACTGACCTCATGGATTCCCAAATATTTGCGGGCAACGGCGGAGGTGCTTGCCATTTCCAATCACTCCACCACCACACTTACCGAACTTCACAATGTTTTCAAGACGTGCAATTCCCTCGGTAATAGTTCCACCCACCTTGTTCATGCGCGTATATTAATCATTGCAACCAGGCATTCCGAGCAGCTACCCGCGCAAGCACACCATCGACTCGCCCCTCCGCGCCACTACGCTTCATCACACCGTTCCAAGCACGATTTCTTTCCGATCAAGTCAAAGCGGCGATTGATAAGGCGGTCGCATCGGCGCCGGTTGTTTTGTTCATGAAGGGCACACCAGAGACACCACAATGCGGGTTCTCAAGAGCGAGCATACAGATTCTGGGCATGCAGGGCGTGGATCCAGAGAAATTCACTGCTTTCAATGTTCTGGAGGACCAGGAGTTGCGTGCAGGTATGTTTGGATGATTGTGTACTCAGGCGAAGGTTTTGGTGTGATATGGGGATGCTGCAGGTGAAGCAACAAGACAATATACTGACGTGTTATCTACAGGTATCAAGGAATACTCGGAGTGGCCGACCATACCACAACTGTACGTCGAGAAGGAGTTCATTGGTGGCTGTGACATCCTCATGTCAATGCACCAGGACGGATCGCTGGCGAAGATGCTGGAAGAGAAAGGTGTTGTTGTGCCTGCTGAGGGCGAGCAGAAGCCATAAGACATGAAAAAGAGAAGAAAATACCTGGACCAAGCTTATATGTTATTTCTGTAATATATGTCTTGTTGCGCATTGAGGCCTTGTAACATACATATGAAGTGCGTGCGATGCGAGCATAGAATCGTCCACGGCAAATCCAGCTTGTCGTAAGTAATCGCGTGCAGGTCTAACTTTCTCCCGTCTTTTTCTACTCGTCTCAGCTCAGTTTGCCCGAGCTCCTTCCTTTGCAAGACGGTGTGCTGCTATCCCCATCGCGCCTTCCTTGCCGGAGTCGGAACAACCTTGGAGCCTAAAACGACGCTGCCAAACCTCACAGTGCCCTCAATCTTCCCTGAACCACGAAAAGAACTGCGGAGGAAAACCAACTACAGTAGCATGGAGGTCCAGCATAATAGCCGTGCCTTGCGGCCTCGCCACAGCAGAAAGCCACCCGCAAAGCAGACCGTAACAGCAGCAGTAAAGAAAACAGTCTCGGTCGCCGCAGTCTTCAAGCAGCCACCGCAGAAATCAAAGAATGACAAGATCAGAGTTCAGAAGCCTGCCTCCGACGACAAAGTCCAGAGCCACAAATCCAGGTCCAGTTCCCACAGCCCTCACAAAGCCGGATCACGCGTATCGAAGAAGAAATCCGCCCTCCATCCGCTCGCCATAGCCTTCAAGAGTAAACATTCTTTCCAATCGAAATCTCTCTTATCACATCACCATCTAACACCCTTAGACACAAGCGACTCCTACCGCCGGCAACTCTACAAATCCACAACCCTCAAGATAAACACCACTCTTGCCACCCTCACCCACACCCTCTACGACTCCACCCTCCAACCAATCTCATCCTCCATCAACTCCGAGCATTCTCCCATTCGCCTCACCATTCCCGCCAAATTCGCCCGTGCTGCACACAAACTTTACGCCCCCATTAGCGCGTATAAAATCGGCCTCACACGTACGAACACCGATGGCACGCAGACCAAGTTCCCCGCGACCCTGGAGGCGCGCATGGCGGATTACGCGCATCTGATTGCGAGCCAGAAGGAGGAGATTGAGAAGCTGCGGGATAAATGGGAGGCGGTCGTTGGTGAGATATGGAAGGTGGGGGTGCAGGTAATTGGCGCAGAGGGTGTGGAGAGTGTCTTGTTCGTCAAGAAAGACAAAGGCAAGGGCAAAGAGAAGGCGAGGAGGGACGTCGAGCCCGAGAGTTCGTTGTTCGTGGGCGAGCAAGAAACATCCCCGCCGGCGAAGAAGACGAAGAAGCGCGTCACGTTTGTCGAAGATGTGCAGGATATGCCGAGATCGGATCTGGCTTTCTTGTATCAGCCGACGCGTCTGCGTGTCGGGCCCGTGGCCGATGCGCCGAATATGCCGGTGCTGGAGATTGGGGCGCTGGAGAAGAGGGTTAAGGAGATGGGGCAGAAGGAGTATGCGGAGTTGAAGAAGGCGGAGGGCGATTATAAGGCGTACTGGCAGAAGAAGAATCAGAGGCTGGCGCAGGTCTTTGGGGAGGATTGAGAAGGTGAGGGAAGTGTGGGGATGTGTTGTATGATTATGGCGATGTGTATGGCGAAAGTATCGTGGCTAGGAGATATGTGGAGTATTTACGGGTCATGTATAGGAAATGGGTAGGCGCAATGGACGGACAGTGTTGTCACGATACGCACAAAAGATTCAGCCATAATATGAACAAGCTGTATTCCAGCTCAAACGCAAAGAAGATCTAAATGGTCTACATGGATATCACAATGGGCAAACGTCACCCTCCACCTCTCACTCCCATCTAATCAAAGCTGCTCTTGAACACATAGCGCTGATCCTCGGGCTGCTCAAACGGCACACCGAGCTCAAACAGCGTCATAACCGCGTCACTAAAGTCCTTGAAGAACACCTCGTTATCCTTGGCGTACAGCTCCGTGTACTTCCTGAAGCTCTTATCCTTGACGAGCTCCATATCCGTCGGCAGCATCATGAGGGTCTTGGTCTTGACATCCTCGAACTGCTTGGGGCCGTTCCACTTCTTGTAGCCCCACTTCTCCTCGAGCAGCAGCTTGTAGTAGTCGTTGGTCATGGTGGTGGGGCTGAACGTCCACGGGCCATCGTAGCCCGAGCGATCAGTGTGGCAGCGGCCCAGCGCGTGGGCGCCAGACAGCGCGACCATCTCCTTGTCGCCGAAGCCCATGCGGCCGAAGATGGCGCGGATGTGGCTGTGGTCCTTGCTCGCGTCAGGCAGGCGGCCGTCGGGCGTGCAGAAGCTGACGTCGCGGTCGGAGCGGCCAGCGCGGTAGGGGATCTTGGGGCCCTGCATTTCTTGGATGGAGCAGACGCCGGCGAGGATCCAGAGGTCCGAGTATGTGATCCAGGGGAAAGCTTCCTTCACGGGCTCGAGGAAGTCGCGGGCGGCTTTGAGGCCGGCGTTGGCGCCGTGGTCGCCTTCGGGGGCGAAGCGCATGGTTGCGCCGTTGGAGCCGCCGGTGTTGGTGAGCTTGTCGTAGCTGGTATTGTCAGTGTGTGTGCAACAAGAAGTATGACTCTGTTTGGCTTACGTTCCAGATGCGTGCCATGCCAACCGCACCAGGACGGGGCCGTAACTGCCATCGTCGTAGTTGTCATGCTCCTCAAGTCTCTTCGCAATGGCGTTGTAGACCTTCTGGTAGTCCTCGAACCTGGGCACGAACGAGGCGGACTTAGGCTCCTGGCCAAACAGCTCAGGCTTTTGGATGTACAGGCCATAACCAGCGGCCACGGCGAGCAGAGCAGCAGCTCCCGCGATCATGCCGGAGGGGTTGCCCTCGTATTTCTCGGATCCGCCCTCAGAGCTGGAAGCATAGCTGCGTTGCCACTGCTTGCGAAAGGCGGGCTGCGAAGGGGCGGCAAAGCGAGCTGAGCGTGTGGTGGTTGCACGGAAAGATGGAGCTGCGGTGCGCAGAGCACGAGAGAAGTTTCGTGAAGCGGAAGCCATCGTGGTGGGTTGTGTGCTGAAGTTTGCGGTTGGCTGACCGAAGTGATGGAGCTCTCGTCGAGAGTGTAAGACGAGCTGTCAAACTTGTCTGTGTGGCTTGTAGTAGTCAATTGAGCCGCTCAAGGCTGTAGTGATCAATGTCAAAAGAGGGAAAGGAGCAACAGATTGAATCAGTGCAGAGGATAAGCGTACTTAAAGTAGCAAAGACGAGGCAACATTTCTCCAGAAAGACCCGAGATAGCAAAAAAAGTGGACCGCGGCCAGCCAATAAAACATCATTAGATCATCAACCGTCTAGAATCTTAGATATCGTAATCGCGCCCTCTTGCACCATCACAGGCCACATGTCGCCGATGACGGGCAAGGAGTTTCGGCGTGTTTAAGAGCGAGATTTGAGAAGAAGTCACCGATCATGAACAAGGGATCTTGCTACATTTTGTAGCTTGCAGCCGCAGGACCCCAGGCCCAATGACAGGGCCTGGAGGTCGGTGGCGTGCCAGATCTACGCAGGCCATGTGAGGGGTAATGCAATGCGGCTCTGCGACATGGCCTCGTGGAGCATGAGGGGCAAATATACACAATTGTATCTTGGTGTTGCTTTTTGGCTCGTTATGATATTGTGACACGCCTATGGTGTCGCATCTCTGTCCTTACAGTCCAGAGCTTGCTGATTTGTCAAGCGGCGAATGCCTTACTCGCATCTTCTCCACATGCCGCTTCGTGGCCGAGAGCGGCACGAATGACCACAGGGGTGCTCTGTTCTCCGCAAAGCAGGCATCCGCTGATCAAGCATGACAATCGAGTGTTTAATAAGTTATGTTTGAATTGGTCATTTAGTCTATGCGGTGATATTAACGAAACCAAGAAGCGCCATCCCTCGAAGCGCCAACGCATTATCATATGTCCATGCGATCATGTCTATTTACCAACGCTATGCAGAACGGTTCCATAAAAGCATTACTCGGGATATCAAAATCAGGCACCAGCACCATCAGATGCAAACGCCACCGTGTGACGCTGTCAAGCGAACCAAACTCCAAAGAAACACGCGCGCAAAAGAAAAAAACAAATCAAAACATGTGACTGGATGGCGGGGGAAGTGTAGAAGAGGGAGGTTGAGATTGGGGGTGTGATCCGCCGTGAGGTTGGTACTGAATGGGGGGCAGAGTCTGGCTGGTTCGTTGAGCAAGTGTCTGGTAGTGCAGGTGGGCGAGAGTCTGGTGGTGGAATGATGCGGAACCCTGGTGAAATGGGTGTGGCAAAGTAAAGCCTTGAGCATGTGGCGGGCCCAGACTGTGACCAGATGGCGAAGAACTACCATACAAAGCATGATGTGGAACAAGTGGGAGACCTTGACCTGGCGGATAGCCCGTGGCGCGACTAAGCGAAGGTAATGATTGTTGTTGTTGTTGTTGTTGATGCTGCTGCTGTAGTTGGTGTTGGTGTTGGTGTTGGTGTTGATGTTGATGTTGATGTTGATGTTGATGTTGATGTTGTTGATGTTGCCGCGGTAGTGGCTGCGGTATCTGAGGTGGCGGCTGCGACTGGGGTCGTTCCATGACACTGACTATGCTAATTGGTGTCGAAGTTCCAGACGCTGTTGACGCAGCGGGACGCTCTTCTTGCAGACCGCCCTTGGCTTTGAGTTCGGCAGCTTCTTTCTCGAGCTTTGGCTTGAGCTGTAACCAAGATGTGCTATTCGGATCCTTGGGAATACGGATAGCGCGACGATACGACGGACAGCACTCTAGCTCGCGGGCGCTGATAGCGGGCTCGAGCTCAGACGCTTTTGCCTGGTAGTATGTTTTGCGCGCTGCCTTCTTGAGAGTGTAGTCCTGGCTCCTTGCACCGCGCATCAGCTCTTCCCAGCCCTCCATCTCTTTTGCGAATAACCTGCGTTCTTCTACAACCCTCACCTTAGGTTCATACCATGCGTTCAGCTCCGCGCCCCAAGCTGCAGGGTCCTTATTTTGGGCTCTCAGGGTATTATATTCAGCAACAAGCTTGTTCACATCCGCTCTAAGATAGACCGTCTTCAAGGCATGAGTAGTGGCGGGCCCAACACCAACAAAATTTCCCCAAGAGTCCAGAATGCCGGCGGGGAGACAACTGTGGAGAAATGAGAGATCTTCGTTAAGTGCACTACGCAGCATGGCAACAGCTTCGGGTTCGCGGCAGTGCTTCTTTTTCAGACATTCTTTACACCAGCGACGGAGAAAAGCCCAGTAGGTTTTGCGGGTATTCGGGGTTTTACACGATTGACAGCCGTGGTCGTGGCGCAGATCTGCATATTGAAACTCGGTGAGCTCAGAAGATGGCTCCGGGAGGTCGTCGCCGTAATGGTAATTTCTGCTGTGCTTCCATAGCGCCGGGTTGTCTCGCAAAAAGTGATAGCAGGAAGGAATAGTTCTGCGCATTTCCAGGAGTTGCGCAGGGTCGGAAAACGATAGAATGGTGAACCAGCAGTCTAGATCAACGCCCTTGGAGGGAAGCTTGGGCTTCTTGATTTTATGCAGTTTTATTGTTGACGGGCGCTGGTGACTGATAGACCGCTCAGGAAGGGTCGCCGTTGTTGAACTTCCGGACGTTGAGCCGTCGGGTTGCGGTGTGGTCCTACTACTCGATGCATCGTGTTCACTAACATCTCCAAGGGCGCGCTTGCGTTTCAGGGCGCCATCCACATCGACAAAAGACACCTGTTGAGAGAGCACATCTTTCGCATCCCTCGCTATCCGCTTCGCGCCGGGCTTGCGACAGTTGATTATGGCGCCATGTGCCTGTGTCGAAGCCTGGCAGTTGGGCTGCTGCGGATGGACTTTGAAGGCGTAGTTTTTCGCATTAACCATGTCAGCAGTCCCGCCGCTGAGAGAGATTTAGTCGATCGCGCGCAGTCGTTGCTCCGGGGTAGTTAGCCAGGGTCGTCGAAAGTCGCGGCTGCAGTGGCCGTCGTGGTGGGGTTGCTGGTTGTCGTCGGCGGGGAGAGGCTGACGAAAGAGGGACGCAGAGTTGACGACGATGAGTTTTAAGAGCGCCCAGGCTTAGGTCGCGGAAGTTCCATGGTTCGAGGCGCCGATTGGTGTCGGGCATATTGGGTTGGCTTTGAGTGACTAAGCTTTGCTCCTTTTCAGCAGCAAGCCATCACTTGTTTGACAACTCCATGCTGCGTTCAGGCTGGCCAAGAGTGCCGCTCGTGGAAACAACGTCGAGTTCTGTTCAGATGCAGCATCGGAATGCCCTGCGCCGCAACGCCGCACAGCTCGCGTTGCACACCCGATGTCGTCCCGAAGATCCTCGCTGGAGTTGCTTCAACTGGCCTTCGCCAAAATAGACGCCACAGCCGCCGATGACGGTCACGGGGCTGCCGTCACATCCGGCCGTCGCCAGCAGACACTGGAATCACCTGCACAGAGCGACACTCTTTGATTATCGATCACCTGCGTCGTGCAGCCACTTATCGGCGATCCTCAGCTAGCCGAACGGACGCCCTGCACAAGACCAGCATCACCCTTGGCCAGGCTTCTCCACGCGTGACTATCCGGGGAACAAACATGGGTTGTGGGGATGGACATGGCAGCTTCCTCTTTCGGGAGCGAGTGGCTTGCACCTCGCGAACTTTGGGATTTCGCACCCACAGTGACGCGGGGTTCGCGATGCGCGAATGGTCGGATTCGACTAGCTTAAGCGACCTCGGCATAGACCGCAGTCAGCCTCTGGCTCACTATCGAGTCACGATATATTTCTTCACTCCTTATCCCACAGGCCTGGAATACCGCGTCGTACTCTAGCTTTCGATTCTGGTGCATTAGTCCGGCCGAAGGGCGATCATTCAACGTCTACCAGGGTTCAAGTGTCCATGATACCGTCGACAAATTCGGTACGCGCCCAAGATGTTTTCTAGAAAAGAAAGTAAGTTGAGGCTCTTCTCTACCATATTTCACCGATGCTAGCTGCTAGCGCGTGCTAGTCTGTGTGTTTCTCAGCCTCAATACTGACTATGCGCAGAGACGATCGACTCCCCAGTCGGCAGTACAGACGGAGGAGTGCCTCACTATGCGGGCCACGAACACGATGAGGCGCCAGAGCTGGTGCAGTGTCCGGCACACACCACTGAAGCGAAGCTGCTCACCAAGATTGATCTCCATGTCATTCCGTTCTTGTGCATCATGTAAGGATGGCTATCTATTATCAACACACGGGGGAAACATTTCTAATACAACTTGCAGGTACTTGCTCGCATTCTTGGACCGAGTAAATATCGCCAACGCCAATGTCTTCGGTCTATCAGAAGAGCTGGGCATCGCGGGTGGGAACAAGTACAACATTGCGCTGGTCATCTTCTTCGTACCATACATCTTGTTCGAAGTCCCCTCTAATATCATCCTCAAGATGATGAAACCCAGAATGTGGCTGTCCATCTGCATGTTTGGCTTTGGTCTCGTCACTTTACTCCAAGGCTTCGTCCAGAACTACTCCGGACTACTGGCCACCCGATTCTTCCTCGGTGTTTTTGAGACAGGCATGTTCCCAGGCGCGTTTTATCTCATCGGGATGTGGTACCGACGCCACGAAGCGCAAAAGCGCTACTCCTTCTTCTTCTCCTCGACCACCCTCGCCGGCGCATTCGGCGGCCTACTCGCCTCTGCCATCGGCAAAATGGACGGAATCCGTGGCTACAGAGGCTGGCGCTGGATTTTCATCTTAGAAGGCTTGCTCACCGTCATCGTCTCCTTTTTCTTCTTCTTCCTGCTCCCCAACTTCCCCGAGGAAAGCAAATGGCTCACCGAAGACGAGCGCGCATACGTCAAAGCCCGCCTGCAAATCGACCAGGGGAAATCCGCCCGCGAGCGCCCCATTACCATGCGCGACGTCGGCCGCGTATTCAAAGACCCTAAGATCATTGTTGGCGGCTTCATGTACTTTGGCCTGATTGTGCCGGCGTATGGCTACGCGTACTTCAGCCCGACTATCATCCGCAACTTTGGCTACTCGCCTATCCAGACGCAATTGCACTCTGTCCCTCCGTGGGCCGCAGCGTTTGGATTCAGTATGCTGGTTGCGTACTTTTCCGACCGGATTAAGCATAGGTTTTTCTTCACTATTTTCCCCATTTGCGTGTGCATCGCTGGGTTCGCCATCTTGCTCACTGTGCACGGCAAAGAGCACCGAAATGTCCAATATGCCGCGCTATTCCTCGTTGCCATGGGTAAGTCCTCTCCGCAATCTCCCATCTTGAAGTTGCTAACATTTCCAGGCGCATACACGGCCATGCCGGTCATCGTGTGCTGGTTCAACATGAATCTAGGCGGGCACCACCGCCGCGCCATCGGATCCGCGTGGCAAGTCGGCTTCGGCAACATTGGCGGAATCATCGCTGTGTTCAGTTTTCTTTCCAAAGACGCGCCTAAATACATTCCGGGTTATTCGATTAGCATCGCGTTTGTCTGTTTGAGTGCGCTGAGCTGCACGCTGTACTTTTTCATGTGCAGTTGGGCGAATAGGAAGAGGGATAAGAGCGTCAGAGATGTCGGGTTGACCGAGTATGAGAAGACGGAGCTGGGCGATCTGAATCCTGAATATAGGTATCAGTTGTAGATGCGAGTGGTAAAAGCGGGGATGTAGTGTTGAAAAAAAAGTGTAGATAAGAAAGCGCGAAATGCTAGTATGTCGCGGTATATATCAATTATCTCGAGAAGTGAAAGTTGGTTTTTGCTTCGACATAGTAAGAGAAAAGAATCGAGAGCCGGGATTGTGATGATCAGGTATGTTATTTTGATGTAACTACTCCAGCGAACACTCTGGTGTGCACTGAGCTACAACGTGCCATCCTGTACTACTTCCCGAATTCGCGGAGGCCTTCCCTTCCCTAGATTGGCCTTGCGGCGAAGCCTTCGAGTCTGCTGATCGTGCCGAATGATAATCACTCTGGTAGATGCCAAGACAAGTTTGCTTCCCTAGAGCATGATCGAGTGGCAATCGCCATTGTGCCTCGCCGTATGTAGCTTTTGCTGCTGATAGGCTGGAGGCGGTTTTCGTGATGACACTGAACTGAAGATGTCCTCGTGTAATGGTCGCTGGCTGCGCACGTCTTTGTTAAGTTTTGTACACCTTACTCAAGCGAACCATTCAAGTCCCGTTCTGTGCTGTAGTCACGCTCTCCGTCTCCCCATCACTCTCCCCATGTCCCCAGATCTCTTTACTCTCGCTCTCAACACCCCTCATTGCCTTGGCCACCTCCTCTAGCTTGACCACGACCTCCTGCACGCCCTTATTGACCTTCTCAAAGTATCTGTCATTCTCCTCCCTCCTCTTCCTACTCAGCTCAATATCCTTCTCCGTCTCTTCCTCCAGGCTGATTCTATCGAAGAGCTTGTCACCCTTGCTGCCACTGGCATTACTAACGCCCCTCGCGCGACCATTTTGAGGACCCAAATCCGCAGCACTAATGTCCTGTGCTTTCTTCTGGCCTTCGCCTGATTCGTTCTCTTCGCCTTCGGATCGCGCCCAGGCTTTTGCCAGCTCGATTTGTGCCATGCGTAGCTCGTCCAGCGCGCGCGAATGCTCTGATCCAAACACTGTCATGCCAGGGCCCTTGATAGCGCTTAGCTCCACCTCTTCCAGCGTGTTCTGCATCTCTGCCCATATTGCCTCCGCGCGGGACGATGCCTCGGCGTCTGCTACCAGGCTTTGTTGCCGATGTCGCCTGACAAAGGGAGCAGATGTGTTGGAGGTGGTGACACTGAGCAGGTCGCCATCATATTGGGTGCTGGTGGTAGGGGGTAAGGGTCGCTTCGAGTCTGGCGAAAGGAGGGAGCGTTGGCGGACTAGAGATGGCTTTGTAGGTGTGCGGTTATCATTACTGGGTAACAACAGTGAGGTGTTTGAAGCATTGTGAGACGGTGGGCCAACGAAGAGCGCAGGCGCGGGCAGACGGTTGCTCGGCGTCTTTGAGGTCTTGCTCTTCCTGTCCGAGGCCATGGTTGTTCGGGTGTGGTCTATCCGATGTATGTGCTACTGTCTTCAATTTGACAAGAAGATCAGACTAGAGACTTGCGCGACAAATGTTTCTAGCCTCGGAACACCACAGGAGTCTCACAACATAATTCATGCTCAAGTGTGGTGATGTTGCAGCTCATGTCGGTGACGCGGTATCGATAGCCCTGGAGCCTACATCGGGCTAGCCTCGCTGTCGGACTAGCGCCAAAGCAACCCACTCCACAAGCGAACGAATTTCGACGACTTTGACCTTCGAACCACCCAACGTCCATCAACACCACGACAACACCGCAATCATGGGTAAAGGTACGCACACCCTCCAATCGCACAGAAATACCACAGAAACACGCACCGCATAAATTATCGTCCACACAAGCTCACAATAACTACAGGAAAGCCAAGAGGTCTCAACGCCGCCCGCAAGCTCCGCAACCATCGTCGCGAGGGACGATGGGCCGACCTCCACTACAAGAAGCGTCTCCTCGGAACCGCCTACAAGTCTTCGCCATTCGGTGGATCTTCCCACGCCAAGGGCATAGTCCTCGAGAAGGTCGGTGTTGAGGCCAAGCAGCCCAACTCCGCCATCCGAAAGTGTGTCAGGGTTCAGTTGATCAAGAACGGAAAGAAGGTCACTGCTTTCGGTACGTCTGCAACTTCACGCTTCATCCAGTTCTGGGACTTGAGGCCTGGAGGATGAAAAGATGGCAAGCGAGACGTGGAACGAGGGCTAACAACACACTCAGTCCCCAACGACGGTTGCTTGAACTTCGTGGACGAGAACGACGAAGTCCTCCTCGCCGGTTTCGGTCGTAAGGGCAAGGCCAAGGGTGATATTCCCGGTGTGCGTTTCAAGGTCGTCAAGGTCTCTGGTGTCGGTCTGTCGGCTCTGTGGAAGGAGAAGAAGGAGAAGCCCAGGTCATAGACAACCAAATCGTCTACAGGAGTTGGGAACGATACGAACGCTGAACGAGGCCCGCCATGAACAAGGACTGACGGACCCGCGGTCTATTATGGGAGGCTACTGGAGTCTTTACTGGGGATATTCCTGTGCTTCTACTCGGCATACGAAAAGACATGACATGCTGGAGGGTTAGATAGAGAATCTGACTCATTCAAGCGCCCACAAGTGATCCATGGCACGATGAGTGATGTACCCGTTGTATATACTGAGCATGCCCTTCGCTAACCAAAATGTACAAGAAAGACGTCATAATCATCAGAATCGCTCCCCTAATCTAACACGCCAACGGAAAACAATGCAACGCAGCGACCAAAAACAGGGTATCTAAACCAAACGCCAAACAATGCTACGCTCATGCACCCAAAGACCGTGCCGTACCCCAACGCACCACCCGAGCCCAGCTCATTTTGTAAAGAAATCGTTAAACGTCTCCTCGAATCGATCCTCGAGCCCCGTATCCTTCATCGTCCCGTAATAATCATACTTGAACTTGGGACTCGCAAAAAGCTCCGCATCCCTCTTGACGTTCCGCGGCACACCGAAACCATCCAACCCTTTCGTCTCGCCCACCTCGCCACGCGCCTTCTGGTCCTCTGCGAAGAAATTCGGCGTCGTTTCCTTCAGCGGCGGATCCCAGACGGAGCGCTTCCAGGGATCCGCTTTGGCCTGCGCGGGTGCCTTGGGGGCGGCGGGGACTTTGTGCCGGAAGGGGTTTGTGTCGGGTTTACTGAAGAGGGAGTGTGGGGAGTGCGAGGCGGGTTGGGGAGGGGGGGAGGGTTGTTGTTTGGACCAGGGAGAGGGGATGATGGCGGGTTGGACGGGGGCGAAGCGGCGCTGGGTGGGGGTCCAGTCCATGTCGTCGTCGCCGCGGACGCTTTTGAAGGGGGTGGTGGCTTCAGTTGCGTGGGTTGTGAAGGAGGAGTTTGTGAGGGTGGGAGAGGGAGGATAGGCGGGGGCGTCGAGGGCGTCGTTGAAGTCGTTGAAGCTGGTTGTGAAGCCTTGGGCCATGGTGTCGAAGGCGCTGGCTTGCGGGTGTGCGGGCTTGTAGGTGCTGCGTGGGGCGGGTCCGGGGCTGTTGGTAGTGCTTGAGGCCTGCTCGTTGACTGAGTTGCGGAAGGAGGTGGGAGATTGGTAGCTTATGCGGACAGTCTTGAATGTGAGGATGAAGGAGAGAGACATGACGGCCAGCATGTACCAGTGCATATGGTGGAAGGTGGCAATGTTCTCGCGGTCAATGGTAGCCTGTTGCCAGTAGTAGAGACTGCCGGAGCGCATGACAACCACGGCAGCACGGATGGCCCACAAAGACCTCAGACCGCGCATTCGTCCCGTGATGCTGTTGGTCTTGTCCTTCAGTCTGGGGTTCCACCATAGCGTGAGCACATCTGCAACAATTGCGTACACGACCACCTGCGTGACTGATTGCGCAAAGACACAGGCATCGTCCACTTGGCGAACAGAGATGGCCTGGCACACGCACACATCCAAGCTGACGCTGTCTGGATAGATGATGCGATCACCATCCAGTGATTGCGGATCCACTGCCATGATGGAACCCGAGATATGCCACAGTAGTTGAACAAAGAAGCTCAGGATGTAGGTCCACTTGGCCAGCGCAATGAGTCTCAGCGTCCACGCCTGGCGTGAGGTCTGTGGAGTCCGTCGCTTTTTCTCGCTCCTCTCCATAACGCGCCGCAGGTGGTCAGCCTTTGCGACATAGCCTGCTCGTCGGATCTGGTCGTTGACTCGTTCTTCGCAGTCCTTACAGACCTGGGGATACCGTCCTTCGAGCTCGGCGCGGTATCCGTCAAAGTGCGCCTCGTATCTCGCATACTCCGGGTCATCTTCGTCTGGGAGGTATTCGGCGATCAGGTTCTGGACCAAAGTCTGGTTGCGCTGGCAGGTGCCGCAGAAGGGGGACTCGGCGGGAGCGGACATGACAGGCGACGGGGAGCGTGAGTGCGCGTACCGGGATGATGCTGATGGGCCGGCTAAAAGGAAATCTGCGGGTGGATCTGTAATGTTTCCGCGCTGTATGTGGTGAGCTGGGAGTTTGTATGTTCATGTGCTTGGGTGTTTACCTCATCGAAGTGATTCACTGCGTCGCAATGCGGACAAAGGTATTGTCTCGGGATGTTTGAGACGCTGTCTCGTGACTGCATGTTGCAGTAGTGGCAGCGAATGCGACGCCGTATTATGGCCATTGTGAAAGGGGGTGTTTGGTGTGAATGGAACCAGGCGTTGTGTCATAGGCGCATGCGTGTGTTGGCCGCGACAAAATACTGCCGCCTGTCACCGCTCGGACGTCCGCATCGAAATTTAGTTCGTGATTCGACACCACCATAGCAACGACGAATTGGGTGCCGCAGACCGTGGCATCAGATTAGCCTTGATCAGGGCCGGACATCGTCACCACGCTCGGTCGCATTATTCTAAAAACCCCTGGGTGCCATTTCCTCGCTCCCCCCGCACATGGCTCGGTAGTCCGCACATCTCGACATCACCATCCTCCCCCCCTCTACGCCCACCATGAGCCAATTAGCCGTCCGACCGGGGCGCAATGCCGCCCGAGAAGCCAAGAGGCTCAAGGAAGTCCGCAAGGTCAAGGGCGCCATTGTATGGACCGAGCGGGAACGAGAGAAGCGACAAAAGCTTGCCACGGAGCGCTGGGAAGCCAAACAGGCCCACCAAGGTCTCCAGAGATGGGAGAAGGAACAAGTCAGGGATGTTCGAACAGCGGCGTTGAGGAACGCAAAGGAAGACTGGCGACTGGGCCCACTGAGGCCAAATCGTGCCATTGGTAAAGCTGGGGAGAAGTATGGAGCCCTGTCGGGGCAGGCGTTGCAAACGCCTGACATACCCGTACATGCGTCAAAGAGCAGGAACGAGGCAAGGGCGAGGCGAGGTCTCGAGTTGGAGTACCCATTGGTGGTGGATGACAAAAAATACTTCCCCTTCGTCAAGGATGATCGTGTGGTTGTCATCAAGGGAAGAGAAAAGGGCAAGATCGGTGTAATACAGTCTGTCAACGACCGCACGCATGGCGTCTTTCTCACAGGCTTGAATATGGTAGGACTGATCTAGCCGACTACTCACTGTAAAGCTAACCACACTCAGCACTACTACGATGCTGATGTATTCGGCCTTAGTGGAGACGGTGGCGGTGCGAAACGCGCAAACGAAGTGCCTATCCCTATAGAAGACCTCCGTCTTGTTGTTCCGTACGAGATGACCGAGAAAAGGGTTGTCTACGACGCAGATGGCCAGGAGCTGGAGAAACCTATCAAATACTATACAGATGTCATCGTCGACAAGATCTTTATGGAGCGACACACTACCGGCATAGATCCATTCGATGGTACCAACTACGGTGACCAGGAGATTCCAAAGGAGCACCAGTACGACCCGCAAACTGGCCTCCCCATCTTCCACCGCTACATTGCCGGCACAAAACACAGACTCGACTGGCCATGGGAGAAGGAAGAAGTCGAAGAAGACGCCTCAGCACTAGCAACCGCACAAGCAACCGCACCTGAAAAGAAGAGCCTCTTCCAAAAAATACGCCACCCCATCCAGACCGTCAAGAGCTGGAAGACCAAGGACACCGCCGCCGTCACCGCCGCCAAAGAAACCGAAGAAAACCTTTCAGAGCGCCTCGACGAAATCGAGCAGGAAGTCATTCAAGCCCGCCGAACCGAGGCACCCACAAGCCAAGATCCCAAATTCCCCAACGCATATGATGTCACAGACACGACGCGCAACATCATCGAAGCGCCCGCAAACGTGCACTACACAATCCTCTCCACGCCGTTCCCTCCAACGCTCGGCGAGGAATTGCGCGGCTACATGCAGGAATACACCGCCGAGTCGCGCAAGAAGGACAAGGATGATGGCGTTGAAGCTCCGGCGAAGAAGCGCGCGAAACACAGGACGGAGCACGCGCTTGTGGCAAGCCAGATGTCCAAGGCGAAACACGCGGCGGCGCAGCAGATGAAGACGCCCATGCAGTTGCGATGGGAGATGGAGCGTGCGAAGAAGGTGAAGAAGGCGCCGTTGGTTAGTACGGATGAGTTGGTACGCAAGTTGAGCGAGTATCGGATGACGAAGAGGGGGGTTAAGGTGGAGGAATTGGACTAGTTGGGGCTTGTAGCATATGCTGATGTATATTCCATGTAACATATGTATACGCTCTTGTATTCAGAACTCGTTTTGATTCGAACTTTCGAGAGCGAGAAATTGGGGTATCATGCTGTAAACAAATCATCCAATCCGCGGCCCTTTCCTTGTCACTTCAGACCAGCACCCCCCAAAACTCCCCCCTCCCCCCACCACTCCCCTCCAACTCCTCCCACTGCACCAAAAACCGATCCACAACCCGACTCAACAGCTTCCCACTCAGACTCAGCCCTTTGACCCTGGCAAAGCTCTCCGCGTAGATCGTCTTGCACTTGCCCCTACTATTCGCGCTTCTGAAATTGAAAAACCGCAGGATCAGCGAGCCGAGTATGACGATGACGCCCGTCGCAGGGCCGTTGGTGATGATCAGATCTGGCAGGTCTTGCGCAGCGGATTCGTATGGTGTGCTCGGCGGCTTATTGGGGAGGAGAGGCGGGGACGACAGGAGGATGGGTATGCTAGACAGAAGCGTGCGCATCGCGGAAAACGGGGTTGAGAGGAGAGATTGATGAATCCGTCTCGCGCGCGGTATCACCGCAACATTATAATGTTCCGGACCCGTGCACTTTCTCCCCTCATCTTTGCCCACTTTCTTGCCGTTTAGTGAGACGCTCGGTATAGCCGCGTCTTGTTGTCTCAGTGCTCCAAGTCTCTTTTCCTTTTCCTTTTCCTTTTCCTTCTCTTCCAACCCCCTCTCAAACTCCACCGCCCGCTGCGCACTAAAAGCGTCCCCGCTGCTCACCACATATGTCCGGTGCGTGTATTTGCTCGTGTCCAGATCGCGCAGCAGGTAGAACATTTCGTGCGTGTGGCCGCCGGAGCCGAGCACAATGAGCACGCGTGTTGCGACGGGGCGTTTGCGCCATTGTGTACGTGTGCGCGGGGGTAGGATGGCGAGGAGGCGTAGGGTGCCGGCGACGAGGAGGGTGAGGAGGAGGGCGAGAGCGAGGGAGAGTGTGTAGAGGGATGTGGGTGGGGGTGGCATTGTGGGATTGGACGTTGGCGGAGGTGGCTCATGTGCTGGGGTTGGTTTTGGTGGGACGAGGTGTTGGTGGGGTGAAGATCATTGCGTTGAAAGTATGGTGCATGTGGTGGTAAATGTTCGGGATGGACAAGGTACGATGCGTGTCGTGGTCAGCCAATCGCACGCGGTGTCACATGATATCAGTGTACACCACCTCCAAGGTCAAATTTCCACTACACTTCTGGATGCACATTGTAAACTCGTAGCAGCAAGGCAGGTCCAGTATGGTTTCATAGATCAAGAGGCAAATAAATCTGCAGATCAAAGACTTGAATTTAAGCACTCCACGTGGAGTGCTTTTTTCAAGTTCGCACTGGGTATATATTCTACAAAGTAATGTCCTCCGAGCGGTAGTGATCCGCGACGATCCTGTAAAGATATGAAGGGGCATGGCCACCACTGTCCAGTTCAGTATTCTGCTTGCGTGCAGCAAGGGCTCAGGATTTGACTTACAGGTTCGTGATGTAGAGATCTACAAGATCCGCTGGGACATAATCATATAGCGGATTCTCAACGTCAATCTTGTCCACAAATTCGCCATCGTCATATGGAACCACGCTACCTGCATCTCCGTGCTCAATGAGCTCATCGATATCGAATGGGTAGACCGGGCTGAGCTTGTAAACTCCACTCAATACCACTACTGGTGTCTGGTGCTCTTTTGCTGCCTTTGCGATCATGTGCGCACCGGCTGCGGCGACAAGACCTCCATTTGCCAAAACAGTATGCGTTGCTAGGATAACCTTGTTGACGCGCGACATGATGGCAAAGACATGCGAGTCTGGAATGACATAGACTTGGATGCCCGCTTCGGTAAGAGGCTTCCACCGCTCGTCATCTTCACCCTCGTCTGGGTTCGACTCACGCTTCTTGCCTGTGAGAAGGATGCCATGGGTAGCAGTGTGGTCGTGTGGGTAGGTCTCGCAATGTACGACTGTGAACTTTCGTTTCCGTGCAGCATACAGGAGGAACTTTTGTACTGTTGTCGAGGCTGTATGCGTGAGAATGATTTCATTAGCATGAATGTGTTCCAGTGCGACTTCTGCAATCTGCTTGTCTGAGGTCTCGAGCTCATCTTGGAGCTCTCTTATCCCCTCCATCACCTCGCCTTTGAGGTCAAGAGTCGTTTGACTCTTGTTCAGGTCTGCCAGGCGCTCGAGGTTGAGGGCCGTAAGTGTGCTCTTGCCAGTGGGCGACATTTGTCCTGGGGGTGTGCTCGCATTAGACGCTGAATCGGCTGGCTGGGAGAAAAGTCCGAACAGCGAATTGACCAGAGGCGCCGAGGATGTAGGCGCATATGAGGTGTGAGAAGTGAGTAACGGAGGCCGTCTTGAAAGCTCTCCAGAGTCAGACATGTTCTCAGATATCATGCTCATGTGCATTGGTTCCACTACGGCATGTTTTAGTGGACTGAACGTAGACATGCTCGATGTAAACAACGGTCGCTGCAAGGAATCGTGCTGGTGATGGGCTGGAGTGTGGCTGGGCTCGCTACCGGTGGGTGTCTGTCCGTCTGCTTGCTCGTCTACGACCTCGCGAACCAGTCCTAGGACGCGTCGTACAATGTTCCCTACTACGACTTCGCGTGGTTGCGCCGAGGTCAGCCGTCTGCCGACCTGTCGTATGCGCTCCAACAGTTTTGCGGCATCTCTTCCCTTGAACTCGCCCACCACACGCAAGAGGAGGGCCGTAGTTGCTACGGCGCATGGCCGCGAGTTTCGTATTTGTCGTCGCTTGAGCAGTCTGACTAGGGTCAGCCGGGACGTTCATTCCTCGAGTGGCTCGTGGAATCTTACGAAATTAAATGTTCGACTGAAGGGTCCACTGGCGTCGTCTTGAGTGATTTGAGGAACGTAGACAGGCCAGGCGCCTGTATCGTCGCGCCCTGGGCCATGTTGTGGGCTTGCGATCAATTTCTGGCTTTGCAGGGAGCTTTGAGCGTGCTGATTGTGGGGTAGAGGGGCAGTCGCAAGATGTAGTCGTCCTGGAAGAAAGTTTTGTTTTGGCTCTAAACGAGCCGTGCGACTCGAGTGGGGTAATCCAGGTCGAAGCGTGTTTGCCTGGAGTGAATTGCGTTCGGCGGTGGTACACAATTATGGAACTCGAACTGTGAGTCTTCGTGACTGGTTTGGGCGCGGGAATTCCGATTGGGAGCTAGTGTGGCTAGCGCAGTTCGGGCGTCATCATGCTTGCAGCCAGTGTGAAGATGCCCATTGCATTCCCTGTCCACTCTGGCTGTGTGTCTCCACTGCGCCCTCTCCTGCTTCGTCCATACAGCGTTGTAGTCTCTGTTTGTAAAGACTCGCATATTGCGCGACGGTGCACATCGGCTCAGCTGCATCCGGGAAAGCCACGCAGCGCGCTACCAAAACATAGCACATAGGCAGCAAGCACCTGCAAGCTGCAACAGCTACCCCACAATTCGCCCTCTCCCATCTCTGCTCGCCACCGTAGACCGACCCATCCAGTGCATGGCCGCGGCCAGATGAACTTTGTGAACTTTGAGAACTCCCCCGCCAAGTCCAGCTCGATCGCGCGCCGGCTCGGAAAGCAACCTCGTCCAGCCCCAGCCTCGGCCCAGTGATAAACGCTCTTCGAATGATGCGAGCGCCAGCATAACAGGTCAGGACGATCAGTGCGACATGGGCGCGGTCAGGAGGGATCGCTCTGGCTCCTCTGCCATTGAAGCGCCCACATCCGAGTACAACGAGAAGACGCCACTGCTTGAGCAGCCCCCCGCCGCCCCATACGAAGAGGCAAACCCGCGCAGGAGATGGCTCTTTCCAAAGCGCGTATCGGCGGGCGTCATGAGCGCAGTGGGAGTGTTGCTGACCCCTTTTGTGTATACCGGGCAGTACCTGGTCGCATGCTTTTTACTATGAAGACGACGGACGCTTTTCGCTTTTGGCGCCTGTATACCACATGTCGCGGACTTTGACGCGATCGCGAAGGAAGAAAGTCGTCAACCATGCTTCGCGGACGTCCAAATCGCCTGGCAGCATTGGAAACGAGAAGCGGAAGAGCAGGGGCTCAATATCCGGAACAACAGCCGAGATAAGGAAGACATCAAGACGCTCCCTGTCTATTGCATCTACATCGACGGCAATGACATCCGACTCGGAGAGCGAACGGCCGCCCACGCGCGACGGACAGTACGATAGCCCAGCGCGCCACACGCGGTCCCAGTCAAATGCGTCATCGGGAGGAGACGAAATTGCCCCTGCAAAGCGATCCATACGAATCAAGCTGCACAACGAGGATGCGCTGAGACAGCGGAAAGCAGCAAAGAAGGCACAGGTCACCAAAAGCAATTCTGGTCACGTCTCGCCTGAGGAGGCTGCGGCGGCTCTGAAGTCTCCCACTGGCCCGGTGACTGCAGCCTCGAAACAAATGACCAAATTCCCACGCGCACCTCAGCCCCCGCGACCCTTGGTGCCGCGGCGTCAGCCGTCTTATTCTGGCCAAGGTACGTCTGCTGTAGGCCCGCACCAGAAGACGTTGATCATTGATCTCGATGAGACATTGATCCATAGCATGTCCAAGGGTGGACGGTTCCAGACGGGCCGCATGGTGGAGGTCAAGCTCCAGGCGTCGGTCGGTGCTGGAGGACAAATTATTGGACCGCAGGTGCCAATTCTGTATTATGTTCACAAGCGCCCATATTGCGATGATTTCCTGAAGAAGGTATGTTGCCCGAGTTGTATTGTTGTTCCTTGCTAACAGATTCGGCAGGTTAGTAAATGGTACAATCTTGTAATCTTCACTGCTTCCGTACAAGAGTATGCCGACCCTGTTATCGACTGGCTTGAGGTCGAGCGCAAGTACTTCGTGGGGAGGTACTATCGGCAACACTGCACGTTCCGCAACGGGGCTTACATCAAAGACCTCGCTCAAGTCGAGCCTGATCTGAGCAAAGTCATGATACTAGATAACAGCCCCTTGAGCTACATTTTCCATCCAGGTGAGACACATCAAAGGCGTCGATTGGCGTTGTAGTGACCTGAGCTGATGTGCGAGACTAGACAATGCCATTCCCATCGAAGGCTGGATTAGCGACCCTACAGATTATGAGCTGCTGCATCTCATTCCACTTCTCGAAGGCCTTCAGTATGTCGCGGACGTCCGCGCGTTGCTGGCATTGCGGCTAGGTATGCCGCCATCGTAAAGGATTAGCTATCCTGGGATGCATTCTCCTGTAACTTGATCCTAACCTTCGTTGTATTATAGTTGTTGGTTAGCCGAGCAGTTGGCTAGAGCCGTTGAAGTGAAGATACCCAAGAAGTTTGTTCCTTGACACAAAGCGCACCATTTTCAGCCTCAAGCACGTTTCCGTCAATGATGCGTTTCTTTTACGATGTTATGACAGGCAATGACCCGTCGGCCGGCTGTTTTGGGACTCTCGGAGCGCCCGCCGTCGCATGGACCTGTCATTAACCCACGTTTCGCGGGGGGTTGCCAAGCTTTCTCGTAACCATCTTTACATGCGGACTTGCTTCTGCAGGATCTCTCCCGCCTATCTTCCCGCAAAGGGTCGGCCCCACGGCGCGAGTCGCTCACCCGTGGCTCAGTACATCGGAGCATGGCTGTATTCGCACGCTCTTCATTCGACACGTTCCCAACGGACCCGTTACTTTGTTACTTTTTATTCGATGCCCCTGTCGCTCTCATGTTCCTGCCTTCTCAGCTTCAGTCCACGAACTCACACGCTCGTTTCACAGACACTGTGCCAATGCATCCAACGTCAAGGAGGGGAGTGCGTCTAGGTTCGATCTCATCCAATAGATGTCGTCACAAAGGCAAGCCGTCGACATAGAAATGAGCGAGGCAGGGTTAGTAAAAATTCCAAGCTTTAGGTGTTGGACTAATCATTGCTTAGCTCTGACTATCCTCTCTTCGATGAGTCCATTGTGGCCATCCAACACAACATTTTGGATGAACATCTACACGTCTTCCGACATGTTGACGCCTCGTCACTTCTAGACGAGCTGCGCAACAGCATCGTCCGTGACAGTACGAGGGACAGGAGAATCGCCGCACCCTCGCGAAAGCTGGCTCTCTTCGTGCAAACGTTTGCACCGTACTTCGACGTCCTCGGCATATGCACAAAAGTCAGACCAGAATGGCCCGGTTGTTTCTGGGGACTTGTTCATCTGCTCTACCAGGTGCGCACACGCGGTACGACATAGACTGCACCACAGGACTAATCGCATCCCAGGTGATCAACAGCAATGTACTTTTTTATGAGAAAGTTGCAGACATGTTCGAGGCCATGGCGAGCATATTACCTCCCTACCAACAGATCTACACGATCTGTAAGCAGCGATTGCACGGTGCCCAGATCGACGCTGAGGACGAGCGCCTGGCTATGCTCATGTCTTATGCATTCTCGGATCTAGTCAAGCTGTGCTTAGACATTTATCGCATCTTCTTCCGAAGTGTAGAAAGTAAGTCTTGCTCTCAAAGGATCTTGGGAATATTTTGGCAGCGCCGGAGCCGTCGGGTTACGTTACACATAGTGGTCCTTGCCAATACTGGGCTGCTGGGATATGGCCACGCAACACCCCACGAGCGCACACCATATGAAACGTGGGCTGTGATGCTGACCTCAACCAGGTTCCGGATCGCGTCATCTGACGAACATCTTCACAACGTCCACGCAATGGCGACCATTAGACTCACGTTTCGCACAGCTTGAGGTAAAATTGACCCACCATAGGCGATGGCTGGAAAGGGAAACAGAAAGCCATATCCAGGATTTCGCAGTAGTTGAACATCGTCGACAGAAGTACTTGCGTTCTATTCATCGCCAGGATGGAGATGTACATGCGACTGGAGAGCTTCTGGAACGTAGAATGGCGAAGCGATTGAGACGAGTAGAGCTTGTCTGTGACTGGATCTCAAATGGTGTACAAAATCAACGTACAGACCCGTCTGCAAGGCGGACAGAGCACCGGGGTTCATGCAATTGGTTTCTGGATCTGGAAAAGTATCGCAAGTGGAAGAACAGGTACATCAAAAGCCTTGCAAACAACACAAATGCATTACAAGACAACTGGCATGATCGAGTGCTGTTTGTGCAGGGTAAGTGACTTTCTTGCAAACATTGCTGTGACGTTGATTTACTGAATTGCTAACTGGTATCAGCTGAAGCGGGTTTTGGCAAGACCGTCGTCGCCGATGCGGTCGTTGATGATCTAGGCGCAGAAGCTGAAGACCTCGAAAGCAGTAACGCGCCACCATCTACAGCTTGTTTCCATGTCAAAGTCACGCACCCAAGCTCAGTGCATCCTGGCCAAATCTTCCGTGAAATAACACTCCAACTACTGTACAACCACCGTCATAGCCACGCAACGCTCGATGCTGTGTGTCTTTTGTTGCGGAAAACCTCATTCCAGCAGACTGCGACCGCAAAAGACATTCTTGACCTTCTTCTTGTCCTGCTGCGACAGCACCCAACGTTCGTTATTGTTGATGGGCTCGAGAGATGCATCGATGAGAGAGGATTTCTATCATCGCTAGCTCAGCTGTGCCAAAAAACTGATGTACGAGTTATCATCTTCAGCAGGCCGGCGATCGGAATCCCTCTTGAATATCAAAAGTGGGCATCTGATGCACCGCATATTGTACCCCTCAATTCTCAACATACTGCAAAGTCAAAAGAGCTTTACATGTCTCAGCAACTTGCCCAAATGGCAGACCAAGGCTACTTCGGCATTGATATGGACAGAGAAATTCTACCGCATGTTGCGCGACAGTCAAATGGGACGTTCCTCTGGGCTACTCTGCTGCTAAATTACGTCCAGTCTCCCGCTTTGTCACCGGATGAACGACAGTCGATTCTCTTGGACGCCCATCTGTTGGAAGGCTTGGAAGCACTCTACAGCAGCATTTTCGAGACTCTCAGGAACCAACCAGCGCATGAGAAGCTCCTGGTAGCCGATGTCATACGGTGGCTTACGTTTCCTGTCCATCGACTTTGTACATCAGCACTGCGGATGGCCCTGTCAGTCTCGATCGACATCTCAGAGTATCACGACACATTCCCTACCGAGCTTCTGGAAATTCTTCCACGAATCACCTGTGGACTAATTGAAGTCTCTGATGGCGGAGTGTCCTTCGTTCATCCCTCAGTACGCGAATATCTCCAAGCTCCCGCTTCGAAAGGCTCCGAGTCTAGCTTATGCGACGAAAGCAGCGTGCATGCGCATCTTGCAGCTCGCTGTCTATCCTACCTGGCCCACGACATACCACAGCGACCATTGGGCGGCCTATCACCATACATCCAACCCATGATGCCCACCAACTCAGCCGCCAGCTATCGGACCACCAAATCTGGCGATAGCGGGTACAAGTCCATCTCGTCCTCCGATAGCGAACATGCCCTTCCCCAACCAGCCATGCAATCCGAACACACCAACGCCAGCACAGCAAGTATACGCACCGTGCCATTCGACACGAACCTCCCTTTTCTCCGCTACGCAAGCTTGTGCTGGCCGATCCATCTCAGTCGAGCCCTGGCCCCAACCAATACTCACCCATACGTCATACCCTGCCCCGGACCCTTCGAAGCTTTACCGTACATCCCCACCCTATCCGCCTTTCTATCTTCCCGTCTCTCAGTAACTGCTTGGGTCGAAGCATCGTTTCGATATAGTCTACCACCAACGCTTACGCGCCTTGTTGGTCCACTCGCTGATCTGAGAGGCGAACTATCGCCAGCGACAATTGAAGGCGCCGAGTTGAGACTAGTTGTCAGCGAGCTTAATGTTTTGGGCGAGAAGCTTATGGAGTTGAAGAGAGGTTATGCAACTAGTCTGAGGGAGAATCCGAGTTTGATTTGGCAGATTGGGGATGCGGTGGGAGAGGGATATTGGCCAGTTTGGGATGCGAGTGTGGGTATGCCACGGTGAACACGATCTTTCTATTTCCTGGGTTATGAGAGCTTTGGGATATACACAGCAGCTCAGCCATTTCTTAGCTTGTACATGTTCCTCGGGCTATGTTTAATTTCGGAGCGCACATAGGTATCAGGCACATTCATAGACATAGACCATCCATAGACGAAATCAGCCTCACAGCAACAAGCATCACCAAAAAGAAAATCACCTCACCCCAAAAGCACAATTTACATCAGAATCCAATCACCACACTGCACAACTTCCAACTCCATCCCCAAACTCTCGCTCGCGTACCCACCGCACAGACCCTCTCCCCTCCTCACGCATCTCCTCGCCCCGTCCCCGCCGTCCAACTAAGCCGCCCAACTAATCTGCGCCGCCGCGCGCCGCATGCGGCATCGTGAGCGCGAGCTCATTGGCGTTGCGCGCCCCTGCGCCTGAGCCCTTCTTGCCGCTGCTTTCGACACCTGCCGTTAGGGGAAGTTTGCGAGTGCGCGCGCAGGGGAGGATGTGTAAACCGGCGGGCCGGCGGCGCGTGGACGGATGGAATATTCGATGGGGGGTTCTAGCGTGTCATTGTTGCGAGGCAAGTTTGGGGGGGTTTTCGGGGGGGGAAGTGGAATTGTTTGGGATTAATTATGCGATTCACGAGCAGATTGGAGACGTGAATTTTTTTTCAAAGTGGGTTTTTGTTTAGTTAACTTAAGCGTCTGGGAAGTCGTGGCTGATTTGGTATCGTAGGGAAGATCTTATCGTGTTCTTGGGTGCGCATGTGGGATTACGTATTGAGCCCGCCTGCGGCTCGGGATCGTGGTTTTCGAAATGGAACGCCGTGCACTACACGTGGACTTCAGCCTTACAATGTCGTTTCTTGAACTCGAGGGTTTGCATGTTTTTGTGACGGGTGCGGCGGGGGGGATTGGGGGTGCGATTGTGGATGAGTTTTTGGGTAGGTGTGAATTAAGAACCTGAAGATTCTGCGGCGAATACTTTTGTCCTGCAGAAGTACGTACTGACGTTGGACTTGGGTATTGACTTTGACGATAAGAGATCATGGTTGACAATGTACTAGCACAAGGATGCAAGGTCACGGCGCATGACCTCCGGCCAAATGCACTCGCCGGCAATGGCAATCCAGATCTCAATTGCCTACAGGGAAGCATCAGCGATGAAGACGCGATAGCAGAGTCATTTGCACAAGCGGTGAAACACCACCAAGCACCTGTGAACATTCTTTGTGCCAATGCAGGCATAACCGATGAATCTAACAACTATCCCATCTGGGAAATGCCCACGGAGCTCTGGGACCGTACTTATGCCACCAACGTTCGCGGTACATACCTCACCATCAAACACTTTCTGAAGAGTGTTGAGGTGGCACAGATCGATACTGGAAAGGAGCTGGCGAATGTGAGTGTGATAGTCACAGGCTCAGAGTGTGGCGTATTTGGGCAAGCAGGGCATGTCGAATATGCCTCCGGGAAGGCAGGCTTGCAATATGGTCTAGTCAGAACAGTGAAGAATGAGATTGTGAGACTGAACGGAAAAGCGAGGATTAATGCTGTTGCGCCGGGCTGGGTAGACACGAAGCTCATCGAGGGGCGCTTGGATGATCCGAAGGAGATGTGGAGGGAAGCTCAAGCTACGTGTGTTTTATCTCCATGTAATATGTCCTTGCATAGGAGCTGATAATCAATAGCGTCCCTCTGAGGAAGATTGCGCAGCCCACCGACGTTGCTCGGGCAGCAGCATTCTTGGCTTCACATCGAGCAGCTGGCCATATCTCCGGCCAATGCATCTCAGTGGATGGAGGCATGGAGGGTCGGATCGTATGGTCCGAAGACGAGATTCAGAAGTCTCAACAGACGGCATCACGGCCAACACCAAAAACAGCACAAAGTACAGTTGAGGTCTTCGGCACGAGCACACAAGGTGTTCAGATATCGAGCGTTAGTCAACCGACAACATCAGGACAGCCTACATCGGCTTCAGTCACACCACAAAATACGCGCAAGATCAAAATCCTCCTGTCTGTCGATTTTGATGCAGTCAGTGGCTGGCTAGGCACAGGTCAGCACCCAGACAATAACCTCGCCGATTACAGCAGCGGTTTCTTTGCCGGACAAGTCGGCGTTCCTCGACTCCTGAAGCTGTTCAAGAAGCTTGGAGTACAAAATAAAGTAACTTGGTTCGTGCCCATGCACTCCGCAGAAAGCTTTCCGGACCAATTCCAAAGCATCCTGGACAGCGGAGCAGAAATCGGTCTGCATGGCTACTGCCATGAAGGTGCGCCGCAACTTACACCAACACAAGAACGCGATGTGCTTGAGCATTGCATTGCGCTGTATCAAGAGCTTGTTGGACGCCGACCGGTCGGGTACCGAGCGCCGCTATATCAACTCCGCGAGTCGACAGTGGAGTTGCTGGAGAAGTACAGCTTCCTGTATGACACCTCGCTTTCCCATCACGATAGCAAGCCATACCACCTGCCAAACCTACCTCCAATCAAAGCGCCAGCATACGAAGCCTCAGCCTCCGCAAAAGACTGGATGAAACCCCTTCCCAAGCCCTCCGCCCCAACTTCAAAGACACTTATCGAGATCCCAGCAAACTGGTACGCAGAAGACATGACGCCGCTGCAGTTCTGGCCGCACACTCCGAACTCCCAGGGATATGTTGATGTGCGTGTTATTGAGAATATGTGGAAGGATAAGTTTGAGTGGATTAGGAGCGAAGTGGAAGAAATGGGGGAGAAGGACAGCATGGTCTTTCCCCTGGTGCTGCATCCGGACACGAGCGGTATGGCGCATGTGATTGGCATGATTGAGAGGTTCGTGAAGTGGTTGCAGGGGTGGGGTGGGGAGGTGGAGTTTTGCACGTATGAGGAGGCGGCGAGGGAGTGGAAGGCGAAGAATCCTGTGGCATAGGAGAATAGGGTCTGAATGTGCGGGCTGACGATGATCTGTCCGTATCTGTCAAAATTCTAGTGGGATCCATCAAGCGCTCGACTGACTTGGCCTGATTGCTATTGTCTCCGCGTGAATCTACACGTGCTTCCATGGGCTACTTAGGCAAAGATACAAACTGCTTGTTCATCTTCTTTGTGTGTGAACATTTCAGCTTGCAAAGGCAAGTCGCAAATGATCACTTTGCGCAAACAGGCCTTCTGTGGGCTATGTATTTTCGGTAATATCCCACCTCATCTAGTTAGAACCAGGAAAAGGTTGACAAGACTTCTGCCTACCATGACGACTCAGAAGTCACTCGACAAGAAGTTCAAGCAACCAGCAGGTCTAGGCGACAGATCCACCGACGAACGGTACGCGGTGAAGCTTGGAATTTCAGCAGACAACAACAAACTACTCAATAAGAGCATCAAAACCACATTGACCCAACACGATCTTCTCGATCCCAAGTTGTATTCGAAACATCAGCCTAAAATTGACCCAACAAGCTTTGAACGCCAGATTCAAACCGTGGGGCTGCTCGAGACGATCTTTGAGAAAGTTTTGACACCGATGAAACCCTCCGGCGAGCTCAAAAAGGAAGAAGTTATGTATGTTCTACGAGAAAAGGCCCTATCAAGATCATATAACCACAACAGAACTAAGAGTGGACCAAGGAGGCAAGCGACCGGTGTTGAACTCCTGAATACCCCTGAGGAGAACTTGCTCATGAGTCCGATGGCAGACCCGAAGGGTGACAAAGAGAACAACCAGATGCCGAAACCACAAGCGAAGCACACTCCGAAGCCAGACGATGGCAAGACAAGCAAAAGTCGACCCAGCATTCGTCCCTCATTAGGACCCGTCTCTGTCAGTGGTCAGCCGGAAGATCAGAAAGAAAGGCAAGCATCCAAGGCAGTGGAGAGCCAAAAGAAGGACAGCATCTCTGGCACAAAGACCAAGCCTAACAAAGGAGGTCGCGGTAATGCTGTGGATCTTGCTCCCCTTCCCACCATCGGCGGCTTGCACGATCACCGATCCAAGACTCCCAAACGACAAACTCTGCCAATCTCTACGAGCTCCACACAAAGGAAGGAGAAAGCAACCGTGTCTACCACCTTCACTTCAGCCACCATCAACGTCAAAATTGATGGGTCCGAAAATGGCGCCCACTTCCGAGCAAGCGACATCGTCAACGCGTCCAAGACTGCGGACTCCACAGTCGAACACTTATCCTTCGACAGCTTCTGGGACGAAGTAGAGCGTCAGGCAAATGTTAATCGGCTGGACTCGACGCTCTCGTGCTATTGGCCGGACGAAGACGCTGGCCGCCAGTGGGTCGATGTCACTGACGAAACGAGATGGCGTGCGGTGCTGGCCGATTGCCATGAAGAGGGGCTGAAGCGATGGCAGTTCCACGTTACGATCAAGTAGTGTGCTTGTGTTCGTGGTTGGGAAAAAGTATTTATGTTGGATGGTTAGCGAATTCATGCACTCGCTCACTGCATGTCTCTCTAGTCAACCAATGTTAATGCAGAAACAGTCAAAATTATCATCCAGCCTTATGCACCTTTTCAGTCCAAGTAACGTACATCCTTCAATCTCTTGTCGATTTTCCGGTCAGCTTCATCACAGCCTGATGTCTATGACGAAGGGCGCCCCCATTGTTCGCTGATCTTTACCAAGGCAGACAGTGTGCATATATTGATGGACTTTGGTACTACGGCACCATGCCTCTTTCAATTCGACTCCTGATGATAGAGTGAGACTGCTGCAGATTGCATGCCTGTACAATGTATGTATTTAGTTTGAAAAGACACGGAAAGACCAGGATTAAAGGACCCCAGCATCGAAGCGCGCAGATGTATGGGGTGAGACCAAGCATTTGTAGGTCTCACCGGTAGCTCTTATCATCATGTGTGCATGGGCTACAGCTTGATTGAGAATCGTGCTTACGTTCCAAGGTTTGTATGGTGATTGGTTCGTGAGAGTCATGCGTTTAGCCACGCTGCTTCTATATATCGATGTGGAGATAGGCACAGTCAGATTTATTTGTTTGTTCGATTTAAGTGACTTGGGCCCTCGACCTTGCAAGTCGTACTTGTATCATTTTCACCCCAGCCTTGTCGAACTTTTGCGCATCAATATCAGCACATTCTGTTGTCGCAATAATGCCGATCGTAGGTCCTCCAGCTCAGGAAGCGACCACTACTTTGGGTTGCACTGTAAGTGTAGTATCTGTGAACGATACATATACTCCGTTTGTTGCTCCGACAGAGGCTGAGTGGTGGCACCCAACCATATTCGTAACATCGACAACTATTTATATCTCACTTGGCGTTCCAGACCTCACCACGATCTACGATTATTCATCCGAGTGTAAAGATAGGTGGATGATCGGCCATACTTGCGGCGATGGAGACGCAACAGTTTTCAGTATGGATCCCTCGAGGAATGTTGTTTCCGATCCCCTTTACAGATCTTGCCAACGGTACTCGACGCCGGTCTATAGCCCTGGGGTATGTCCTGGAGATTTTACCATTGCAGAAGTGACAGCTGTAGTTTCGGGAGGGGCTGGCGCAAACAGCACTTTTTGGCAAGCGAGCTGCTGCCGCAGGTACGACTGTTCACATCATTCATCATTCATTTCCGTTTCGTCCGCTAAGATCCTGATACAGTGGTATGACGATAGGACCAGAGTTTCCGAACGCCTGTATCAGTTCCATCGTAACACCCATTAGTGCATGGGCACTTATCACTCCAACACCTCTTCTCGATAGTGGCACTCCTACACCAGTGTATATGTACACGCCACCCGCAACCCCAAATCGTACTCCACTTTCTCCAATATCAAGCATCGTGTCAGTAACTGCGGGAATGGCTTTCGCGGATCCTGTGGTTGTTGGCTGGCAGGACTATGATTTACAGAGCTTTCCGGACGAATACGCCACTTCATTAGCACGGAAGATTGGGATCGCGCTTCCATCAAATACCAAATCCCCAAGCTCCCAGGTATCTGACGACCTCGGCACGGGCGCAAAGGCTGGTATAGGTGTAGGAGTAGCGATTGGGGTCGCCGCCATTGTCATTGTGATCGTGTTCTTTTTCATGCAACAGCGACGGAAACATGATAGAGCAAGGGTTGAACTCATGCCTGAAATGGAAGGCCAAGGTCACAAAGATAGAGATCGCAAATGGTTCTTTGGTGGCAAGTGGAGGAACGAAGTCCATGCCGAAGCTGTACCAAACGAACTAGACTCAAAACATGTCGACGCGGTGCCAAATGAATTGGATTCGCGGGCTGTTCACGTAGTACCTGGTTCCCCTGTTGAGTTGGATGGTTCGATGCTACAAAGAGAAATGACGGACTTGAGAATTTAAAATGTAGTGTGTTTTGTTTGCGTCTGGGCCTGAGCTTCCGCCATAGTCTTGGGCGCCAGAGAGGCTTTAAGTCAAAACACTTGAAGTCTTTACCCGATTATATGAGAAACAAGGTTGAAGGAGACTTCTGTCACTGGCGTGTGAGCTGGTCGATTGTCCCGGTATTTAGGTCATTTATGTGCATGTCAAGCACATGTAACTGAGCCAAAAACACTGCCCAATGGATCAAGTTGCACATGTATCTTGCCGCAAGCCATGGGTTGAAAGTCTTGCACAGCAACGACTTTCGCCATGACTCCAGCACTCCGGAAAGAACTCCACAATCGTCTTTTAAAGAACGCAATCTATTGTAGATTTGGCGGTAGAACATTCTCTACACACCAGAGAAGCATGTCAACAGTCTCATCATGGGTTCTTTCATGAGTAACATCATCAGGAGCGACCATGAATTAGCTGCGTCGTACGCGACACCGCAAACATTCAACATGATAGCCAGCAGTGCTCTCACGTTGCCTGAAACGCGGAGGATGTTCGTGAAGGCCATATGCTTTATGGCGCAACCTCCCACTAAAAATGCTTGTCCCGAATATCGTTGTTCGCCTTTCACGACCTTCTGACTCAAAGACAGAAAACGACTAGGAAATTCTGCATTATATGAGAGATTGCTACTTATGTCATCCGCACATATTTCGTGTAGCTAACTTACACAAGAACTGCTTTGATGAAGTCGTCTTCACATGAGTACTTCCGGTTGAATATACGATTGGCGACCTAATATAAGGAAGATTTCTAGGTCCACCTGCACTCCACGTACCAAGGATTTCCTACCGTTCTCCGGTCTGCCGCTGACGAGCGACTCTCAGCTCACCATACAGCAGTCTCTGCAATTTGCCGCCCCTGAACTCTTTCGCCAACGCAAGCTTAGTTGAAAGAACCGTATTCGATCATCGGGTCGAAAACCATGTGCGTCTTTGTACAGGACTCGAGCTCATAATCGGTATGCTCAAGATAGCAGCACTGGATATCGTTGTTTGGATAATTCTTGAGCTGATTGTATCTCGTTACCACTCGTGCAAGGAAGCTGCCAGGAAGTGTCTTCAGGGCTTCTATCTCGGTTGCACTGACGGGGAAATTGTTCCAGTCGTCGCAGAACTGGTTAACAAGTAACTGCAGTAGCGGCCGATCGGAGGGTACGTTTTCGAAAGCCCATACTACCAGATCATCCACTTTGGAGGGATCTGGTAAAACATCTGCCACCATCATGTCCACAAAAGCCTCGTTCATGGTTCTCCGGAAATTTGGCACGAGGAAGCGATCGCCAAACGAGTACGCCTGTACTCTGGTCATTGCATCTTCGAGATCAGATGTTCCTTTAGTGCCCATGACTTGATCCCACTCTTCATAGTCCAGAGAATTGGGAATCTGCTGTGTATACAGCCAATGTAGAAAGATGTTGACTTGACAGAGATCAGCGTTTGGTACACAATATCACTGGAAGAATTTCTAGTTCTTACAGACGACTGGTTCGACATCCTCAATAGTGACCAGGTCTTTGTGCGCCTCTTTCCAAGCACCCCGTAATGCTCTCTTGAAGTATTCCGAGTGGTGAATAAGTAGGGCCTTGTGTACGTAGTACTTTTTTTGGTCCGGTCCGATCTCGACTGTGACTATACTCTCGCTGAGCGCGTCGCTAAATGATTTTGTCAGCGAAGTCGTTCACACCACACTTAGTGCCACCTACCCAAGAGACAGCGCCTTTTCTGGTACCTCGTTTGAGTCAGGTAGCTCCACTGGATGACAGCTATCGTCCGCCATGTCGACGTCGCTTTGAAGTACGCGATCGAGAGACTGTGGGTTTGTAGTTGGAGAGAGCAAATTCGGTAAGAAGTGTTGTACGAAGCCACGCGTTTGTCGCGCTAGTGTGAGGGCCGGGTGCGGCCTGCGTCCTCACCACTCATCACCACCGAGTGAAAGCAGATTTGTCATATGTGACACAAGAGTGAGCTCAAAGAGGGATGGCCACACTTCAACTAGTAATACACGGAAGAGAATCATTTTTTATGGCATGAACTTGAATCTTGAGCTGATGTATGTACTGTCACGGGCCGTCCCATCACTGCTTCCAACATCGTCAATTATTGATCATATCAATCTTTCATTGCATAAAATTACAATAGTCATCTTAGTGTGATATCACCCATTCTTTTCGTTAGTTTATATCTTTTAAGCACAAGACTGGAATCAAGATGATATCGTGTCGAATCATACATAGTCTCTCGCCTAATGCTTCACAATGTGGAGTGAAAGTCATATAAATTGTATTGAAATTAATCTTGTGCGTTATTGTACATGTAACACATTCGATGGAAGCTTTACTCTCTCGCACATTTTCCACTGTACCCATAGCTCCTGGCGGAACCTCGGAATAGATTTCCAGTTCATCGTCACCTAAGGATGAAGACCGCCCCTACCGTAAGCCCCTGTTCGTCTTCCTCTCCCTGGGCCAAGATCTATATCCCGAGAAGACTGGGAAGAAAGAGACTCACTTTCAAATTTTCCTGTCTTGCCAAACATGTAGTACCTCTCGTCGGCCAGCTGGAAGGCACTTTTCCCCAGGTCATCAAAAGCGTGAGAATCTGCTCCGCATCTCAACAAGTAATTTACCACTTGTTCAATGGATCTACTGCCATAGCGTCTATCGAACTCTGTCGAGATGGCGAGCAGCAAAGGCGTCTTTGCAGTGCCCTATCTGGCTTCAATATCGGCGCCATGTTCAAGCAGCGCAGCCACAACCAGCAAAGTTTCTCCTATTGCTGCCCCATATGCGGGAGCAACAGCTATATGAGGTGGTGTATTGTGCTCGACAATGGGGTCATTTACACGGCCCTACCGTAGTGCACGAGCGTGGACATCCGCGCCGTTTTCTAAAAGGAACAAGACCAACTCTAGGTCGCCTGATTTTGCAGCATGATGGAGCGCCATGATGCCTTGAATAGAGACAACGTGGATGTCTGCACCGCGATCGAGTAGCGCTTTTGAGATCTTTGCGGATTTGGACTGCATGAAAGGTGTCCAGCCCAAGTTATTTGGTTGATCTACTCGTGTGCCTGACTCGAGGTACAATGGTATCAATTTAAAGTTGCACCTCGAGCTGGCCTTGTGAAGAGGTATCTCGCCCTGATCATCCACTGCAGAAATGTCTGTGTCAGAAGCTAGGAGCCACGAGGTTATGTTTGCTTTTCGTACGAAATGCAGTATTGTTTGGCCTGTAGAGTCTGGAGGGCTGATTACTGCGCCAGCATCTGTGAACATCTTCACAAGATCTTCAGTCGCTTCCGGATGTTCCAGAAGCCGAAAAAATGGCGAGCGCCCAGCAGAGCCGTGACATTTACTTCGGCGCCATTATCCAACAGAAAAGCTACGAGTTTCGGTGGAGAGCATAGTTGAAAAGTATAATGTAATGCTGTACATTTTACAGAATCGTCGGTTTGAGCATTGACGGATGCACCTGCTTCTATCAAGATTTTGAGAAACTGGATTGCTTGGTTACATTCCTGGGAATTTGGGCAAGACGATAAGCCAGTGAGTCTCTGGAGAGACTTCCAAAAAGCCCAGTCTACAGCGCCTTGCCAATGATGATGCCCGCGCTCGCTCATCGCCTCGCATGTTGAACACCCATCTAATCAGCTCACAGGATCGTTGCCCAGCTGATTCGTACAGAACGATTGCAAAAGCCTGTTGACGGGCCGCATCCGACATGCTGCTCTAAGTATTATCGAAAAGCAACTTCAGCATCTCCGCATCGCTTTCACTTGCCGCGAAATACACAGCGTTGGAGTCCTCAACGTTGACTCCATGCGCGAGTAGTTCTTGCATAGTGGCTCTCGCACTCAAACGCGCTGCATTCTCCACCGCAGTGAAGCTATCAGGCCAATCTGGATCCCAGCCGTCGCGCAAGCTGTTGTCAGCTCCACGGAACAGCAACAACCGCACCATTGTCGAACTATCGTCGCAAATGGCTTGATATAATACAGCCTTAACCTGATGGCGACTGTCGATATCAACCCGGCCGTCTGGGAACTCACAGACTTTGGCCAGATCATCGTTGGCGGCTGCCTGTTGTATTGTATTGTTTTGCGTTCCTATGATCCCCCCTACATAGTCTGGGTGAGGGGTATTGCCATGCGGCAAAAACATGGCTGCAATTCTCTAGAGAACGTATTATGCGAGTGCTGGTAGGTTTGATGTGATGTATGTTTGACGTGCGTCGGCAACCCTGGAGAGCAAATCCTAGTGTTCCTGTCACGTGCCGTCTCAGCGCGTCGCGTAGTCCAACACCGACATCAATCAACCACAAAACAACCACAATGTCGTCTCACCACATCACCAAAATCACACAAACGACTTTCAAAGATGTCTTGTCGCGATACAAACCCGCTGTGCCTGAGAAACTCCACGATCTAGACGCGCTGCGCTACGACACCATTCCCACCGCCGTCGCAAAGAGAAAGGCTGATGATCGCCACCTCACAAAAGATGAAGTCGAAAAACTTGTAGAATGGAAGCTGTAAGTGCATAAATTCACCCAGGATCACTTCAATATTAATCCAACAATCAGAAAACACGGCACTTTCCGCCCGAAACTACTCTCACTCGTGCAATCCAACCCAGCAGACGTAGTGCAAGAAACGACAACATCGGCTTTCAAAATGATTCCTAAGCAGCCATTACCAGCTCTAAAGATCCTGACAAATCTCAAAGGCATTGGGCCAGCAACTGCATCTTTGCTGCTTTCTGTGGCTGCACCAGATGTCGTTCCGTTCTTCTCGGACGAGCTGTTTAGATGGTGTATGTGGGATGAGTCGGGGAGTCCGAGTGGGTGGCAACGCAAGATCAAGTATAATGTGAAAGAGTATGAGATGCTGCTGGAGAAGGTGAATGTGCTGATTGAGAGGTTGGGTGTCAGAGCGGTGGATGTTGAGAGAGTGGCTTGGGTATTGGGCAAGGAGAGTGTTGACATTGACGCTGGAAGCGATGGCGTTGGGGAAGAAAAGGGCGAGCAAGATGAAGCCGAGGAAGAGAAAGTTACAGAAGAAAAGACGGTGAAGAAAGAGGTCAAGAAGGGTACAAAAAGGAAGGCGAGCGAGGCGAAACCGCCTACTGAGGGCACGCGAAAGAGCACACGGACTAAGAAGTAGTGTGGTTTATTTATTACAGTCGGAAATCCAGCTACATCCCAATAATGCTTGCTCGACACAAATTACATCTGCATACTGCCTTGTGCATCCGACATGCTCGGTGGCCTGTCTTCAGCCTTCGTTCCCCAATCGCTTTCCTTGTCTCCGAGTACCAACTCCAGCGTCCAACCTTGCGTAAAGAATTCATGGCCAATCCAATTCTTTGTGTATGTCTCACCGTTGAGCTTAGCACTCTGAATGTATATATTCTTGTATGTGCTGTCGAAGTTGGTACTGCGGACCGTCGCCGTCTTGTTAGTGACTGGGCTAGTGATACTGAAGCTCTCGAAGAAAGGTGGGGTGATGAAGTAGACATTTTGACCGGGATTGGGGAAAAGGCCGAGCATGCTGAAGATCGTAAAGGCACCCATGGCGCCAGAATCATCGTTCCCTGGTAGACCCGCCAAGGATGAATTGAAGGATGATGGAATATCTATCGTGCGTGAGTTATGGGCTAGGAGTTGTGAGTTTTCATGACTTACAATAATGCACTCTTTCGGCAGAAAGTGCGGGCCGGCCTGCATAGTGAGGCATGAAAACCGTTAGGAAGACGGGTTCATTGCCAATATCAGCGAGGCCTGACGTATGGAAGAAGTTCAGCCTCTTAATGAAAGTGTCGTCGCCACCGAGGAGATCGATGACTTTCCCAACATCGTGAGGCACAAAGAATTGGTACTCCCAAATACTGGATTCGAAAGTGTCTCTCGGGTTGGACGTAAGCGAACAGAAACTGGTCAGTGGACTACAGTCGATAGGATCTTGGTAACCCCAGGTACCGTTCAGATACTTCGGTTGGAAGTAGCCCGTGAAGTTAGTATCCACACCATTGATGGATGACTTTTGATCTGCTTTGAACAGGTTCTCCCAGTTCGTAGCTCGCGCGAGATACTTTGATGAGGTATTCTTTCCTATGCCGTTTGCAAGAGTAGCCAAATTGAAGTCGTTGTAACTGTACTCCAGAGTTCGGGAGATGCTTCGCGAGTTTGTGCCAAAGCCGATAGGATCGAAGTCCGAAGACGGAATATAATTGAGCCTCTTCCAGCTGGTCAAGCCCCCACGGCCTTCCTTGTTCCACTCCAAAGGCTCGTTCTCCGCGTCATTGACAATCGCTTCGTATGCGAGATTCCAGTCGATACCTGTGAGGTTCTTGACGTATGCATCGACTAGGACATTGTCTGCGTTGGACCCGCCCTGTGTCCAGCCTTTGCAGGTGCTCATCATGCAGTCTGGTAACCAGCCACGGTGCTTGTACGTGTCGAGCAAACTCGTCGCCATTTTCGACATCACTGCAGGGTCGAGAACAGTTAAAAACGGAAGTTGGACCCTCCACATATCCCAAATACAATACCAGGAATCGTAGTATGGCACGTCGCTCTGCCAATGCGGATTTTCTCCAGTGTAGTCTTGTGGAGAAATCATGGTCCTGTAAACAGCACTCCAGAAGCTGGTCTGTATACTATCATTAATGCCCTTTGCCTCGATGGAAATCGGTGTAAATTTCTTATGCCATGCCTGCTCAGCTGCAGTGACCAGGCCGTCGAAGTCAAATTCCGGTCCAGGTATCTCTCGCTCAGCGTTCTGGCAAGCTTGCTCCGTGCTGATAAAACTTAGTCCCATACGTGCTAGAATGGGTCCTGATACTGGTCCTTGGAATCGAAGATAGCCGCCGGCTTGTAGATAGAACAGGTTGAAGCCGCGCGTCACAAAAAGCTCTTTCGGCTCCGACCCAGCGCGATCATTCACCCACACTCCCGAATCTTTGATCTTACCACCTGATGTATGAAGACAGAAGTAAGCACCATACGACCCAGCACCGAAACTGGGTAGAAATGTGCCATTGCCTCTCATACTCCCGGTCGTGCCTCCATCTTCTGCATTGACGCTGATTGAGGCATTTTGTCGACTCGCCCAAAGATCCGTAAGGATCGAGCATGATCATTGGATCTACACTGATATTACCGGCTGATGCCTCCGTAAAATTGAACCGAAACAGCGCCGCGTGTTCCGAGACAGCCATGTCAGCTTGAATGCCATTGACGAGCGTGACACCAAAGTAGCCTGGCTTTGCTTTGATGGAGTCGTTCTTGTACTGTGTCGCTCGTGCTGCGATTGGAAACTTGCAGGTATTGATGTCCTCGCTTGAGCAGAGCTGCGGAAATATGGGAAAGTTGCCTAGACTTGGGTTTCCACCAGTACCAGAATCGTGAAGCGCAGAAAATCCAGTAATGTTGGAGTTGTCCGTCGAGAAGCCTCCCGTATTCGCTCCGTCCACATCTGCGACAGCTGTATGATTATCAGTACCTAGAGCGAATCGCCTGCAAGATGTCTCGAACCTTTAGCCATGCCATAGGGCAATGTCGCACCCGCGAAGACATTCCCGCCATTCTGACTGCCGATTAGAGTGTCAACCCATTTCAAAACATCAGAATTTGTCGTTTGTCTAGATGAGATATCAGACAAGACTGATGTTGCATACTGAGTGAGCAACAGAAAATGGATAGAAGACTTCATCGTGGAGCATGTCTTGGTCGGCATCAGTAGAGTAGAAAAGACATCGTTATTGTACCGGGCGGACAACTCGGGTGCAATTTCGTCCTATATGCGCCAACGTCATCTTGATTGCGAGTACATGATTGCTACCTTCCCGACCAAGTGATCCTAGCCTGCGGGGTAGGCTGACCAGCGAGTTGGGTTTGTGGTGCAACCTCGAGCCTCCGCTTCGAGACCAGCGGTTGATGATTGTTGCCGCCTTCTCCCATCTTTGAGTTTAATTGCAGCCAGTAGCAGGACCAGGAAGGTGCAGCAAGCTTCGGGGTGTTTGCTACTCTAGTGCGGCTAGTGTGGCTAGTGCTCACCTAAGTTATTAATGGGAACTCAAAACCATTGAGTACAAACAGACTGCGACCAGATGGGTAATGCACCGACACAAGAGTTTATCTAACCCCTATAATTCTGCTTAGCTCGTACATTTCAAGTTCGTAAGTAATCCATTGCAACAGAATGTATAGTCGAATGCCCATAGACCCGATCACGACAATGTAAGGAGGTTGCTAAATTAAACCCATCACGAAAACCAGACGCATAGTTATATGAGAAACACATAAGCAGATGATTTCATTGCAACGCATTGGATCATGTCATTATAGTACATGCTAGTAGGCTTCTTCCTTTTTCTTACGTCCACTTAATTTGCAACACCAATTTCTGTGTAGAGACGTGCTTTACATGCGATAGCTACAACAGCTCGTCTAGAGTTTAAACGTGCCAGTTGATATACATACTCGACACCAGGTCACATCCATAAATCCGCGTACTAAATCAATCGTGTTCTTGTCAACCAAAACTAATTCGAACGTAGTCAGGCTTTACACAACCATAAACCTAACAGTCTAGCTTTCACTCGAAATGCGATTGTTCTCCAAGCTGTCAAGAGTCTAATTCGGGCAATTCTCTTATCGCGACTCAAAACATCCTTTCTACCCTCCGCCACCCCATCACCAAGTACCTTTAAAGCACCGAGACCCATTTCAGTAACACAGCCTCTCTAAGACTTCCCAACTTCCTCCTCAACCGCCATGCCTTCGTCACTCTCCATCACAGCTAGCCAAGAGAATGTCTTGCCAGACTTCCAGAAGGAACGAGATATGTAAGAGCAGCCAATTGTTCGTCAAGAACATATACTAAAAACTCCACAGCACGTCCAAGAATCAGATGACCTCGCCTCTTCTCAAACTATCTTCCGAGATACGCAACATGATCTACACCGAGGCCTTTCGCTCATCTACGACACTAGTACGAAGCGACAAAGACAAAACCGATGCCAAGTACTTGAAGTACTCAGAAGAATCCGAATCTACTGCGGCTCTCGTACGGGTCAGCCGCCAAGTCCGCTACGAAGCCCTGCCTCTCTTCTACGCACTCACGACATTCGATTTGAGTGTATGCGACTCGACGCGGGCTGCCGAATGGACCATAGGCGTGGAGAACAGCGCGGGGATTACTTCTATCATCAGGAGCAACAACACTATCTTTGTTGATATGCTTGATGAGGCTGAGAGCGGGCATAAATGCTTTCCTAATGTAAAGCATTTGCAGGATGCGGAGATAGGGGTGTACGAGGAAGCATTGAATGATGCGGAAGAACAGGCCAGAAATCGTATGTGATTGGGTGGCCGAACCTGTAGTAAGCTTGAACTCTTTGTGCAGATGAATGAGTGCTGTAAACTGGACGTCGTAAAGCAATTCGATTCGTATGTAAGCAACTATTAAGTCTCGCCATGACGCCTCATAGACCTGGGTATATCGATATCAAAACACCAATGAACGCCACAAACATAAAACGTAATCATCAGACTGGACTCAGACGCCAGGCACACCTTCTTTCGATCGTATGCGTCCCTCTCTCACAGTGCCTATAGTGACACCAGCCTCGCCAGTCATCCAGCCGGGCATCTTCTCTCCGTCCACAATGCCCTCTTCGACTAATTGGCGAATGCCAGCAAAGACGTGCGTGCCTTGAAATGCGACACGAACATTGGGTACCCAGCCTTCTTGATTCTGTATGTCCTCGAAGTCTTCGGCGGTTCGATCGAGTAGGGAAGGACGGCCTCTTCGAGCTTGGTTGGTTGTTTGATCTTCGAGGGTGTATGTATCGCCGTCTTGTTGCGCCTTGTTACCCCCTGGAGCAGCTGGAAATGCATCGTCGATGCGGGCTTCGAAACGCTCTAGACCTTGTCCATCATCTGCCTTTGCAGAAGTTCCAAATCGCCCAGCTGCTACCTCTTTCCTACGCTTGGCTTCGGGGGTGTCTGTGCTCTCTGCCATTCGCTTTGGTCGACCTGGGCCAGATTTTGCATTGCCGTTTGTCGCGTGCTTGTCCACTCCATTCTTGTCCTGTCCATCACTCCGCTGAGTCGTAATGAAGTCGAGCGCGTTCTGACTGAAACTGTGGTCCTGAAAGATGCTCCAACCTCCCGTTGCTGCGTTACTTTTCCCAGGCCCGCGGTATGTGAGGAGCGCGTCTAGCGATTTGGTGGTGAAGTTTGTGCTTGTGAGTTGGTAGCGCGCGGACGGCCGTGAGAATGCCTTTGGTATCGCTTGCTGTACAATGTCTCTCAGATGTCTTCCATCATCGCCCACAACCTGACCAGTAAGCGTAGCCAAAGATGAGTACACGAATGGCGATCCATTCGGCCATACAAAGAACACTGCCTTGGCGCTATCGGGTCTGCTCGAGTCTACAGCCAACGAGCTCTCTGTGCTGTACGGCGAGTCATGTATGTACACCCGCAGGATGGTCATCGGGGACGTCTTGATGCGCGTGATCAGGTAGTGCGCCTTCATAAGCGGCGTGAGTTCTCTCGCTAGATTTGACATGAACGTCTGCGCCTGGAATCTTGGAAGATGGTCCGAGTCGTTCGTGACTTCCATATCCGTGACTGCTGACCGCGCATTTGCAATCTTGGTCAGTCGTTTGGCGGTCCAGCGCAGAGCATTTGGGTGGTCGAGCAGGTATTGTATTTCAGCAGTTGCTAGCTGGTACATGGAAATGCCTGTCCTCCAGTCTCCCTCGAGTATGCGATCGAGTACCTCTCTTCGCCCGCCCTTGCGCGCGGCTAGCTCTCTGTATGTCTCTTGTAGCTCTTCATAGCTCTGCGCCGGTTCGTACAACTCCTCATCGTCTTCCTCATCGGCATCTTTGCGGTCGCTGAGTAAGAAAGGCTTGCAGAAGTCGCGGTTCTTCTTGCTGAGCCATTGTTGCGCGAGCGATACGAGCGATTGCCGGGACAGCTTGGTGAATGTTCGCTGAACTTCGCGATGGGTGATAGGTAATCGGTGAGAATGCGGTATATTCTTGTAATCCGGAGCGGTCGCCATGGTGGGCTGCCGTCTACATGGAGTTGGCAGCGAAGATGTTGTTGATCGTCTTATCGATAGGTGCCGGCTAGACGCGTTGAGACGCGACCAAGTCGAGACCCGTGCACGTGACGTTGACACTACGCAAAATTGTGATGAGGGGCAGGAGTCAGAGTTGATATTTTTGTGCGTTATTGAACATATCCATATATGCGAACGTACATTAAGATTGTACCTCAAGTTTGGTTCGCCCACAGCACGTGATATTTGCTTTCACTGCACATGTAGTTCTCGTCGGTTCCGAGGTCCGCCGAGCATGCACTCATTCCAGCGCGGCAAAACGTTGACGCGTGTCCGGCGCAAAACAGTTCGGATGACGGCCACAGAGTGTCATTGGTCAAAGCACCCTCCCCGGCAGGATTACAAACTCTGCCGAGGACAACAATACTAACGAACGAGTGAAAGAACAGCGATAGAGTGTAAAACTCGTCTCTGCCGCGAAAAGCGCCGAAAAGGACGGCTCGCTCACTCAAAAGAATACTTCTCTAATTGGTAAAGGGAAGCGGGCACTCGCGATTCGATTTCCAAGAGCGAGATTGGGCCGAGCGTGGGGTGTTGGCTCGTGGTTGATCGCTAATCCGGCACTCACATCGGCGGGGCATCGCCTGGGTCATCGCTGGCTCCCTCTTGACAGTTCTTCACGTCACCACTTCTCCACATACTCCTGCTGCTTCCCCAACACAACCGTCGTGAGGCAGACAACAACTACCATCCGTACACTGAATATTCACGACGTCAGTAATAATCGAAAATTTGGATTGAGGCAAGCGCGCCGGTTCGAGACCCACTCCTCAACACGGCCGTCGCCGCATCTCCGAAATTCCCCTCCAGGCCTCCATTTACCTACAACATCACTGTGGTCGTCGATTCTACCACCGCTCATCTCGTGAGACACGACACTGTCGCCTATGTCGGCATACAAGGGCCACCGGGGTCCTAATGTGTCCCAGTACATCGCCAATTTGAACCAGTTATCACCAACACAGGGTCCCCTCGACGAGCCCGTGGAATCCGGAGAAGACTTCTCGGCGTTCCTTAACAACGAGTTCTTTGACATCAACAACAATCCCATTCCTGGTTTCGACGCGCCCATTGACCTAGAAGTCGACGTTACTGCTGAGCAATCGACTCAGCCGGGTTTCGGAGATAATTCGCGTAAGCACAGTATTCAAACTAGCGCGGATCCCAGCATGGAGTTCAACTTGAATGGTAAGTGCATCTCATCGCTTTATTTCCCTTCACGACGGTATGCATTGCTGCTCGTGGTCTGGCCGCGATGGTCGCACAGTCTGCAATCCGTCGGCCAATAGGCGCAGATCGCAGGCACATGCGAACCCCGCCATGCGCCCGATATGCAGTCGTTACCCCCACACTCGTATATTAGCCACTCAGATGGCATGTCCAAGGCGCAGCCCTGCAGCTGAGCGAACGGTGCCCTCCAAGCACGCAATTGCCCGTGCTGCTCGGTGCAACACCACAGACAGCATCGTGCCTCGAGCATTTTACTTCGTCACCATTTTCGCACGGCATGGCTGACTTTCATCTCTTCACAGGTGACTTCCAGTTCACCGACTTCAACAACTTCGGCTCCACACCTCTGCTTGACACTTCCATGCACGGCCTGCCACAGCAGCCAAATCACTATCCTCTCCCCAACACATATGGGTCACCTTCGTCATCGATCTCTCCAGCCACACAAGGTTTCGACCAGGCTGCGAAGAAACGCAAACTCGACAGTATCGTTCCCACGACACACGAATCACTCGACGAGTCGGTGCGCGTCGCTGCAGAGGAAGACAAGCGTCGCCGCAACACAGCAGCTAGTGCACGCTTCCGCGTGAAGAAGAAGCAGCGTGAGCAAGCACTCGAGCAGACCGCGAAGGAAATGCAAGACAAGGCTACCAGGCTGGAACAAAAGGTCCAGCAGCTGGAGACTGAGAACGCCTGGCTCAAGGGCCTCATCACAGAGAAGAACGGCGGCAAGCACACCACAACCGACCTGAAGGCGCTATTAAGCAAGCACGAGGAGGCGTCGGGACGGAGTAGTTCTACGCACACTGACGGCGTTGGCACCAAGGCGTGATCCCTAAAGGCGGACGCCTAAATTCCCTCGATTTGCTTTTCCACTTGACTTTAGTCTCTTTTTCCATCGAGCTCTACGGCTATTTACCCTAGAGACTCGTTGATGCATTACATCATGTACATACATCCCGCAATCTACTTTGCTGATTCCAAAATGATGTCCAACGTTGTCATGCGTATGTGAACGTATTCTCTGAGAGGCATCCCTCATGTTGAACCTGTAGGATTGCTGACCTTGCTCCTACTGGTTCCAGATACTATCTTTGACGTAATGTGATGTGGGGATGGAGTTCGGGAGCGGATCTGGGGAAGCCCTTGGCAGTAAAAGATCAGCCAGACAGCCAGACACAGAGGATAGTGTCCATCAAATGAAAACTTAGCAGTGTAAAAAGTAGATGTGTATTTCCAGAGGAGTGTACCAAAAGAAAGGACTTTCGCTTCGCTCATGCACGTAAAACATATACAGCTCCGACAACCACGGCGAAGCAAAATCACCTCTTCCCGACCCTATCCAAGAAACATCCGAGTAGGTGGGATTTATCAGTCGCCTATACACACCACCACCACCATCGCCGCACCATCTAGATAGCAACCCACGTAATCGCAATCACAATATCCATGCCCTTCTTCTGCGCGCCCTCCCACTTGTAGCTATACGTGCCATCCTTCTCGTTGTTCCAGTACGCGCCGACAGCGCTGTGCATGCCGCGACGCCCGTGCTTCTCGGGTTCTGACGGGACGCCAATGTGTTGGATCACGGTGCTGTTGATGATGTATTTGTACGGGGGTTGCGAGGGCTCGCCGGCGGTAGTGGTAGTAGAGGTCTTTTCGATCAGGGTTTTCAGGATGGTTTGCTGCGGCGTGGCGGGTTAGTTGGAGTGCGGGATTTGGGAGGGTCGCGTGAGAGAGACGTACGATGATGGACGTGTTCCAGTCGCTGACTTTGGAGTGGTCGTAGGTCTCTGAGGCGCCGATTACGGATTCGCAGGCCTGGGGGTGCGAGTTAGATTGGACTTGCGGCATGAGGGTTTGGGCTTGCGTACGTGAGCGGCGAGCTGTTCCAGCTCGGATGTGGGGAGCGGTGAGTGCTGCGAATAGTTAGCTGGCGATTCCTACTTCATTCCGAGAGTTGTGCACATACAGCCATTGCGTGTGAAGTATGAATGTAGGTAGGGATGTGGTGGTAGGGGTTTCAAACGTGAATGTGTGGCTTGAACAGACTTCGTCGTGTGAATGAGGCGTCTGTTGGTGTTTACTGCCAATTCGGTTGTTAGGCCGGCCTCAGCGCACGCTCCACCCCACGTCTATTGCGGTCCGTGTCACGTGGGCTTGTGATTGGATAGCAGGCGCATGCGACATGGGTCCTGCTTGGAGATCACCAGGAAAGAGCTTGATCGTTTGAGAGCTTCTTGTCCTTCACTCCTCACCAGCCTCCAAACAAACCCGTCGTCTGAAGCTGTATCGAACGTCAAACAAGCCATCGCTAGCAAATTGACGCCTACTTCAACAGGAACATATCCACAGCAGCTTTCGTTCTTACCGTGGGGCCATCACTACCGTCGTCATGTCTTCGCAACCTCTCCTCCAAACCGCCCCGGGTACGTCACACGCGTTCTACAAAGCGAACAGCTTCTAACCTATCCCCTCAGGCAAGCGCATCGCCCTCCCTACGCGCGTCGAGCCCAAAGTCTTCTTCGCCAACGAGCGCACCTTTCTCTCATGGCTCAACTTCACCGTCATCCTCGGCGGACTAGCAATCGGCCTCCTCAACTTCGGCGACGGCGTTGGCAAGATCAGCGCCGGACTCTTCACGCTCGTTGCTATGATGGCCATGATCTACGCCCTCTTCACATTCCACTGGCGCGCGAGGAGCATCCGGATGCGCGGACAGGGTGGATTCGACGACCGCCTGGGTCCTACCATTTTGACCATTGCGCTCTTTGCCGCGGTCATTGTCAACTTTGTGTTGAGGTTGACCATGGGCAACGAGAAGAAATAAGCGCTAGATGGGGAAGAGGAGGCTGGAAATGAAGTCGGAAGATGATGGGATAGGACGACCAGGAAGAACCTTGTTGGGTGTATAGGAAGCCGGCTACAAGTTTTGGTCGATCTGTGATGGAGAGTCGCCATTGTTACATACTGTGCATTTGAAAGAGATAATGAGTTGAGCACGGCAGAAAAAAAGGGAACTTGTTGGAGTCATGGGGAGAACGTACGATATCGAGGGTTCTCGTGCACGGAGTTTGTGATTGGTATCTGTAGAATATTTGATATTAGTTGTGCAATTGCAATGGTTCGTTCGCATCCTCTCGTCCTCAGCTCGAAAACGACCCGTTACGCAAGCGACCGACTTCACCTACAGTCCTGCTTTTCTCTGCTATTTTCAAGGCATGCGGTGCTACCCGCGTGCGTGTCACCCACCTGCACCGAGTATTCCTTAAATACAACCGTACTGTGCCAGGCGGTTGATAGTAATTACACCGATTTGCTTGCAAGAGCAACGATACGGTCATACGAAAATTATATGGAGCATAACGCATGTAGCAACTCCTGCACCCATCCGCCAAACCTAAAAAACTTTAGTCAAAGTAAGTTCCTCTTATAAATTTGCCTAACTCACTCTCATAGTAGAACTCGCCGAACTCGCCACCTTCACCGAGCTCGGTGATGCCACAATCGTCGAAGATATTGAGCTCGATGATGCCACAACTGTCGAAGGTATTGAGCTGGTTGTCTGTGGAGCCGAGAAGTCTGCTTCATAAACATTGACGAATTCCGCTCCACCGCAGGTCTTCGATGTCTCCCCAGCACAGGGAACATTGCAATCGGCTGTTTCGTTGGCGGACATGTCGTTGCGTACAAAGTCGCTGCACCAGCATTGACTGCCTGCCACCATCCCAGCAAAACGATAGTTGGCATTTGCTGGGTTGTAGCACGCATCTTGACATTTTGCTGGCGTGTTGTTAGGGATATCGCTGATGCGCTTTTCGAGGCTGAGAAAGTCGGTTGGACCAACCGGCCAGCAGCCCAAAGGTTTCCAGGACGATGGGCTTGGCTTTGCTGAAGGTTTTGGAGTCGTAGGAGTAACGGCCGTAGTACTGGATGGCAAAGGAGGTGCCTCAGAGTCTACCCATGTACAGTACGAAGTATTGAGCTCCCAGTTGCCGCAGTCCAGGGTGATGGAAGGGTTCCAGCGGGTGAAGGTCTCTGGCTTAATAGCCAAACTGTCTCTGACATCTTTGCAGCTATGATCGCCAGAGTTGTCGTACCAGACGGTGCAGGTCTTGATAGTGTTGACATCGAATCGATAGTTCTGCGCAAGAACTTGCAAGCTGGAAGAAAGGCAGACAGCCGTGAAGCGCACGAGAAAATGCATCGTAGGATCGTCAGCCTAAATCTGTGACGACAGAGAACTCCAATAGGAAAAACCACAGCAGGTTTGTAAAAAGGTAAATCAGCGAAAGAGTGGACTGGAAGTTTCAACGTTTCGTGGAAGACACTGGGTCCGGCGGTAAACCATCTGCAGTGTGGCTCGCAAAGGAGCGCTCGATAAAACCCCTGAAGACAAGGGTCACCTCATTGACTCTACCTTACACAGGCCCGGAGCTCCTCAGATAGTCTAGGGTGAGTAGCTGGCTCGAGTTCAAGGTCTGCCAAGTGCAATTACTGCGCCGCACACTCGCATACGCTGGGTATCAATTGGGAATAGCGTTCCTTCCCGCGCCTTCTCTACGCCCGTAATCTCGGGCCTCGCTCGAAACGATCTGGTAACACACAGAAGCTGCAGGTCTAACAGATTTCAGAAACCTGGACTCTCACTATGTGCTTTCAGGCGTACCGAGTCTTAATCTTACGGCAAAATAGCATGTACCTCGACTTGATCACCTCCCGGGGAGGGCTAGTGAGTCGCGGGCACAGAATCTTTGCTGGAAAATGAAGAAATAGAAACATGGGAAGATAGGTAGTCTGCTTTTTCGTATGCATAATCAGATCGGCTCTAGGGAATTCACAAGCCATTTCTTGAGTACGCACCGGTCGCGGTGATTCTTGACTAGAAATACCTCCAGATGTCACTCACGAGAGACTTGGCCTTCAGCAGAGTCATCGTTGACAAAGCCACTCTAGTAAGTGAAGCACGCTTTTTCGCCTTGCGCGCTCACAATCAGGCAAAACCATCACACAACAACCAAAATCTGAGTTCAATAAGCAACATTCATGTTAGATTCTCCCATAATCACTAAGCGATGCCAATTTTCTGACGACACAACGTAACAAGGCTCTATGGCGATTTTCTATCTCTTTCAACGCCTCCCGCTCGAACTCCGCGACGACCGAGGCCTCAAGATCCGTTCACGCCACCCGAGCAGAGGATACCGGTCGCTGAGCCCAGTGCTAGTTGTGACAAGAGCATGTTAAGAGTTCCGCAAGAATTACAGCTAGCAGAGAGCCTTCATCGCTGATGAGTCTCTTTCCTACATTTAGGCAAGGTTCAACAGCGATATGATGCAGATGCTAGGTTCAACAATGAATGAGCTGCCACAATTCAAATTTGTAGAAATGAACGTGATTAGGCGTTTGAGGCTCGAAATGGCGATCGAAAATGCGCAGGATGATTATGAGAAGGAATTCTTTTTCACCACGTGTAGGCATCAAGTCTGGGATCTTACGAAGCTTGAGGGCTGTGATATCTTGGTAGACCATAGTCTGATTTTGTCCGCGCACTTTGTCGAAAACGTTCATTGGAGAGCGTGCCCAAAGAGCAATGTCCATGTCGTCGACACGGAGACGGGAGAGTGGATCGATTCCAACACAGCTGGACCGTACGTGGACTGAATTACCACCAAACATGGTGAAACCAGAGATTGTCAAAGGATCATTGATGACTGGGATGAGGAGAACGAAGAGGACTTCAAGCAGAGGGAGGAAGCGATGATGAAGATGAAAGAACCCCTGCCGCGAATCGAATTGAATTATTAGATTGTCGTCGGTTCATTCTTAGGCTACAAACATATTCTACATGAAAAGAGCCGGTCTTCGGGTCTTGACTACAAGTTGTACGCTACAAGAGGAAGTCTACCAAGGAAACGCAACCAAGCTAACGTCAAGGTCGGGCGACCCATAACCCTCCGGCAAAGTCCAAATTGAAAGCTTCCAAAATATGCCTACAACAATCCATAACACCACGCTCGACGACTTGTTGCCAACGACCCACAAAGCCATCGCGTACACACAACCAAGTCCTTCAATCTCGTGTGTCGTTGTCTAAGATGTCTGATCTGCATCATACCACACCGCTAGCTCCTCCACCCTCTCTCGTCCTACATACAGCAGTCGACTTCGTACATAAGCAGGGCATCGGTATTGGAATAGTCCAACGCACGCCGATAGGCGCAGCCAGGAACAACACCATACCAATAACTAAGCGCAAGTACAGTGTGAAGGGCAGCCAGTTCACATCCGAGAATGTCAAGACGCCGAAAAGAGCTTACATGTTCGCAATTATACTTGCGATGGGGCTCGCACGAGGTACAATCAAACGTCGATGTACGAAGACACTCAATATCCGAAAAGTCACGGTGCTCTGTGAGTCATCAGCGGTTGTCGAGCTGGTTAATTTCCATCGCGATAAAGCTCCTGAGAGTCTAGATTGTATTATAAGTACAAATGATCGCGCGATGATCACAAGAGTTCTGATAGGTGTTCGAGAGCTATCACGGCAAGGAGTTGATGTTGTTATAGCTGAAGATGTGCTGGAAATTAGGAGCAAGGAGACGATGAGAGCTAAGATATTGGCACGGCAGAAAGGGAGGAAGGCGTGTCGCAGTCGTTGTCAGGCGCAACACAATGCTTTCATAGAAGCAATTACCGATGTCAACTAGACAAAATTCGGCACAGTATCATTCAAATGCTACACGGAAACGATGGAAGGCTGTACTATTGTGCTATTTATTGGCGGGATGGCGAGATACTCTGTATGTACGCTCAGGCTGCTGCGCGCCGTTGTAGTCTATAGGGTGACTGTTCGTTCCTTCACCTAATCGCGAACGTCTGTTCCTTTTCTATACGCTCATCCCCAGTCAACCCACGAAGAAACTCTCCATCCATGATTCCGTGTACATATGCGTCGCCCACAAGCTGCCACTGTAAAGTCTGGTCCGGAGATTCAAGTTTACGAAGAACGACAGGAACACTACATCCGTATAAGATGCAGATTTGGTCGCCTATACGAGCATTTGGGGGTACTAAGCCAACAAATTGCTTGCCACACAAGTTAATGTCCGATCGGAATGTCCGGCGGTTCCACACAATGTCCCGAACAACCAGAAGGTATGTTCTAACGAGTTCGGGAATATCGTTGTCGAGTAGTTCCTCGATGTCGATACCTGATGCGGTCTCACTGTTGAGCATAACCAGAAGATTTTCCATGGCTGACACCCACGAGTCGGGTGCTGGATCACCATTTCCATTTCTGTCGGCACAAAGCGTTCGCCACCAAGTACAAATTTCTTGCGTGTATTCAGCTCCAGAGTTCTTCCTAGGGTCTCCAAGAATTGACAGGCACTCTTGAGTAATTATAGCATCTGCCATTCGCGAAGATCTTTGCTTAATCCGACCCACTGCAAATCCCTTCACGGAGAGAATGCAGCTGCGATGGACATCTGATCCCTGTGATGCTTGTGGTTTGGACCCACCATCAGCATTATATGTTGGCTTCAGAGGGCTACCAACGAGTGGATTACCATGGAGACGGTGCTTGGAGCGCCACGACGGGTCGCCATAGGGAAGTTTTTCTCTAGATGCTATCCAGGAAGGTAGATATGTCAATTCTTGGTAATCTCCCGAGCTCTTTTGTGCACGAAATAAAGAACTTGGCGCCCACGGCCGACAAAGAATGTCGAGAGAATCGTTTTGGATGTAGCAGTACCGTACGAAATCCGTGTATACACTTATAGTGCTCTTACTGTAGTCCGGAACTATCACAGAGCCCTGACCATACCTCGACATCGATCTTTGGTCGTTGGCAAGGTTCAGCAACGTATACATTGTATCCTGCTCATTCGAGGTTTCGCTGAACGTGGCTAAATGCACGAGCATTTCTAGAGACATCAGGTGATGAAGAATTGACCCGTCGGCGGTCTTCTCGAAGGATCTTTGGATCAAATCTAGCAGCCTTACCGCTGGAGAATCAACGAAATTCATCAATGTACCTATTCGCGTTTTGGTGCTCAAAAGTCCAGGTGCCTGTGGTTCGCTGTTGAACTTTGATCGAATCAGATTTGTGACTTCCGTGAAGTGTTTCAACTGTAGCTGTCGGTCTCCGCATTGGATAATCGAATTTACTGAAAACGCAGCTTCTTGTAGAACCCAGCCTCTTCGGAACCAGGACCGCTCCATCAGCAAGCTCAAGGCAGTGAAGCTGTAGTCTTTCCACCATGACCCAGTCCAGGAGAATGAAGTCTTGTCGGGATCTCCGTTCTGGGTTCCATCATATATCTTGTTTACAAGCTCAATAGCTAGCTTACTGGTCGCATCCTCTTCGCCCAGCCAAATGTACACACCGGCAGCCTTGTCGTAAATTCGCGCCATACGCATGACTTGCGCACTCCGTTCTGCCTCATTACGCTGATCGATACTGATCGAATCTACCCATAAACTGAATGCATGATTCTGTAGCGCTCCTATCCTCCGCAGCGCGTAGAATAAGTTTGGTCGTACGTGGACGATTGCGTTGTCGATCGTGATTTGATGAAGAGCAGGTTCTTGCCCCCAAACGTAACTTAAAGCATAGTACGGAGGAGGATTAGAAAGGTCAAACTCTTGCAATCTCGCTTCCTCGCTGTCCAGGCTGGAGTGTCAGCAGCCGAAATCCGTTCGCTGCAAGAACACCATAACGAAATGACGTAGACGGACGTAAGGTTGCTCTTCGTCGATTACGCTCGGTATTTCGCGTCATTGACCATTCAATTTCGTTCCGCAGTCGTCTGAATGCCATCCTTTCTCCCTCTCCATACAACAGTGGCATATGGACATCAAATATCCCAAGCAAAGAGTAAGCTTGGTCTTCTGCACGTGTCGCACTTCGTGAAAGAGTCCAAGACATGCGATCTTCGACACTGAATTTTGACAACGGACTCCCTTGAAGAGCCATCTGCGGAATTTTAGTGATATCATGTAGCTGTGCCATCAAGGAAACCCTGTCGCCTATTCGGTTGCCTTCGGAGTCGAAGAACTCAACCGATTCAGGGGCAAGAAGCTCCTGCAATGTCCAGCTACGAGTGAACCATCTGCTTGAGTGCAGTGATGACATGGTCTGATTCAAATCTGATACGAGGCAAACATCCCGGAGGTGCACGTAACATCTTGCAGCGTCTTTATACCATCTAAACATCGAACTTATGGCATGGCCAAGCTCCATGCTGCTCGACTTGTCGATGCAACAAGTATCGACCCAGAAGAAAGACAACCCATCTTTCGCAGCCTGCCTTCCACAGAACTCAAGCTTGCGATACCCTGCTTTGCTCTTCCAACTTGCTGTGGCTCCATCCGTCACGTCCTTGAAAAGAACTTCCTCGTCACTTCAGGTATGCGACAGTATTGCGTATGGTGGGATATCGCCGCCGAAAAATTTGGTTAGGCTGAGGTGTTGCCTTGTTCGTCATATCGTAAGAGTCGCATCGTGTGCTGGTGAGTTATGATGCCAACCTTCCTGGAATAACGATCAGAGCATATAACCTCCGAACGAACAGCTTAATTTGATCGTGTAGAGGTTTTCCGTATGAGTGAGTGTAGCAAAGAGAGAAGGTGGGGTAACAGGCAGCGACGCTTCGAGCTCACCGGTGACAGAGTCTGGCTCGCTAAGCATGTCAGCAAAAACAATATCATGCGCCCAACTTCACATGAGTGTTGTTGACATGATGGTCTCGAATAAACATATTTTTGATGATCGTCTGATCCAGGATATGTAGTGTGAGCTGGAATAAAGGCTAGGACAGTTATAACGCAAAGCAACATTCAATTCAGAATGTCAGGGACACCAGTCCTGATCTTCTCACTTGAAGCTACGTTCGAGCACTCACCTGGAACCACTTCTCTGCCGTTGTGTAGTTCCTCGTGTACCACCTTAACCCTCTTCATACTCTTCTCAACCTCATCCTCAAAGTGCCCAAGCACATGCCTACACCTCTCATCCCAACTCGCACTCTCCTCTCCACAGTACCGACAACCCAACTCCGTCCTCGGCACAAACTCCAACTTGCTCTTGTCGATCACAGCATCAGCGGCCACCTCTGCGTGTTTATCTGCCACATGCTTCAAGAACTTGTCTTTGCGGTTGACCAAGAACGGATTGTGACTGTCGGTCTGACCGCAGATATCGCATAGCCAAAGCTCCTGGGGCTCGTGTGTTTCTTCGTGACGACGCCAGTCGAAGGCGCGTTTCGTTCGGTAGCCACAACCGAAGGTACATCGGTATGGGCCGGTGTTGACGGAGCGGCGGCCATCGTTTTGAGAGCGTCGGCGACGACAGCCGGAGACATATCTTTCCACGATTGGTAGGATAGTTGGGGGGAGGTGCTTGTTTGCCGTAGCAAGTGTGTATGGTTCTGGAGTAGGGTTTTCTTTCTTTCCTGAACGTGGAGGACTCTCCTCTGTGTCTTGGTCTTCCGCGATACGCTTCATGGTATCGTTGCTGTTGCGTCTTTGTCTAACGTAGTTGATCACTAGTCTCGGTTCGCTCCGTATAGCCGTTGCAAAAGCAACTATACGATCGTCGTGTAGGGTTGGCGCAACTTCGGGACGAGCGAAGCCTTTATACCACCGCTGAAGAAGCCCACTCTGCTCTTTCGTCATGTTTGCATGACCCAAACCGAAGTCACCGAAATGTTGGTGTCGGTGACTCCTGCTAGTGGATGTACTACATGAAGACATCTGTGTCTTTTCTTCGTCTGAGTCGTTTTTCTCCAGTGAATCACTCGAACAGGGCGCTCTCGAGATGCGGACTGGATGAAGTTGGGTTTCTGGTCGTTCGTCCAGTGGACTGTCCCGGCGTCTCTTGCCTGATTTGTTTGAGCACGGCGAGGTAGCCGCTGGCGAGTCCATTCGTGAGAGGTTGAATCTCGATGTCTTTTAATGATATGAAGCTGTGTACATAATATCATGACAGTGTACCTCGGAAAAGGCTGTCGCTGAATCTTTCAATCTTGATGCCTAGAACTTTTAGCCGTTAAGCAAGCTTGTTGAAGATATCATGAGTGCTCAAGCATTTGTATGACGGCTTCGCTGGAATTCAGTTAAACACGAGACTGAGCCAGACGTGCCTCCCAAGGACAACGGCGCCAAGGGATATCCAAAGATAGTGTTAGCTGTTGTTCTCTAGGTCCGAAGCAGAGTTAGGGCCGCCAACGCTGTTTGCACATCAAACTGCGAGCCTCAGAGACTGCAAGGCGGCTGACCGGATCGCTTCGTGAGGCGTTGGTCAAAATTGCTTTTCAAATTTGGGCGTCACGCTCTGAAACTCGAGCTGCGCTGTGAGTGCAGTGCCAGCTACATAGTCGGGCATCCATACTCCAGAATGGGCGTATGCTCGTTGGAAGGCGGCCGCGGGCTTTAGGTTGAGGTAGCTATCCAAGGATGGCTAGTCTTAAGAACGCGTCAATATATTATTGGGCAACACTGCTGCCTTGCAACGGGGCCTAAACTGTCAGCAGGACATTTTTGTGATCGTGCATCGCCTTCAGGGTGTCAATAGAGTCGTGTACATGAGGCTACATATGACATGGTTTTGGCGCTGCGAGCCTATGTGGCGCAAATGTGGCCTGTCATTGCGCTGTGAGTAGGTAAGGTTCAGGGATTAGGAAAAAAACTGCCAAGACCGTTTTGCTTGCGTCTCGTAGCTAGGAGCAGGATAACGCGAAATATGCCAGATCAGAAAGTCATCTGTATTGCTTGCACCGTCGTATGCCAACATTGGTGTCGAGAAGACCTGTGACATGAGGGCAACGTATGTCCTGACCTTGCATAGAACCGTGTGCCGTTCGAGGTAGAGTCTGCATGTCACTGAAAACGCAGTGCTACCGTGCATACTGCTGTGCCAACTCTGACACGAGACTGCTGCAATCTCTGACAACTCGTCAGTGGAGGCCCACTAACGGGTCTACTATGCTTTTGATGCCGGTCAAGCAGCTTCACTGCCGCGAGCTGATCGAATGACAGACTGAAATCTTCAGCCCAGGTGTGATGCGACTTCGCTATTAGCGAGCACATCTACCACAGGAACCGTTGTAGCTTGCCGGGCTCGCTTGGCCACTCAAACCCTCGATATAGGAAAATGTATGTCACGGCGACGTCAACGACCAATAGCCACAGTGTTTCCAACCCGAGTCGGAGGTCGTACCAGCTTCGGATACATCGCTCTTGGGACGGAAGTGAAGCAGAGGCAGACGGAACATGTAGACGCCAGATGATCCACGGGATGATGAAATAGCGAGGCTCGACCAGAGGCGCCGTAACCACGGAGAGTGCTGTAGCGGCCAACCAAATAGTGAAGAAGCTGATCTGGCAAGGCGTACGTCCGGTCTTGATGTTGGTTGGGTGACCGTTCTCGCGCTTCTGCTTTAGTGGCTGCTCATCATTGGGCGAAGCTCCGACGGCATTGGTCACTAGCCATGCACACGCATAGTAGGCAGGGACAGCCAAGTATCTGATTGCTGGGTGTCGTCGCAATATCCGGAAGACGTAAAATACGTAATGTCGATTGTCGGCCAGAGTGTACGGATGGATTATGGTGTTGAAGTGAACGGCCAGGAAAGCGCCTAGGATGAACAGACCTACGGACAATATTTCCGGGAACTTTGAGGTCGTTGGCGTGATATGATATCTTTCGAAGAGAGCCTGGAACTGCTTTGGCAGAAGCATGACAGCGGGTCGGGCCATCGGTCCAACTACAAGTGGTGCCGAGAAGAATGCGATGTACGGCCAGATATAAAGCATCTGTGGAAGATGAATGGTAGCAGTGTGTGCTGACTTGTCACCTGCCATGTGTCAACCTTTTACTCGGACAACATAAGATGATCTGACATACCGAGAACGACACTTCCGTTCCAGATAACAAAACTTGCGAACAAAACAAGAAGGACAAGGTAGGGTGAGGCAACCTGCAATACCAAAGCTGGACTTCTCATTGCTGCAATTGCAACAGTGACGACCAACAGACCATAATCTGACACGGTTTAGCGCAGGCGGCGTCATGCAAATGATCAGCGCGTTCGTACCTTGTAAGCTAGCATGTTTTAGTGCGCAGTCATGGACTAGACCATTATTCCAGCTCTCGCGAAGGATGTCACCAACGATGTGGGGCTTTTTACTCGTGGAAGAAGGTGCCCTCGCTTTGAGAGCATCAATGACGGCGAGACCAGCGGGAAACACAGCCACCCAGAAGATATTCGTTTGACGAAAGAAAAGTGCTACCACACCAATGAATATCGTGCCAATGCTTTGCAACAAGTTCCCGAATGTGCTCCTCTTCAAGAACATGTGAAAGCTAAGCAAAACCACCAGGGTTGACATGACATCGGTATAGAATAACGCAGAAAAGAAGAACAAGGGAGGAAAGAGTGCAATGTTTAGTGCTGTGTTGGCGTCCAATATCAGAGTCGAATCATTGAGATCTGGGTCCTTGTCGCCGTCTTTGACGTTCAACGGCGCGTTTTGAGAACGAGGCGTGCGAAGTGTCCGAAGGATACTGTAGCTCACAAGACAGATAAGACATATGGCCGCTATATTCAAGGCTCGAAGAGAAGCTGTACTACAGCCCAAGAGCGGTTTGAAGAGCTTGGCTACGATGTATCTGGATCGATCAGCCAGCGACTCGCAATGCGTGCAATGCACGAGTCGTCTTACAGGCCTGGGGGAGTAGTGATCTTCGGATCCCATGTATAGTCTCCATCGCAATACTTTTGAGCCTGAGGCACATGGAAAAACTCATCCTGATTTGAGGTAAGGACTATATCGCCGGCCCTACGATTATAAGCACTTACGAGGTATGGTTCTGGCACTTCTTTTGAGACTAGGTTCAACCACGTGAGCGAACAGTTAAAAGTCAGCAGCAGAGCGGCGTGTAACGGCCAGTTCTGTATGAAAGAAGGCATCAGATGCTCTCGTGAAGATGAGAACAGTCACGGTGGTGGAGGGAAATGATGATGTCGAACGTTAGTGGCCAGAAAGTTGGTGGACCCTGGAGCTAGCGTGTAATCAGTTAGCGTCAGTGTCGCGTTCGCGTTCGACATGCCAAACCTTCGATATACAGCCGAACCCTTCACGACAACGCGTCGCAAGCATGGCATTGCCTCTTCCACCTGGGCTGACGCCTCCAGAAATAGCGTTCCTGTGCGAAATGGAGCTTGTCACCGTGATACCACGCCAAAGACTGGAGGGACTGGAGTTGTTAGGAGTATGTAATGCCCCGCAAACACCCCGCCAAATACGTCGCAGAGACATGACCACAAATGTATACGCTTGGGAATAGTCAATTGAGATTATATAGGGGCGCATTAAACCACTCAATCCTCCCCATCGGACCAACGTTCCCCTCTGGCTCGCCCTTCTACTTAAGCGTCAACGGCGCGCAAACATCCTGCCACCACCATGGCTGAACTCGCATTCCCTTACTGCTATCCTTGATCACGAGATCGATCATGATGAAACATTTTCACCGCCGCCACGATTGCCTCCACAGCCGTCAGCGAACACCCTACCTACCTCGCCGCCATTTTTGTCAGACAACACAGCAGATGCAGCACCAGACGCATTGCCATACCATTGGCTAGAGATTGGTGAAATGTTACTAGAAGCTGCATCAGATGATTTCGAGGACCCAGACAATGTCAGGAAGCTTCTGAGAGGGCTCAGAGAAGTCAGAATGGCAAAACTAAGAAGTGGTGTGGAGGTGCTGGATGCTGGAGGAGGCGTCAAAATGAACGGTGTGGGAGGCATGGAAGTGGGGGAGGGAAGGGCATTCGTCACTGGCGTCATAGACGGACTGAGGTACATGGGCATCGCAATAGACAGCATTGCAGAGATTAACGATCGACAGGAAAATCGCAGCCTCACGAGAGCAACAACGAAGAGACCGGGATCGGGAAGAGCTGGAAAACGGATACTCAGGCACGGCTGCCGACTATGATGACGACGAAATGGACATGCAATGAGCACAGTCTCCAAGACCACTCAACCCCAATATCAGCCTCAGCATCAACTACCCTGTGCCTGCCCGAGCGATCTTCCTCGGAGACCCCGTGAAGACAGAGGAGCGCCATCGGGCCTCTCTTCCCCCTCAAGGCACAGGCATCCACTCCGGGTGCATCACACGACATTCAGCATAGGAATATGGTGCTGTGCTTATGCACCTCGATGTGGACATCATATGCAGCTCAAGGCACCTTGGGTCTATCGTCAAAACGGCGAAAACAGCCGTCAAAACCATCTTCCAGAAATATGGCTATGTGAAAATTCTAGATGTTGAAAGCGCCCGGGTGGGTCACGATAATGCTGTGTAACAACGGCAAGCCGAGCGGCCCGCCGTCACACCCGTCACACGCATTAGGTCGTGTTGAATGTGGGGTAATTGGCCACGCGCAATACTCTTCAGCAGTGGTCAATCAACTGGATTTTATGTGGACATTGAAGGCCAGACCGTGAGCCGGGAGTCTGGATGGCATGGTGGACAATGATGTTGAGGTGATGCGACATCGGAAGGCTGCTACGGAAAATCGCTTGATGGAATATTGGCTGGATTATCGCAGCTGAAGTGTTGTGCGGCTGCAAGATACTGCAAATAGCATTGTGGCATTTTTGTTGGACGGAGGAAGGCGCATGCATGTTGTTGGGCTGCAGTGCTAGATACTGCAGCGCAAGCTGCTGTGCATCTTCACCAGGTTCTTTACACCTGCATCGAATCCAAGTCCGATGCCCAGCTTCGAAGCACAGCTAAGGAGGAGGCTGAAAAAAATATGCGCGCTACTGCTGTACACTCAAATTCAAATCAGTGCAGATGCTAATATTTCCTCAATTATTACGTTGTCAGGAAATATGTAATATCCCCAAGCCACACTCGCCACATCATGATCCCCAATACATCCAGCATCCAACGCATGAAGTCACGAGACCTCCCAATATATCGTTTGCCTGAACCATTTCTCTATTCTCAGAAACCCAGACCACCCACGCTGACAAAAAACCACCCTCATCTCAAAGCCCAGAAGCAAAACACCTACCATCCCATTCCCAGACGCACTCGCATGCATGAACACCCCGACTCGTCATCGCAGTCTTGGAACCATACTCGGCATAACCCTCGCCATGACAGCCACGCAGAATGCGTAATCCCCCCAAGCCAAATAAGCAAAACAAATCTCATAACTTAACACTTGTTCATGCGCTCACCACCATGCGTTCGTTCCACCACCCTTGCTCTCCCTCACCTTCCCCCAATCTCCACCTCCACGCGCATAACATACCAGGGTGCATATATCAGCCATCAACAGCTTTGCGCCAACCTGCCGCGTTGAGCATCGGGAGATGAGATGCGCTGCACTGATCTGCCCTATACTGCTCGAGTAGGTAGTGGTGGAGTCGCAGCGGGACGAGGAGGAATTTCCCTCGAATGAGAGACGCAGTAGGGGGGAGGGATGTGTGTTGGATGTTGAAGGAGGCTGAGACGAGACGGGGGGTTTTTGGTCTCGTCGCGTTGCATGGTACTGAATGTCTGTGTTTCGGTGTATTTTGTCGTGGCGGGGCTATTCTTTAAACATGCGAAGAAATTCACTGCGCTGCAACGCTTTGAGTGAGAAGGGTGAGGATTGCTGCATCGTATTGCGAGTATGTGTCGCTTTGCATTGTCACGTTGGTCTAAAAGTGTTTGGCAGCTTCTTCATCTGTACGTTGCATATGCAGGTACCGCATGTAGTTTCAAGTCGCAAGCTAAATATAGAATCCGAGTATGAGGAAAAGACACGTTTTTCCCCATCCGTGCTTTGGACTGAGAACTATAGTTGCCATGTTTGCAGAGGTGGTAGAACCATAATATTACACGATCACTTAGTATTGCAGCGTGTGTTGGTAGGTACACCGTGTCGTTGTTGCAGAAGATTGATATTGCGCCGTCTTGGCTGGAATGCAGAACTGCCGTGCCGCACACGACATCTATCCTGGATCTCGGATCTGAGCCGCGAATCCACATGGAAGGAAAAGAGCGGGACATGCGGCGAAGCATGAAGCCCTGTGAGGCGTGGCAGCCGCGGCTGCATGTGTTGTGATTCTTTCGATAGAGCACTGTCAATTCCACATCTCGTCAATTTCAGCGCAGAGATACACTTGTCCAAGCTTTGTGACACTCATAGATATCAGTCCATAGCAAAGAGCAACGAGCATGGGAATGCCATGGTTGTGGGATGTTAGTGCTGATACCGGTATCTTGAATCCTTCTCGGTCCTACACCCAAGCAATCAAGCGCCACCAACACAGCCGCGCGACTTTCTTCAGTTGTTCGCTATGCGCCGGCAATCGATACTGATCGCAATTCCCTTGACGTAAAATTCGCCAGAGGACCGCGCGCAGATGTCGGGAGACCGTTGCCGTATGCATGGAGCGCCCTGACTGTCAAACCTCACATGCGCGGACGAGGCTTCACAGACCACGACTCGAAATGCAGCTGAAGGGGAAAAACGACGGGCGTTGAACTGTCTGAATCATAGAAAGGCATGCTTGCTGAGTCGCTGGCCTCGGTGTGTCCCGGGGCCAATTCACCGCGACGAGTCGACACGGGGCTAGAACAGTGGGCCTCGTAACGGCGTGGCCTTGGGTTGGAGAAGAATAAGAACTCTGGTAGGTTCGATGCTTGGAATTGTACCCTTCATAACGTTCCAATTAAAAAAAAAAGAACGCAGTGTCAAAGCTGTTGTCGTACTCTGTGATGAGCAATAAGGGGTGCAATATGGCCCATGCTCATTTCTAGTGGCGTATCATCAGTGTCCTGGGCGGTTGCTACTCAGGTCCGATCCGCATGTGAACTTGACAACAAGAGGAGTCCTTGCCGTCCTTTGAGCAGCCATTAAGATCCACATACACGGTCAAACGGGCATGCCGAATCAGGAAAATGCGCTCGAGAGATGAGCATCCTGGATGGCAAACCTGCCAGAAGAGTTCCACCGGTAGTACTGAGCAATGTAGCCATGATCCTTGCTCATAATTATCGTACGGTTATTCGGCCTTCATTTTCGACTCGTAGACCAATCATCAATTTATTGAATGACGACCGCAGAAGCTCCGAATTGATCGCGCTACGGTGAGCCGGTGTACTGAGCGCGACAGCGTCTTACCGCCTGTGTTACTGTGATCTGGGCTGCTCTGTGGTCTCAGCACCTACCTTGCAATGAAGCCGGATCCGCGAAGATTGCTGTCACATGATCCGAGACATGCGCCGTGCGTGCCAGGCCCTCCCATGCCTCGGTACACGTGCGTCGGCTGTGATGACCTTTTGGACAAGCCGTGCCCCCAACCAGTTCGGCGGGAAGAAAGTGGGGTGCGCGCGGGTGAAGCGATTGATTGGCCGACCGCAAACCTTACCAGAGAATGAACGCGATAAACAACACAACAGGAGACGCGATGATTCGGCAGAAGATGTATCGTTTCCGAACGGTATCGTGGGGTGGAAGTGTATTCTCGTCCGAGAAGAGATTTTGTGGAGATTGCGATATGGCCAATCTGGGTAGGCAATGTGCAGTTCATGCAGGCATTGGAGCAGCTCGCAAAGCTGAGTGGTTGGTAATTCGAGCCTGCGGGAGCTGAAATGTTTACCCGCGCGCAGATCGAATCCGGAAAGAAGACTTCTCGTTTCAGGTCCCAACCTGTTTAGCGAGCACTCAAAACAGTCTTCATGAGATTTATTAGCGGAGGGTTCTCCGGAGTTGAAAAATCAGAGGTGGGGGCGTTCGTGAAGAACGAAACTCAGAGCTGTTGAGGTGTCACTTAATGTGATTGCGAGCGTGCGCCGATTTCGTTCTTGACCTTTCGATAGTGCCCTATGATCTTTGCTGATTTTAAAAGGTAGTGCGAACGTGACTCGTCCAGCATAGATGTAGAGTAGAGTGCTTGAAAACACAAAGAGCAATACTGAAGGCAAGTGAGGTCTTGCCTCAGTTGCCCGGCTCGAAGGGTGACTTGGAAGAAACCTTCTGCACTCTGGATGTTGTGTTAGACTTTGCGATCGTGGCGTAAATACATCACTGTTTCTTGGGACCGAGGGCTAGCTGCATACTCCCGTCGAAGGCTATGACGCCCAGCTGCGTTCAAGATGCGTGCATTTCCGATGCGGAGCGTTGTAACCACACAACACCACGCGACTGTTGAGCGTCCCCACGCGACATGCATACTCTCCGGAAGTCAAATGCAAGCTACGACTCCTATACGGTCTACGGAGAATTGCTTTGGACTATTGGACGACGCCATGTTCCCGTATTGTGCTTGGCAACCACCGACGCGGGGTCTCTTAGTGATGCTTGTCGCCAATCACGACAGTGACAGAGCTCAAGGTCCTCACGATGCTTTTTCGTGGTTGAGAGAGTATGCTTTGGGAGCGAGTGCATGTGCCGAAGGCAGATCGCAAGCAATTCGATGTTTTGGCTGCAGATCTGTGGCCTTTTGAGGTTAAACAAGCGGATGCAAGCCGCATGTTGATAGGGATCATCCTTCGAGAATGGGCATTCAACAGGTGATCGGCTTAAGGTTCAGAAATTTCTGAGGTACATACTCACGGCTCTGTTTTTCAGTGTTCACGCAATTGTGATTCGATGGGGAACTCGGAGGGTGTTTAAACTTCTGATGCGGTCGCTCCCGCAGAACTGTGCTAATCCTTAGGCTAGGAAGGCGGCAGCTGCACAGCCGTGTTGAAGCGCAAACTAGGTTTGCTGTGGCAATGTGAACAGCTCCGAAATGTGCATGCAATGAGTGCGTTTCACTCTCTGAAGCTTGCTTGTAGTGCTATTGCCATGGTCATCCTAGAGTTGCTTTTTCGCCGGCAGTGCGCGGTAGTACTGCTATGCATAGAAAGCGGCTGTGACAGTATTCCTTGAGCTTGGAGTTTGAGACTATGAATTGAATCAAGACTAAACCCTCGTCGTTTGCCATTCGAGGGGCTCATATCGGAAAGCGTTCTGTGCACGTGACATGGGCACCAGCGAATGTGTGAAGGACTGTAATTCACGGCGGCAGAACTTCCTGCAAATAGAGAGATGTCATCGTGTAGGCTTGTCCGTATGTAGACTGAGTATACATGTTGATCGGGGTAAATGGTCGAAGCCACTACCGTCGCCAAACGTGATATGACCATGGTTCCTGGAGGTCGCCGTCCTGAACTGCAAGATCGTCGCGCTCATCACCAGGCAAGGCCCAAAGTGGGCCATAGACACCCCAACAACCTTGGAAGAGCCTGACGTCCCTTGCCGAGTCATGTGACATGATGAGGACCTTGACAGTCGAACCCTTCACGAGGGCAGGAAGAAAGGGCGTGTTCTAGCGCGTATGCGACGACCGAACGCACGTACTCATATACGGCAGGCTGTAGATTGGACGTTGCTCCCTGTGATTACATGCGTTTCTTGGAGGTTGGTGCCGTAACCGCACAGGTGCAGCAAGTGTGCAAAACGTTTCCTCTTGTCTGGCCAATGGGAAGAAATGCAGGAAATGCAGGAGGTGAGGTTTGGATTGATTGGAGGCGTCAGCCGTGGCAACCGGGGGGGACTGTGCCGTGCCGCAAAGACCTGATTGCGGTTTAGGCGGGCTCGTGCAGGGGAAGTCTTTTGCCCCTTCGAGACAAGCAAAGCCCGGGGATGGGGTTCGTGGTGGGTCTCCGCAAGCCTCGCGCTGCAGTAGTTCGTGCGTGCTGCGGGTCTCCTTCATGCGGCCAGCTGCATTCACACTGCCTACAACGTGGAGCGTGGGAGGTCACAGAAAGCATGCAGCGGGCGTGGAGTCGTCACAATCGTCGTTGTTGTGGTGAGGCTGGGCGAGAAGTGAATGAATTGCACCGAAGCTACTGTTTATTTGCTGGGGCTGCGGGATCTCCGTGGTCTCAACGGCGGTCGCCATGTCGGCTGGGTGAATAGCACGCGGTGTTCTCAACGCTTTGGTTCAGAGAACAAGTTACCACGCGTTCACATATGGGCAGTTGTGCAAGGGAAGCGTAGCCGGAGAGAAGTCACTGGCTCAGTCGGCAGCACGGGCGCAGAGGCGCGAATCACGGTCGCGTCGCCGAAGGGGCCAAGGTCCAGTCGAGGCCCCACCAACCGCTCCCTGGACGGGCATCCCTGCGAAGGGCCCTGACAGCTGCCAATCGACCCCCTGCGCCCATGCCTGTCAATTTCACGAAGCTTTTCCTGAAGTTGCCTGCGCCGTGGCATCCTCCGTCCGGAACGATAATAATGGCGTGTGCTGCTGTTGGGCTGGAGGAAACTCCTCGCTTTGTTGTTGGTATTCTTGTGTCTTCTTTCTGACGGCCCGCGCACTGTGCAGTAAGTAGGCCAGAACTACTGGAAGTGGTCGCTTCGCCTCGCCCGTGTTTGTTGTGCTAGTTCGCGACTTCCTCTGTTCGCTTGGGCCGCAGCTTCCTCGAAGACCGTTTGGCAGGCACGATCCCCACGCACGCTCCTTGCGCACGTCAGGCCCATCCTTGCAGCTGTCCGGGTCCTTTCGTCACCTGCACTCACCCGTCAAGTACAGTAGGACGCGGTGCTGCATTCTCCAGACTTCACCCCTCGAACGCCCGGCTCCATCGACGAGAAACAGACTGCGTCTGAGCTCCTCCGCCTGCTCTGCCTGAGCCCTCTGCTGAACGCGTCGCCAAATCTCTGCGTCACGGAAACGACACCTGTTGCATCATCTCTCATACTCGACCGAGTCCAGTACCATAGCCGGCCTGTTTTCACTGCATCTGCGACCCTTCCAGCGGCCTGCATCCCCAATAGGCAATCACCTCACCTCAGGATCTGTCACTCGCTGCTCGACCTCTGTCAGCCACCAGCCACACTCGACCTGTCAATCGGTCCTTGTCACAGAGTATGCATCTTTCCGTTTGTTGCGTCTTCCTCTCCGCATTCCTGCTTCAGGCCTGGCCGAGCGCCGCTGCTGTCATTCCTCGCTTCTGTCACTTTGGACACAATCATAACACTTGCGCAGAAAACCAACACCAACACCAGCCAAGGAACGACATCATCACCGCCAATTGAACACCTGCAGCACCCTCCGCACCACTACTGTGAGCTACTGACGGTCGGTACCACGGACCGACCGACCTCACCAACCCATCTCGATTAGATGCCCCAAACTTGTACCAGCCGAGCTGCAACGGCTAATTAGCGAACCGCTTTCTTGAGATACCCTTTGCGCACCAACGAGACCCCACCTTCTACGTCCTATCATGGCAGACTGGGCTTTTGACCAAGACGGAATGGACAAGCACTCGAGTGCTTTAGTTGCCCCGCTGAACATCCAAAAGTCGCCAAAGAGGTCCCGCGTGGGTATTTTCGCCCACAGCCGCCAGTCTTCCAGGGGAGCCCGCTCCGTCACATCGCAGTCGCAATCCCAAATATCACCACCATTAACACCCAAGACCTCGAACGAGGTCATGGTACAGCAAACGCCTCCACAGCCAGTCTTCCACAACTATCTCCGGGCCTTCTACCACTACGAACCCACATCAACCGTCTGTTCCTCGACCGACGAGTCCTCCATCACGGTAGCCATCAAACAGGGCGACATCATCCTCGTGCATTCCGTACATCCAAATGGGTGGGCCGACGGCACTCTTCTGGCCTCTGGCGCCAGAGGATGGCTACCTACCAACTACTGCGAGCCCTACGATCATCCTGCCGTGCGCAATCTTCTAAATGCTCTCACTCATCTTTGGGATCTTGTCCGCGACGGAGAGAACGGGGATTTGATTGCTTTCATGAGACAGGATTATGTCCGAGGCATGATCTCTGGCATCCGATTCTTCCTTGTACGCTGACGTTGAAATCCTTGATTATCATTTTCGCTTGCTAATATCCCACAGGAACGAACCGGATGTCTGTCTCGAGATTCGCGACTAATTGTCGCCCATATTGGCCTAAGACGCATGCGCAAGGGTCTCCTGGGTGACTTGTCAACACTCGTCAAAACCGCCAAAAAGTTGCAGGAAACCTTGCAAGCAAATGAGGCGCCAGTACCCGTCTATGAGTATATGGATGAATTGGTACTCAAGTCTTTCAAGCTCGTAACTAGAGCTGTGCGCTTCCTCGATATTTGGGCAACAGATGCCGTGTCGTTGTCGTCCTTTGAGCTAGGCGATGTAAGCGCCGAGAGACCCTTGACGCCGCCATCTGACGCTGCTGTGCAACCCCTCTCATCACTTGATCAACAACACGCACCCATCTGCATAGCGAATGACGGAGACGACCACGTTGCACAAAGGTCTTTTTGCCTGCCTGAGGACGTCGCATCTGCTCAGCCACTACGCAATCCGAACCGCCTTTCCGTTGCCTTCTCGCTACCTTCCGAGTCTGAGTCTCTGCCACCGCAGTCCCCAACTCTCGTTTCGCACTTTCCTAGTCAAACGAAGCGATTGTCTGTCACTCATCGATTGTCATACACCGGAAAGTCGCAAAGCACGCGAACAGGCTCTCTAGCGTCAGATAAGCTTGTGGCTTCTCAAGACGCATTCTTAGGCTTCATTGGATCTTTCATTGGGCTGCACCTTCAATCGCGTTCTTCCGAGGAGCTCGCATACATCACACAGCAATCTGTTGTCGCCTGCCAACAGCTGCTCGCAGTCGTGGATGAAGTATGGGAGCGCGACGCACGGCGATCCAAAGATTTGGAAGAGGCGCGCGACACGATGTACGCGCGATTGACTGAGCTTGTACAAGCTACAAAAGACATGTTCAGTGTCACCGACACTGAAATGAATGAAGCGCTAGTGGCTCCCGAATCAGGAAAGCAACTGGTTGCGGCTGCCACAAGCTGTGTCAGGTCTGCTGGCGAGTGTGCCGCGAAAGCTCGAGTCGTCATAGAGCGCATCGGTGATTTCGAATTCGAAGCGGTTGGTTTGGGTCTGTCGGACGCAATATTTCAACAACTGCCCGTTACAAATGAAAGCGAACAAGAAAAGTCCGAACTGCCACGACCAATGGAGACGGTGTTGGAAACCGACAAACCACTTCCTGCACCTCCATCCGAGGAACGCCACCTGCCGCCGCCTTTGGTTATCTCTGAGTCGAAGCCTCTTCCTGAAGTCCCACAGCCTTCTCCATTGGACAATCAGAGGTTGAGCCTACAGCCGACCCCTGCACCCATCATCGTGGAAAGTCCAATCGCTATGTCTTTCAGATCATCGAGGTCGTCAATTACACCACTAAACACCCTCCCGATGCCCAACCTCCAACCGGCTCCGGTCGAGCTTCTGGACAGCCCAATGAGCACCACACAGGGACCGTTCCCGAACCAAGCGAGAGCAGATAGCGTCAACGTATCTGTCACCGACACGAATAGTACCTTCCCATTTCAGCATGCGCGACACCGGGAGCGTTGTGTCACACACTTCAACCAGAGCCACTACGCCAGACAATTCTCCTGCAAAGAACCGGAGCTCAACAGGCCCTTCGTCAGCAGCTTTGGCAGCTCTTCGGAGCTTCGGTCTCTGGCGAGTGAAGACCTTGCTGCTGGCGAGGAGCACATGCTGGAAACCACTTTTGTACACGAACTTGTCTACAACAAGGAGGGACCAGATCTCTGGTGGTTCCCTGCCAGCTTTGGTTGAACAGCTCACAACCTACGAGACAACTCCCGATGCTGTCTTCGTGACGACATTCTACCTGACTTTCCGTCTCTTCACGACACCCGTGGAGCTTGCGCAATGCCTGATCGACAGATTTGACTACATTGGCGACAGTCAGTCCATTGGAGTGCCTGTTCGCCTCCGAGTCTACAACGTTTTCAAAGGCTGGTTGGAGAGCCACTGGGCGAGTGATAGTGACTCTGCCGCTTTGGAACTTATTCTGTCATTCGCAACTGGCAAGCTGCGAGAATCCATGCCAGCCGCTGGTAGGCGCCTTGCTGACCTCACTTCAAAGGTGAATGAGGTACGCGCGGGAGCTCCACTGGTACCTCGCCTCGTCTCCTCTATCAGCAAAGCCGGGGCCTCATACACATCCTTTACGCCAGCGGACAGCAATGTGCCTTCCTCAAACGTCAGCAAAGGCCAGCTCAACGCTCTTCGAGCCAGCAAGGAGGGCAAGGCTCAGTGTAGCATTTTGGACTTTGACCCTCTTGAGCTTGCCCGCCAGTTCACCATTATCGAGTCCAGACTCTTTTGCTCTATTCAGTCCGAGGAGCTACTGGCTCTCGAGTGGACGAAGAAGTCCGACTCTAAGGCCGTGAACGTCAAGGCAATGTCAACCCTATCGACTGACTTGGCAAATCTCGTCGCTGATACCATTCTTCATCTTGAGGACGCGAAAAAGCGAGCTGCAATCATCAAGCAATGGGTCAAGATTGCTGCCAAGTGTCTTGAACTGAACAACTATGACTCGCTTATGGCCATCATCTGCTCGCTCAACTCCTCTATGGTCATGCGGTTGAAGAGGACCTGGGAACTCGTGTCGACCAAGACCAAGACCCGACTTGAAGAACTGAAGGCCATCACAGACGTGGGACGCAACTACGCTGTCCTTCGTCAGCGTCTGCAGAATCACGTCGCTCCTTGCATTCCATTTGTCGGCATATACCTCACCGACTTAACCTTCATCGACGTCGGCAACGGGACTACGCGTCAGTTGCCGGGCGAAGCTGGCGAGGACAGCGTCTCCGTCATCAACTTCGACAAGCACATGAAGACAGCGAAAATTATTGGTCAACTTCAATCATTCCAGGTGCCATACCAATTAGCTGCCGTGCCTGAAATGCAGGACTGGATGGAGGCCCAGATCCAGCGTGTCCGCTCGAGCGACCAGGCCAACGTTCAAAGCTACTATCGCCGCTCACTTCTCCTCGAACCGCGCGACCCCCAACATTCGGTGCGAGGCTCTCCGTCAATTGATCAGGGCACATTCACCGCTGAAAATCGGACAACCTCCAGGGAGAAGTTCGAATTTCTGAACTTCAATTTCGGGTCAACCAGCAACCTGAAGAGTTCTTAACTTCTATCTTCGCGCCACAATGCGCAATTACATTCTCTGCTTCTTCTGCCGCGCTGGTTGGATACCAGCCCCACCACCACAAACAACCCGGCACATCATACACCATTTTAAGGCTGTTTAGCCATGGACATACTTAATGTTTGTGTTTTACTGCATCTATTTCTTTCCATGTCACGGCCGGCCACGATACCAATGCTCGATTTTTTTCTTTTGTTCTATACCACATGGGCGGCCGGTTTGCGGAAGTATTCTCTGGGGATCAAAAGTAGAGAAGGATCTACTCTCATCATTTCTTCTAAACATCTTAAGGGGCGCATTTATGGATCAATCGATCTTCATCGGCGTTTTAAAACAAGACGAAAAGGCCGCCAGGCCTGGTAGGCGGGTCAAAAGCATAGGGAAGGAGCGGAAGGAGGCCCGCCGGCAGCTTTTGTATAGTCACATCACCTGTGTATAAGGGTGTGAGATGCGAATCTCTAATAGCATTTTGAATTGGAACAGTCAAAAATTCACTTCCCGCCTGTTCCTGCAATCGTGATGTTCTACATGCGCTTTCAGTATTCCCATGTTCTGACATGGTCGTGTTCCAAGTACGTTATCGAAGTCTGCCGGAGCTCTGATCTGATGCCCCGCGCACGTCAGCCTCATACGCCTGCACGACCCCTCCACCCACCATCTCGCGTTACACACAACCAACCACTCCCTCCGTCCACACTCACACAATGTCGCCCCAACAGCATCTAATCGACGTCCGCACACCCGCCGAATTCTCCAGCGGTCCGCTAAAATCCGACATCGCACCCACCATCAACATCGAATACCAGCGCATCTCGCAGCTCCCCTCCATCTACGCCGCGCTCGGCGTCACAGTACAAAAGGATGACCACATCACACTATATTGCCGCTCGGGCCGGCGCTCGAATATTGCGCTGCAGACGCTGAAGGAGGCGGGGTATGAGCATGTGAGGGATATTGGTGGGTTGGAGGAGGCGAGGAGGGTTTTGGATAGGGAACAGGTGGAGAGGCAGTTGGAGGGGGAGATGGAGAGGGCGGGGTTGGATGTTGGGGGGAGGAAAGAAGGGGAGGGAGGTGGTGGGAAGGGGGTAGAAGAGGAGGGGAAGGGGAAGGATGGAAAAAAGGATGAGAGGGAGAGGGAGTTGAGGAAGTTGCTTGAGGGGCTGAAGGCGTTGGAGGAGTGATGCGCGAGGGGGGGACTTGAGAAGCGAGGAGATGTAATGCGTTAGAGGTGACATGAACGGAGCAGCATATAAAGAGCGAGGCGCGAGGATCTCGCTGGGCAAGCAGAATGTGCAGGTAAACCTTGGCCTCTCTTTAGTGCGTATGTCATTTCGTCAAGTTCGTTTGCTAAACATATGCTTCCAGTCAACCATCGCGCCACGCCGGCAAATCTTGCGATACCACCCGCGTCTTCAAGCAAAACCACACCATGCACTCAGTCTCTGGGATGGTTTTTCTGGCCATGCTGAATATCCGGGGAGCCTGGTAATTAGCTTCGAATGCATGGACCGCAGGGCTCTCATGCTTTGGATGTTTACCGTCTCTACACTGAGCTCTGTTAGCATTCATTTCAGCGAGAACGAATAGAGAGAACGCGAGCAGGGATCTCACCAACAAGGGTATATGCACCAGACGAAGAGACTGGCGCTAAGGTAGAGCTGACTGCAGCTCCCGAACTGGAGTTGGCCACTGACATGGTGGCTGTGGGTTTGGTCCCGTTAGGCGGTGCGCCAGAACCTCCCGGAGGCCCACCACCCATACCCGCACCAGCAAACTCTTTCTCCACATCATCGTTCTCAGTCAGATACGCAGCTGGCGTAATATTGTATGAAGCCGCCGTGTCGATGCCGAAAGCGAGCGATCCGAACAGATCATCGGCAACTACGATCAGCAAGTAAGACGTACTCAACGAAAGGATCGGTAAATGTAGCTTCCTCATTCAAGATCGAGTCGACAGCAATATCCGTGAGAGGTTGCTCGTTGTTGGCGTATGGCTCCACCTCGTTTAAAAGCTCAACGAGATCTTGATCGCAGAATATCTGCCCGACGACGTGCGTTACGGAGCCGCCGAGGAGAGTTTCGTTGGCATTAACGCTGGCTTTGAGGGATGTCATGACGTGAATATGTATCTACGCCAACATTGTCAGCATCGCCTACGCCTACACGAACTCCAGTGTTTCAACTCACAGCACGCCCAGGTTGGCTCCATCATATAGCTCTGTCGTCCACCTTTGTGGCCAAAAACATACGCAAGGCGCTCCTGCCTTAGCCAGGGCTCACTTCGGAATGGCCACTGGTAATTGCGGGAGGCCTTCCCGCTTCAACGGGAATCTCATGGACTCGATGTCCAAACTTCTATTCGACCAGAACGTTCAACTGCCGTCAATTGTACCACAGCGATGCAATTCATTGTTGCCAAACAGCCAACACCACAAGCACAATTGTTGAAGATTCCATACAGGCCGAAGGATCATAACAAGTGCATCTCAGAGCAAAGGCTGCGTTGATAGCCTCATCCCAATCTACTGCTCCCAGGGCTTGAGCGTGCAACACGCCGTCGACGAAGCCGTGCACGCACTGAAAGCGTCGAAATGTAGATTCAATATTGCTGCGAAAAGACGGACGGCGGGCGCACGAAAAGAGCCATGCAAGTACCAGCACGTCTCGGAGAGGGTGGAAGGATGTCAGAGTATTTGCACTGGGAATTTGGTGTGGAGATAAGGAGTCGCCAGGGGAGGTTATGTGCATTGATTCAGAATTTGGTGACTGTGTGATTGTTTGACGACAGGGAGGTATGGTGTTCGTGAAACCCTTGTGGAAGACGATGGGAGTGCGAGATTTACTTTGTCAGATTGGTGCTTCAGTTCTGAACGGAGAGAGGCGTGTAGCCGTCGGGAGGAATGGACACTGGATCTTAGAGTTACCAGGTGTAGTTTCCTGAGAAGGCTAGTCTGCTAGAACGCAAAAGAGAAATAACGTCAATCCTAACCACGCCTATAAGTGCGGATGGCACGCAGTCTCTGCGGACTTGCAGTTGTGGAAACGCATGCAGCGTTTGCTGAATTTAACGTCTTCTGTGATCCAACTCTCACAGAATTTGCACAGACCAAACGGCCTGGAACAATGGCACAACGACCCAAGTCGTGTGATGAAGTGTATTAATGCTATCTGTGAAGTGTACATAGGAAAAGCCCGCACGCAACTTGATGCCCACTTTTGGTAGTATTCCGTGCCCCATGAAGAATGAAAACCAACAACAAAGAAAATCCGGCTGACTGATGTAAAGCAACAAAGCGCCAGCCCATTGTGGCCCATGGTATCTTTTTTCCCCTTCTTTGCGCCGCAAATTCTGTATCCCATGCATGCATTCCCCCTTCTTTTTGTGAACGCCTTCATTGAATCGTGAAAGGCCACTACTTTGGTAGCCATGTCCCATTTGATGTAGAAAACTCCTTGGAGATGCTGTAGAATGAAAACGCATAATAGAGCCTATGCTGGTGCTTTTACGGCCAGCGAAGAAGACTTGGTGGACATTGGAGGTGATGGTGGAGCCAGGTTGACAGCGGGCGCAACCCAGCCTTCTTGACGTGCGAACCACATGACGTTGTTGAGGTCGAAGTTCTCGAAGAAGACCTCGTCCATCAAGCGAGCCTTCAGGCCAGCGTAGGTATGATATTCGTCCACAATAGTAGTGAAGTCAGCTCCGATGATCCTCCTGAAGCATGCAACTGTGCAACCAGTGCGGTGCTTGCCCTTGTTGCAGTGGATGAGGATAGGATGGTTGGTGCGATCCATGATCAGACGCAGCGCCCGCGACATTTCACACGATTCGACGCGGACCTCGCCCTTGTTGGCCTTGATGTGGACCTGAAAGTGCTGGATGCCAGATTTGTCCATGAAGTCCTGGTACTCCGCAGAGATGGGCTCGGGAACTAGAGTCAGGATGCTCTTGATCTTGAGATCCTTGATGAACTCGTAGTTCTTTTGCTCGGGATAGCTGCTACGGTAGATCAAGCCAGGCAAGACTGCGCCGTAGTTCGATGGCGGAATGTAGGGGTGGAAGCGGTCGGCTGCTGAGCGGACTGAAGAGGCAGGTGTTGTTGTGCCTCGCGACTCAATCAGGCATTTGATGCCACACTCATGGTCATGAGGATTATCCTCATGTGCAGTGGTAGCTGCGTGCTGTAGGAGCTGCTGGCTTGTCGGAAGTTGAAGAGCCTCTAGATAGTCTCGGATCGTTTCGACTTGAGCTCGCAGAAGCTCATACTCAGCAGCAGTCTGGCCTGGGCGGAGGCTAACCTCCAACTCTTCGTCGGTGAAAAGCATGTTGGCAGACGTTGCGTAGTTGTGATGTAGCGTGTTAAGTCTGGTATTTGGAAAAGTATTCTGTGAATGTCGTCCAGGGGCGCTGCGTAGGAGTCACGCTAGCTGAGGACAGCAGCAGAGACTACTCTGAGTTCCACCAGTATTCACTCGCACTGGCTCAGGGAGGTGAGTTTGGTGGTCTTAGGAGCCGTGGATATTGCTCTAAGGCCTGAGGGTACGTGTGGGAGCGTGTGGTCGACGGTCGTGTGCGCAGGGTAGGAAAGCAGACAGGAGCCAGCAGCAGACTGCCTTTCAGAAAGTCAGCGGAATTCAGACGAGGCATTTGATGCGATCTTTTCCGCACTCGCTCGCTGCGAACCATGGGCTGTCGTATGGTGAAGCGTGCCTGAAATGGAGAGGTGCGGCCCCCAAATTCGGACATGTCTTCGGATCGCGTCGCGTCGCAAAAGCGGCCACTTGTGACAGGAAAGGAAACAGTGCATGCACTCACTTTGCAGTTACGGGCGGGTCAAAGCAGACATGTTGGAAGCATCTTGCGGTTTTGCGAAGAGGCAAGATTCATGTTGGCGCAGGCGGGTGTGGTGGTGGAGAGGAGGTCTTCTCTGCCCGGCGAATTGGTTGTGTGTGCGCAGCCTGCGATGAATGTGGTAGCGAAGGGGGTTGATGGCCGTAGATGGCGGGTCGGGGGGCCGCAGTGACTTTATGTGATAGTCGGTAGAATAGTGTCGAAGAGACGGTTCCAAGGTTGTTATGCGTGGTTCTGGGTCCGGCTCGCCTGCCGTTCACTATTCAGCACTAGAGCGCCTCGGAAATTCCACGACGCTTACCAAAGTAGGCAGTGTCGCAGGGATCGATATGTACGTCACTCGCGTAAACTCGGATTTATCGGTAGACTGTAGGAACCCGCCTTTTTATGTGCGGTTGTGCATTTGGCTGAGTAATTATGTGATGCACCCCCTGTGACGACCAGAGCAAAAGACAAACGCTGGCCTTTGTCCGCACGAAGCACAAAGCCAAGTCACGCGAGCCAAGCTCGCGTCGAGCTGCTGCTTTGACAGCCTTGGAACCCCGCTGTGGCATGATGCGTGGTTATGGACCCGGCGGCGTGTCTCAACATTGTCTCGGTCCCGACTGCCGGCGAGCGGATTCCTCCGGCCTAGAATTTGTTGCTTTTTTCACTGTGCGACTTTCCATCGTTACGAGTAGCGGATCTCCTCCGTGGTCCATAAAACTGTGCCGGAAAACCGACTTGCTCCTCACACTGGCACTTGCCGTCATACTAGCTCGTGAGGCTATCTCATATCCGAGGATCAACACAAGCCTCAGAGGCGAAATACGTCAGGCTCAAGTAGTGGCACTATGCTTACGACACCACAGCGTCCATCACGATACCAAACTGGACAAATTTGCCCATCGTGACTCTCTGACGGTCCGACTGCGAAGGCAAAGGGGGGCAAGAGTCGAGACTAATCATCGTGCTGGGGAGTGACTGCGTATTTGGCATACTCTCGGTGGTATGCGCACCGAAATCAGCCGCCATACAGGCTGATTCTCTCGAAGTTCTTCAAAGCTCTCGTGTGTCTCTCCACTTCTTTCACGTGAAGAATTGACGATCGCCCGCTAAACTAGATCTCGCCTCGCTCCCGCATTCTCCAGAGCCCGTGCACTCCAGCCGATCGAACCTCGGTCACTCCACCCTTCACCGTGAACCTCAATATCAGATGCTGCCTCTCGAACGACGCGCTCTCTGACTAATTTAGCTTCTACAAATTCATTGCAAGCATGGCAGACCGCTCCCGTAACGCCTCCCGCTCTCGTCGCTCCTACCCAAACCTCCCTAACCTCTCCATCGCACCCCTCAGTGCCAAATTCCCTCTCGATGCCAGCGCTCCATCCTCACCGGACGAGCACGTCGTACATACATCACGCACATCATATATTGCCTCCAAGACAGCCCCTTCCACACCAGGCATCTTGAGCTTGAGCCAATCCCGCAGCAACAGCCGAACGCGCCGTTCCAAACCTCACTACGCGTACGATGGCTACTTCGCCAACCCCAACAATCCCGTCCGAGACATTGGCGAAATCCCAAAGGCAAAAAGCACAAGCACCCTCCATCCCGGCGTGAGCTTCGTAGAAGACAATGCCCGCGAAAGACACCATACCCGCAAGTCCACCGCTCCAACATCCCTCCGCATGCCGCTTGCCCGCCACCACACCTCCTCCGCCGACGACGACTGGTGGCACCGCGCCGGCCTCACCATAGCCGGCGAAACACGCGACTCTAAAGGGCAAGGCTGGCTCATCCGCCGCGAGAGCTCCACCTCGCTCGTCGCCGACGACGAAGACGCCCACGATTCAAAACGCATGGCCCTGCTCTCCGGCGAACCGCTGAACGGCGAGGACTTCCCCACCTTCTCCCCACGCATCTCGCGCGCTGGCAGCCGCTATCAGTCCCGCGTTGGCAGCCGCGTGCCCAGCGCGCGCCAGTCCCGGCGTGGTTCGCGCGTGGGCAGTCGCGCAGACTTGGGTATGAGCCCCGTGTCTGCGCGGCACAGTCTCGATCTCCCTTCGTTTGACGAGCGCTTCATGGAGCCTGATTTCGTCGAGGCGGACGAGGAATCGTCGGGCGATGAGGAAGAAGTCGCGAGGCTGGCGCGCAGTAATACGTCGTGGATTGATCGGCTGATTGGATGGACGCTGTTCTCGGTTGAGGAGGATGGGGAGGCGTCTGACGATGAGGACGAGGAGGAGGGGTTCTTGCCGCAGAACATGACGAGGGAGGAGTTGAGACTAAGGAGGGAGGTGGAGGCGAAGAGGAGGAAGTTGGAGAGGGAGGCGATTGTTGCGTCGGCGAAGCTGAAGGCGAGGGATAAGGAGAATACTGAGGAAGAGACGGATGAGGTGCAGAAGCCGCTCGAGGAGGCGGATGGGTGGCAGGACGCAGCTTGGTTGTTGAGTGTTGCTTCGAAGGCACTGTTTTAATTGAGGATGCGATTCAGCATGTAATCTCTCGCGATCAGCGACAAAATTGACTCGAATAATTCTTCCTACAGTACATCTTACAACACTCCAACATTGATACTGCAAGACACAAAAGATCCCTTCTCACTCCCCATCCAAACACCAAACAACCACATCTCCCTTCCTTCTCCAATCATCATGCATCCAACTATTCGGCCCCCTCCAACACTCCCTATACCTCGACCCGCCCAGCACCTGTCCTAACACCCCCTCGAGCTGTTCAAAAAACACAAGATTCTGCGGCCAAGCCCTGCGATACTTTGCCTTGAGCTTTGGATCCTGCCTTATCCAATGCCGGCCCGATCTTGAACCCCCAGCCTGGATCGTATCAAGTGATTCCATGTTATCCCTTAGCCAGACGGCTGGGCCGGGCTTGATGTAGAACTCATCTGCTTCGTCGAGATACGAAGAGCGGTCGGAGAGGGGAGTGTTGAGGGGGGGTTCACAGGTAAGGGCCCATGCGGAGATTTCTGGGTAGATGAGGTGGGAGCGCCATGGGGTGGAGTGGCAGGGCATTAGGAAAGCTACAGTTGTGTTTGAGAGGGAAGAGGGGGGTTGGGTGAGGGTGGAGAGGTTGTTGCGGGCTTCATGTTTGTGGCGGATGTGGTCTAGGACGTCGATGACGCCGCGCTGGTGGATGCGTGAGGTGAAAGTTGCGAGGAGGATGTTGGTTAGGAGAAGGCTGATTAGCAGGGCTTTGCGAGTGAAGGGACCGTTGGCTGGGAACGTGGTGCTTAGAGGCCCGGCCGCGAGGATGTGGAGGAATGGGAGCAGCGGGTAGAGGAAGCGGACTTCCTTGTGGGAGATCAGACTCAAGGCGACTATAGTAACGACGCATGTCCAGGCAAGTCGGATCAACACCCGCCGTTGCGCTGCATCGTGAATATATTCCGGTGCCGGCGAGTGTATGCTCGGACTGCCAGTGATGGGCGAGTGCCGCAATTCCTTGCCTCGGAGTGCTCGCACTAATCCTATGAGACCTAACGGCAGCACTGTCGTGAGAAGCAGCGGAACCCCCTCGGTGAAATAGTAGTCTGCGCGATTCTTTCCGTAGAACACAGCCAGCGATTGGGCAATGTTGAAGTAAAGGAAGCGAAGCGGCGGCAGGGTCCAGATCCCGTAGTATAGTCTGTCAGACGCAACGGAACATGCAAGGACAGCAGACCTAACATGGTCAGTTCAAGCTTGTCTGGTGACCTTCAGGGTACAAAGGTCGAATCATGGAGCATGCACGCCGGCAAGGAAGCAGTCGTGCAGCTTTGCAGCTGTGGAACTTACCCGCAAAATAAAATTTCGCGGACCAACACATACCGCTGCCGCTTCGTGGCTTGCCATAGTGTTGGAACGAATACGGACACCCAAATTAGAGCATTGGTGGGCCGGAGAATGCACGCGAGTGCTGCCAGCAGCAATGACAGACGTAACCTGCATGATGTGAGCCTAGATTGTCAGCTACACGGTACGACGTGGAAAATTCCAAAAAAGTTCGCAGCTTACTTTGCGGGCGAGCCGAGATGCTTCTCCACACTCTGCGATTGATCCTTGCCTGCAGTCGTGCTATCTCTTGCAGTACCTGGCCAATGCCAAGGCCAATGGTAGATAGCGACAGTTGTGATGGTCGTCTCAATGCAGTTGGACAGCGTCCGAGTCGAGCAGAACCATTGCCACGGGCTGCATACAGACAATGCAAGCTAAATTGCTCGGAATCAGGATTTTCAAAAAGCAGAGAGTTCAGTGGCGTGACGTACAGTGACCGTGCCAGTACGACTGCCACGACCGTATGCTTTTTCCGCAAGTTTCCATGTGTAGCAGTCAAGCAGCGCAGCAAAGACGGCTTGGGTAACCTTCGGCGTAACTAGCAGCAATTCGGCTTTTGCGGGCAAGGTTAAGCCACAAATGTCTGCGAGTTTTGCCGAGATTCGATAGACTACAGCAAACAGGCCTGGATGCAAGGACGATCTCAATTGTGTTCTCCACTCCTGCTCGCATCGTGAGACAAACAGCCGACGACTGGAACGTGGAGATGGTCAAGGGAGGCATTTACCCAAGTAATCCAGGCATTACTCTCTTCGCCAAAAGCAAGCTGCCATGCAGGCTCGAGCGACTGGAAGAACTCGTCGGGCTGGAAAAAGGTGCGCAGCGTCAATGCATTGGCTATGCGGAAGGCCAGCAGCAGTGCAAAGATGCCTAGCGCAGAGTCACGATAGCTGGTAAGCGGCGGTGTTGGTGGAGCAGCAGTCGTGGCCTTCGCCGAGTCGCTGGCGGGCGGCATTGGGCAATCAAAAGTCAGGGAGAAGCCGCAGCGGGTGAGCAAGCGTGGGTACCGGGGCGAGGACGGCGAGGACGGCGAGTGAGAGGTTCACGATAGTGGCTCGTGCGCATCTTGGCGCTGAGAAAGTGTGTCATGCGCCAGATCGTTTCAGGGCGAAGTGGTGAAAATTGAAGCTGTGAGCTATGCCGGATGTGGTCTTCACGATACAAGCTCGGTGTCTAGACTCGGGTTCAATCTGTTGGTCCTCCCATGACCATGCACCTGTTGAGTGAGCGAGAACCTATCGTGAGAAACACGGGCCTCCTCACGGCGCAGGTCGGGCGGGTTGCAATTTTCATCGAGTAATATGGTGCAGACTGCAGTAGTGGGCTGAGGTGACGACGACCCCGAGCGCTGGCTATCTCGCAACGGGTAGTATCAAATTGCAGGCCACCGATGAAGCGATGGAGCCGATGACGCTGCGTACGCGGCAAAAGCATGGCTGAGCAGCATCAGAGATCTCGAGGACGCTCCCGCTCGGTGCAGCTTCGGCGGGGGCTCTCTCGTAGATCGGACAGCGATGAACTGCACGTTCAGATCTCAGATGTGTGCGAATGTGAGGAAACATGTTGCCGGGCACAGGTACATAGTCTAGAGCGAGACGGTCTAGTCGCGCGTGCACGAAGCAGCCCACGGGTATCAGGCCAGGCGTCCCTGGCTACTGATGGCCCAGCGGCCATGGTCAAGTGCGGTAAGACGCATGTGAAGACTGTCGAGGCCAGGCTGGGCAGCGTTCATGATGCCGCGGACTTGGTGCTCCTGTCGCTCAACGGGCCCAACAATAACGAGGGTGGTGTGATGGCCAATGACATGCTGGGCAACAGCGCGAGCGGGAGCGAAGAAGCAAGCAATCATGTCTGTCTGATGCGAATCTGGGGAAGGCGGCTGGTGAGTGGACGAGGGTCCAAGGGGTGCGTGCGGCGATGGCAATAAACCGGGGTGTGAGAGAAAGGATTAAAGTTCCTGGGCATCTTCAAAAGCTCTTATCGCGGCAATCATTAATCATGGAGCACCAGCAGCAGCGTCGCCAGGCAATACTCTTAGCGGCGCATGGCCCGGATGCAGCCGCACTGGGTCCTTGGGTCCTTGCGCGCCTTGAGGGCACAGCAGGGTGAACAATGTGCATGCGGGCGAGCAGGAGGCGTGCGCAGGAGGCAAACGAGGTCGCGCAACAGGCGTGCTGCTTAGGACGTGAACCCCTCCAGAGGTGTCGAGTGGGCGGACAAGCTTTACCCGATTGGGCCATGGCTGGGGAGGGCTGGCACGGATGCATTGAAAGAAAGCGCAGGACAAGACTTCCCACATATTCTGCTGCTGGCTCGCTCAACAAAGCGTCGGTCCGCCCTGCCTGTGACTGTGGGCCAGCCTGTGTCTTTGAGTCTTTGAGTCTTTGAGCGTACCGTTTTTGTTGTGTCTGCCCTCTCTGGTACCGGACGTCGTCTCTGCGCTGTCTCGCCCGTCCAGTCTTGTCGTGCGGGCGTCCTTCACTGCTGCGTGCTGGTAGCGTCCCCACCCCAGGCCTGGTCCTTGCGCCCGTCTGAAGCCGCCTGTGAGAGCGTCATCTGCGCCGCGGCGGGCCATCCACCCAAAATACGCTGCGAAGATCGCTGCGTGGTGATGCGGGAAAGCGCGACGGCCGATCGTGCTCAACCATCCGCCAGGCCCATAGTTGAGCCGTTGAAGCACTGTAACCACTCCAACCCCAGCCCGCCCGCGACTCAAGCACGCCGCTGCCACCAATCTCTCCTGCTCTGCACCGTCGACGCTGTCCACGTCCACCGTCCACTGCCCGCTGCATCGCCAACTCGCCGCCATTGTCTCCGCCGTGCCCCCTCGCGCCTGCCACAGGCCAGAATGAGAACCGCCGCCCGCCGCATTCGACTCCCGCACCCGTAAACGCCTGGCATGGTTACGCTGGCCGGCTGATTGAGACATCTGAGCTGCCGTCGCCATGGATGAGCCAAATGCAGCCGTGACAGCGGAAAGGGCAGCCGGCGAGCCCCCAACCGCCCTCGTGTGCGACATGGCTGCCGATGCCGCGCGACATGCGCATTCCACACACGACGCCGCCGCTGCGCGAGAAGCAGAAGACGGCGAGGCCACGCCGAGTCAGAGCCATGGAGCGCTGCCCTACGACGAGAACGACAGCACGCCGCGCTCAGAGGTGCCCTCCCTGCCCGATGCCGTGACGGCGAGCTTGCTCTCGCAGATGCACCCGCTGGCACCAGAGTCCAACTACTTCTCTCCACAGCCCCGCCGATTCTACAGCGCACACCTCCCCCGCTCCACCGCTGCGTCGACCGAGCCCTCGCCCACCTCGAGCACCAACGCATCCGCCACTTCTATCAGCATCCCCGACCCCTCAAGCCACGGGTACGCTGCCCA